CTGTCTACAGATATTTTATTAATTAGAATTTATTTTATTTTAATTTTATTTGCATTAATTTATTATTTTAACTAATTTTTATGAATATCCACGTGTTTAAGTTTTATATAATATGGTGAATATAGGTTCATCAAGATTTATATAGTTTATATATTATTATAATAAATGCAAATAGATTGGTCTGGGTCAAATTAAATAACTTTAAAAATTTAAATTTATTATAAGAATTACTTACTGGCTTAGATAAGAAATAAAAGTTTAATTTTTATAATAAATAAAATAACTTAAATAACTTAAAAGACTTAGTCTAAATATTTTAAATAGAAAGATATAATCTCTATTTATTTTTAATTCACTGCCTGTAGTGAATGAATCTAGGCCAGGATCATAAATCATCAATAAATAAAGAAATCATAGTCAACTAATTAGAATAATATAAGAATCATATGTAAAAGAGAGATTATCAGGATTTTAAAAAATAAATCTAATCTGCTCCGTGAATATTAGGTATTCCATATAATTTTGTATGGAGCATATGATAACTCTGGGTATTCATGGGAACAAGGGTTTTCATATAAATAGGCAAGAGTTTAATTAGTAAGGTAAAAGTGATTTCCAGCCGACATATTATACTTTATAAACTTCTTAATAATTTTTATATAATATATTTAAATAATATTCTCATCTTCTTACTAGACAGGAAATCCTATATAAAATATATTTATTAAATACTAAGAAAATTTTTAAAAATTTAATTTTATATAAAACTATTAAAATACTTCTTTTATTAATTTTATATTAAATTTCTAGAATATATTATTAATAGTAATAGTATATCTATAAATTTCTAACAGATAAATAATATTATTTTTTAATTAATTATTAAAAGCTACTATAATATTTAAATTTTTTTAAAATTTTATAATTTTTATTAATAATTTATTAAAAATTATTTTTATATTACTTATATTTATTTAATAAATATAAATAGATTTATAACATGTTTTATATCTTATTATTAAAGCCGTGGTATAGCAGGAGAAATAATAAAAAACTATTTTAAATATTAAAATTAAATAATAAAAATAAATAAAAAATTAAGAAAATTAAGAATTACTAATATTATAAAAATAAAAACTACTACTTAATTAAATAAAAAGAATAGCCCAGTAAATATAATTAATAAATTTTAAATAAAAATATAATAAATATTTAATAAATTATATATATAACTGTAATTCACTGCTTTATTTATTATTTAAAAATAAGAATTATATAGTTTAAACTTCGGTTTTAAAATCTTATTTAAATATTATTATTAAAATAATCTATATCTAGTATTCTAATATTATTAAAAAGATTATATCTGATAATAAAAATAATTTTAAAAAATATATTATAATTTTTAAAATTATTAAATTTATTTTTATATTTTCTGTTTCTATTTTTATTATATAAAGAAATCCTGGGTTCTGGCAGCATTTAACTAGTAGATTAAGAGTAAAAAAGATTAAATATATATATAGAGATAATACTAGCAGAAGAAAAAGAAATTAATAAAATTATAATATAATAATAATTAATAAAAAATAAATTATATATTATTATATTTTTTTATTAAAATACTATTTATTTACTATTTATTTAAATAATTTATAAAAATATTTATATATAAATTATCTTGTGAGTTCCTTTTAAGCTAAACTAATAAATATAAGTAAATTTTATATAATTAAATATTATAATCAAGTTCTGAATTTACTTGAATATAGTATATTTAATATTATTATTTTAATAATTTAATTCAAAGACAGCTTCCTGCTAATTAAAAATCTTAATTAAATTATATATATTATTAAATATACCCGCCGAAGTCTAGCTAATATTAATATTATATTTAATATAATAATAAATATTAAATAAGATATACTAGAAAATATATATTCTTATTATTAGTATGTAGATAATACAGAATTAAAATATAAATATTTAAATAATGATTAATATTATAAAAAATATCTTTTATTATATTAAAATTACTGTTCATAGTATATAAATAATATATATAAAATAAATAGTAGATTTTAATAAATTAATTTTATAATATATAAATCTTTTTAGAAGGCATCTTCAGAATCTAATATTAAGAATATAATATAATATTAAATAAAATATAAAAAAAATAAAAAAAGACTTAATTATTAATTAATAAATAAATAATAAAAAGAATAATAAAAATCATATAAAATAATTATAAAGAATAAATAAAATAATTATAAAATATTAAAAAAATAATAATCCTAAGATAAAAAAAAATATATCTATTTATATTTTTTTATTATAAATCTATTTATACAAACACAATTAAACACTAGTAAAGTTATATAAAAATAATATATAGTCTTATTTATATTAAGTATTTTATAGATTTTTTATTTTATATTATCAGATCCCTGCTATTCTGAATTAAAAATATATAAAATTATTTTTAATATTTAAGCCAGATAGCTTGCCCCAGTAAAGAAGAATATAATTTATAATAAAAATTTAACTATCATAGTAAAGATTATCAGAATAATGTGTTATAGTAATTATAGAAATTATAAGATTATTAGTAATAATTCTATATTATTCTAGTATTTATAAGATACTGATTCCTTTACAGAGAATTACTAATTTCTCAAGGATTAGTCTATCTTATGGATATAGACTATTTTTATTATTATTAAATGAATCTATAATGCTTAGTGGTTGATTCCTTATCTAGTCGACAGGCCTTCTACCCTGACAAGTAGATCCTATCACAATATCAGGATTTCAAGAAATAGGCCCAACCTGCTCCGTGAGCATCGGGTATTCCATATAATTTTGTATGGGGCATGTGATAACTCTGGGTATTCATGGGAACAAGGGTTTTCATATAAATAGGCAAGAATTTAATTAGTAAGGTAAAAGTGATTTCCAGCCGACAATATATAACTAAACTATATATAAGCTTAGAATCTGTATAATATAGTTATTTTCTTATATAAAATACAGAACACGCATTCTTACCATATAAATAACTATAAAATTACTATACAAACTACTGCCCATGCAGAACAGCAAGAAAAATGTAATTTAAAGGAATATTAGAAATTACTATTACCAAGTAAACAAGCTAGTATAGTAATATATTATAAAAAAAGATTTATAATAAAAAAATTAAGAAGAAAATTCTCAATCTTATATAATTTATTATTATAAATTAAATATAAAAAAAATAAACAAATTTTTATATATTAAAATATAGAATTATAAGATTATATTTACTGCTTTAAACCAGTCTATTATAAGATATATGTATAGGATTACTCTTATATATAAGGGCTCTACAGTAGGGAGGTATATTATATATTAATAATGTGATAGAATAACCTAGTTATCAGGGTATGGCTATCGGGATGATGTATTATAACAGTTATAGAAATCATGAGACCTTTGATTACAGTTCTATACTATCCCGATATCTATAAGGTGTTAAATCTATTATAAAGAAATACTAATCCCTCAAGAATCAGTCTATTTCGTGGATATAGGCTACCTTTGTCATTATTAGACGAATCTACAGTGTTTAGTGGTTGATTCCTTACCTAGTCGACAGGCCTTCTACCCTGACAAGTAGATCCTATCACAAATAATAGAAAAAATTATAACCAGGATTTTTTAAATTAATCAGATTCTTATAACTTTTTAACTTTCTAATTAAAAAGTATATAAAGTTATATAGATCTCTTTATAACTACAGAAATGCAGTCTTCAGGAAAAGAGAATAATATTAAAATAAAGCTATTAATTTACTATAATCTAGCAGGTCATGTAAGTAATATATAGTCATAGATTATATAAATTAAAAATATTATATAATTTACTCTTATATTATATCTCGCTGGTCCCCCCAACACTGCGGGAGGCCAGTGATCAGTTCAAAGCAGTATAGTAGCTAGTATTCATGTATATAATTGAACTTATCACGTCTCCTACATCGCCCCTAACATAATATTAATATTTAAGAATTTTATTGCTTCACCTATTTCTTTCATTTTATATATATTTATCAGTTAATTTCTGGAAATTCTTAATTATTTTCTGATTTTTCCGGTCGAAAATAATAACATTATTATCAATAAAAATAATTAGAATAACTATTAGATATTTAAATTAAATATTTAAATAATAATTTTCTAAGACTAGTATGTCTCTGTTTATTTTAATATTTATGAAAGCTATAAGCCCTCTGCTTTATTTAAAGTTTAGGTTATATTAAAAATAATTTTCTAAGATTAGTATGTTTTTATTTATCTCTAGTACTTGTAGAAGCTGTTTATTTATCTCTAGTACTTGTAGAAGCTGTAAGTCCTCTGCTTTATCTGAAGTCTTGATCTATGATATAAAAGTCTGAATAGCCTTATAAAGAAAAGACTGGGCTTATAACCTATTAAGATATATATTTACTAAGCAAGCAATGAAAACAGTAAAAAAAGCAAGTAAATGAACACACTAATTAAGGCAAAAGAGTGTGTTGATTCCTAGCTATCTAGGTGTCCTAGCGGAGCAAGATAGGGGTTGCTCGTGGTGGTCAGGCCGCGAGCCACGTGACTTCGCCTACTCCGGCAGACGCCTCGACATATTATTTCTAGTTTTGACAACTGTCCCACAACTGTAGGCAATTCTGATAATTTATAAACCATTTGTGAATGCTTCCTGATCACAAATGTCAGAGCCCATTTTAGTACCTAATTCAGATGCGCTTGATACAGATAGTTAGTATATCTTTAACAGACACTTTCAATATAGGACCGTCATTTTGTTTTCAATCCTATAGCCTAACTTTCTGATCTTCACACATTGCTATTTAAGTCTATAACAGACTTTCATATGAGGAAGCCTGTAGAAAATGACTTATTCTACCTAACACAAAGACAGCAAAGGGGAGTACTATAGAAATGAGATCTTTGGTTCGTTGAATATATGTTGAATACATTTTCATCCCCGCCTCTAGGCGATTGCCTAGTTATTAGGCTCTTTCTTTTAGATATTCTCTTAGTAGCTGCGGGAGTCGAGCTAACCATAGTCTGTATAGACATGGATTAGACGAACCACTTATCAGATGCCCATAGGAATGTCATACAAAGTGGTTACCACTACACCACCCACCCTGCCACCTGACCAATTAGGGTTTCGGCCCAAAGACCTCCCATAAATACTCAATCTGCTTCTTCAGACCCTCCTCCGCGTAGTCACCTGTCACCACACCACGATGGGGCTGGCCCGGGGCCCAGAACAATCTCTTTGGCCCCGGTACGTTATCGTAAATCTGCATCTGCAGGTGGGCGGGCGAAATCTCGTCCAGCTCGGGAATCAATAGCATTGCCGCAGTGTTCGGACTGAGGAACCGCAAGGTGGACACCGGGTCATACTGCACCAGCTGGAAGTATGACTGTAGGGTCATGTCGGGGCTCAGGTTTGGTGCCACGGAATTGCGGGCGCGCTGTGACAGTTCGAAGTCCTCCCTCGAGTAGGCAGGGCCGAACCCAACAGGGTTTTTACCCTCCTCGTTAATTACGGGCACATAGTAGGGAGGGTTGCCTCTCACGGTCGACTCCCGGTCCTTCATAGCATTTTTCAGCATCTTCATGGCGGCTGGAGAGGGGTTGATATCCTGGACCATCGGGCACACGGAGATGACGAGCTTGGCACGCTGGTCGAGGGATGCGGCACCTAGACTGACAGCACCGCTCCAGGACGCTCCCCAGAAGGCGATTCTACTGGGATCCACCATGGGGAGACCTTTAAGGAATGTTAATGCATCGCTATAGTCGGTGACGTTTCGGATCGAGTCGACATGATTGCGTGGTTCGCCGTCGCTATCACCGTAGTTGCGAGGGTCGTAAGCCAGTGCGGTAACGCCGTTGCGCTGGAACTCTTGGGCGACATCGCTGATCAGGATTTCCTTGACGAGGTGAAACTAGAAGGTTGGTAAGCAGGTAGTGCTTCCAATGTAGGTCTTAGCTCTTTCACCTTGGTGCGCGGCACCGTGGGCGTGGTCGAATTTGAAAAGTATAAAGACACAGGGAGTTGAAGATATACGTACGCCTGGGGTGAGAATGATGGCTGGCCCACGGGTGTCAGCGGGGAAGAGATCTCCCCTCAGAGTAAGCCCATCAAGGGTCTTGAACTCGACTTTCTGCTTGGACATGGGGACTGGGATGGTGCGGTATTGGTGGAGGCAAAGTGTTCCAAGGAATTTTGATCGGTAATAATGCTCAATGAAATGTCAAAAGCTCGTTCCAGGTACCAGGGGAGAGCTTGTAGCGAACAACTCATTGTTTGGCACGGCAAGGCCTGTCCTTTTATAACCCGGGGCATATTGTAGTTGTAGTAGGATTAGGACACGCCAGGGGAACGGCGACAATATTTTCCGCGCGAAATGCAGCCATGAGTTTGACCGATCAGCTTGATACAGATTTTTCTGCGCTTGCTAACTAACAAGGGGAGGGTAAACCCTCATGTTAGCATGGACAGGGAAGAAAAACACGATACAATGCACTCCGTCGGGTAAGCGGAATTCGGGGTAGCGGAAACTCACCTACAGCTGCGGCTGGCACCACCGGTGACTGTGTCCGTTGGACTTGGAAGCTGGAGCCGAGTCAGTTTGTTTTCTTTTTCTATTACGCTCTCCTTCTCGTAAGACGGGCTGCGGACTTTTTGTTTCACCTTTTATTGCCTCATTCTCTCTCTGTCCTTTTGTTTTGTTTTGCTTTCCTTTCTTTTTTCTTTTTTGCTTCTTGTGTTTCTCTTGTTTCTGCAATATTCCTGCAGTCTGCATATCACCGTAAACTAATCTATCTCTCCTGCTTACTTCCTTTCGAGATCACTGGAAATTCTGTCGGTCGAAAAACCCTACCTAATGCCAGATTGGTCAATTCTCCAACTTTGGACCAGATCAATGGCTGTAGGGGGAGCAATCGGTGATAATCGGGTCGTAAAGTCCGTGGCTTTGGTTGAAGCTAGAAAGCATGTTTACCGGTTAATTTCCACCGTCAGGGGTGATGAAGGCTTGAGGGCTAAGGATAAACGGCCCAGACGGATTGTCCGCCAATTCGGGTGCAGAGATACCAGCAAATCCAGAATTCCAGTCTGCCTGAACGCTATAGAAAACAAATTCCCGTTCGACACAGCAATATGAAAGATGGCGGCCAGGTTACTGGGGGGGAAGTAAAACACGATGCCACTTAGCACCATCCACTGCAAATCAGTAGGCGTCAAGGGGACCGTGCCCTATGACGTACTCCCCATGCATTGACAATCACGCTCCCTGTGCTGATCATGTCTGACCTGGGCAAGATCCACTGGCTAGAGCAGATCAAACTGCATCCACACCACTTGGTGAGGGAGCGGCTTCGGCACTCAACAGCTGAGATCGTAGCATTCAAACAGCCGGATCGGTTCGGTTGAATTGTAACGGAAGATCGTAACGGAGTTGAGAGAAACAATGGTGATTAAACAGCGAATCTCAGTTACTATGGACACCCTGTGAGGCGAGGCGACTGAATAACTAGGAGCTGCGCTCACATAGAGTCAGAGTATATATAGGACTAGTAAGGTCTACCTGCCAGACCTATTCATCCACCTCGGAGAACGCAGACTGATTTCTGAGTCCCTCTACAAAGTCACACATAAGCCCCGACATTCGAGAACCAGCACCAGACACAAGACTAAGGTTGGACGAGCAAAGCAATGGCTGAACCAATCGCTATCGTAGGCATGGCTTGTCGCCTGCCTGGAGAAAACTTCTCGCCCTCACAGTTCTGGGAGTTCCTCAAGCGCGGTGGCCTTGCCTCTAGTGAAGTCCCCGAGTCTCGGTTCAGCATTGATGCTCATTACGATGAGACTCGAAAATCTCACTCAATGAGGACTCCCGGTGGCAAGTTCCTTGAGAAGGTTGACCTGCGCGACTTCGATGCCGGCTTCTTCAATATCTCCCCCGGTGAGGCGACGGCCATGGACCCCCAGCAGCGCTTGCTGCTGGAAGTGGTTTACGAGTCACTGGAGAATTCCGGTATTCCTCTTAGTGCAGTGAACGGGGCCCAGGTGGGTTGCTTCGTTGGTTCATTCCTCTCCGGTATGCAAACACCCCCCCCCAGAGAGTCCAACAATCGGTTTGGTGGTATGTCGCTGACAGCTACGTGCGCGGGTATTCAGACTACGACTACATACACGCCCGGGACCCCGATAACCGGCCTAATTTCATCTTGACGGGAATTGGCCGTGCAATATTGAGTAACCGTATCAGCCATGTCCTGAACCTCAAGGGACCCAGGTAAGGAGGGCAAGACAGAATCCAATTCACTGCGTTCCAGGGAGATCCTGCCGAAGTATAAGACTGACCGGTTTATTCCATTGCCTCAGTATGACAATCGACACTGGCTGTTCGGGAAGTTTGGTCGGCGTCGACGTGGCATGCCGATATCTGAGTGCTGGGGACGTGGATTCTGCCATTGTTGCAGCATGTAATCTGTTCTTCAGGCAAGTAAAGTGCCCTTTACAATCATCGTTTTCAACCATTCCGGATTCCAGCTAAACGTTCAAGATAGCCCAGAACACACCACAGACCGTAAGTGAAGCTATAACTTTATGTTCCCCATCACCCGCTCCTCACATTCAATTGACCGGGCTACTAATCAAGCTGGGCTCTCATAGCCAGTTCAACGGGTGCGATCTACACCGGGACCGGACAGTGCCACACGTTCGATGCGAAAGCCGATGGATATGCCAAGGCAGAGGGAGTGGGGTCGGTAGTCCTGAAGCGTCTCAGCGATGCCATCCGTGACCGCGATCCCATCCGCGGCGTCATTCGGGGATGGGCGGTCAACAGTGATGGCCAAACTGCAGGCATCTCCACTCCGGATGCTGTGGCGCAAGCCGCTTGTATCCGTGCAGCGTATGAAAAGGCTGGTATCGAAGATCGCAGTCTAACACCTTATGTCGAATTTCACGGCACCGGTACCAAGGCAAGTGAATATGCCATGCTTCTGACCCGTTGCACGCTGACCAGTGACCGTCAACCATATAGAGAGGCGACTTGACAGAAGTGGAAGGCATCAACCTGGCCTTTGAACCCGCGCAGAACCGTGATAAACCCCTTATGATCAGCTCCGTAAGGCCCTTGAGAAGAAAGCCAGAATATCTGGATGATGCTAAGTTTGGGTAACCAGGTCAAAAGTAATATTGGACACGGTGAAGCAGTCGCCGGTCTCAACGGTCTCCTCAAGGCCATTTTGACGGTCGAGAATGGCCTCATTCCGGGCAATCCGACATTTATGGAACCGAGCCCACTGAGTAAGACCAAAATCCACCACGGAAATGTTCTCACAGAACCCACGAGGCTGATAATTCGGGCACAGTCGACTTCGACAAACTGAATCTACATGTCAGCAACAGAGCCACCCCTTGGCCGCAGAATGCTCTGCGGCGTGCCAGCGTTAATTCGTTTGGCTATGGAGGCACCAACTGCCATATTGTACTGGACGGGGCCAATATGTGGATGGATCCTTCGGGCCCATTTCATAAATCATCTTACAACTCAAAAATGGGGGGGATCATGCTGGAGGACGACGATGATGACGAGCAAGAAATAGAGTTCAAGCGACCCTTTCTGCTCGTGCAATCGGCTAGCGACGAATACTCCTTGAAGAATAACTGCAAGGAGCTGACCCGACACTTTTCCAAAATCAATGTCAAGGCCGAGCTCCGGGACGTGGCTTATACGCTGTCGGAGCGACGGAGCCACCACTTGCACAGAGCGTTTGCCATTGCTGATCGGTTGCCGATCAACGAGAGCGACTTTATGCATGGCAAGGTCGATGTGCAGGTGCCCCGAATTTGCTTTATATTCACTGGACAAGGAAGCCAGTGGCCACAGATGGGCAAGGAAGTCATTCAGGCATTCCCTGTTGCCGCTGACACGATTAAGGAACTGGATGCGGTCCTGCAAACAATTCCGGAGGCCCCCTCTTGGAAGCTCTGGGGTACGTCTCGCGCGCTCTCTCTTCATCCCCCTTCCTATGACACCATCACGTAGGAATACATTGAGTCGTTACTGACCGTAAGGAAAATAGACGAACTCACCGAGTCACGAGATAGCAGCCATATCCGTCAACCGGAGCTATCGCAGCCATTAGTGACCGCTCTTCAGCTGGCGCTGGTCGACCTGTTCCACAGCAGTGGGATAAGCCCTCAGGGGGTTGTGGGCCATTCCTCGGGAGAAATTGCGGCAGCCTACGCGGCCGGCTACGTATCTAAAGCCGACGCCATTAAGATTGCCTTCTACCGCGGATATGCTGCCAAGGTACACCCGATGAAGTCAGTCGGGATGATGGCAGTGGGACTGGGTCCCGACGCAGTGCGGCCATACATTGAGAAGCATCAGGAGCTGGTCCAGATTGCGTGCATCAACAGCCCTCAAAGCGTCACACTATCCGGGTCCACCGACGGGTTGGAGGCTGTGATGGAGCCTCTGACGGCAGATGGTCACTTTGCGCGCCTGCTACAGGTTGATCTTGCCTATCATTCGCGCTTTATGGCAGAGATTGGCGATTCCTACTACTCCCTCCTGCAGTCCAATATCGCGTCCGGGGAAGCTGGGACCAATACTACCACGATGTTCTCCTCAGTGACGGGAGCACGCATGCAGGCCATCCCCAACGCACGCTACTGGCAGCAGAACATGGTGTCCCCAGTCCTCTTCTCCAGCGCCGTGCAACAGATGGTGAATGCCCATCAGGGTCCCAATCTCGTCATTGAGGTTGGTCCCAGCGCCACGCTAGCGGGGCCGATCAAGCAGATCACCGAGAGCGTGACCCAGACTGGAATCAGCATAAAATACGCTGGTCTGCTCAGTCGGAAAGAGGGCACGCTGCCACTCTTCCGGACAGTAGGCGATCTGTACAACTCAGGCGTGTCCATTCAACTGGATTCGTTCAACCGGACGCGTGACGACGAGGCCATCAGACCGGCGGTGCTTGTGGATTTGCCCAACTACTCCTGGAATCACACCACCAAGTATTGGTATGAAACCCGGCCCAGTCGCGACTGGCGATTCCGCCGCTTCAGACATCACGACTTGTTGGGGAGCAAGATCCTTGGGACATCGTGGCAGTCGCCATCATGGTCCAAGATCCTGCATCTCCGTGAACATCCCTGGTTGAATGATCACAAGATTGGCAAGGATATCGTGTTCCCGGCGGCCGGGTATGTCTCTATGGCCATGGAGGCTTTGTTTCAGGCCAAAGTGGCCACCGAGGCAATTCAGACGCAAGACCGGCAACAGTTGCAGTACCAGATCCGGGACCTACGTTTGACCAAGGCCATGGTTTTAGATGAAAACATACCCGCAGAGATCCAGCTCACATTGGACTCGCATGTTTCTCCCAGTAGCCCTTGGTCCCGTTTCAAGATTTCCGCATTGAAGGATAGCATTGCGGACGTTAATTGCTCCGGTCTGATTCGCTTGGATCAGACTGCTCCAGGTAGGGCTGTTCCCCGCCGCCCCACAAACCCCCGACTTCGTCCCTGTTGGGGAACATGAAGATGAAGTTGCTAATATGAGACATGCTGATTAGCGGGTGTATCACCTCCGGATCTAACGATGGGAGGCGCCCAGACCCAAGGGACCTTGTGGTATTCTAGTTTGGCGGATGTGGGCCAGGACTACGGGCCGGCGTTCCAACGCATTCAGGGGGTGAAGTCCCTGCCTGGGGTTCGGCGGACAGTGTCAGAAGTGCTCATCCGGGACCCGTCGCAGGAGAAGGGCCAGTCGCCTTATCCCTTGCATCCTGCCCCCATGGACGCAATCTTGCAATGCATCCTGACCGTCGTCTGGCAAGGGGACCGCTCCGCGATTCCGGGACCCGTGGTCCCCGTGGCATTCGACAACATCACGATCTTTCCCATGGCCGGGTCCTCGCCAACTGCTACTTGTTTGGCTACCGCAGGTTACAAGGGTCACGGGCGACCTACGGATCCCCATAGCCTCAAGTCCCATGCCAGCCTGTACGATTCCCAAAACGGCGCGTTACTGGCGTCAGTCGAAGGCATGGTCGTTCAGCAGCTGAGTAGCACTGGGCCTGACCGGGTGGATACGTCTGCTGTAGCACCGGTGTGGCGCCCCGATGTGTCACTCTTGCAGGCGCCGGCTTGGAGCCTTGGGGGGCCCACCACGGACATCCGGATCGAGGAGGTGCAGGATGTGATCGACCTCATCCTGCACAAGACTCCCTTTTTGAATGTAGTCGAGATCAACCTTACCCGGGCGTCGACTAGCCTCTGGCTTGGCGGTGCACAACTTAAGCAGAACCGCAATTTCCGAGATTATCGCTTCCTGCTGGCCGATCCTGATGCGGCCAACGAGGCCCGCGAGCAGCTGGCGGACCGAGGAGTGCGCATCGGATACCTTGACCCGGCCAGCCCCAAGCTGGGAACGGTCTCAGGCGAAATTGACCTGCTAATCGTCCACTACCAAACAGATACCCAGCTCCAGGCATTGCAGAGCCTGATCCCCGAGGCCCTGAAACTGCTCGCCCCAGCCACTGGAACCGTTCTCCCAGTACGAAAACTGACCCCCCATGCGCTGACCAATGGGACTACTCCCACGAAGCCTTCAGAGGTCATTGACCAGCTGCTCCAGGCAGACAGCTACATCAAGGTCTTGACTGCTGAGGATCCAACCGGTTATGCCGCCCTGTGGCGAGGGCCCAATTTGACTCCAATTCCGGTAGAGAAGCGCACTGTTGCCATTGCGCGCTTCCGAGCGGACGCCCTTCCGTTTGGATCCTTGGCCAAGGCCCTTGGTCGGTACAACTACGACTTCCAGGAACACTTCTATCCGTTCACCAAAATCCCGTCGGACGCGATGGTCCTGGTTGTTGATGAAATCCAATCGCCAATGTTCGCTGAGGCAACATCTAAAATCTGGAACGGTTTCAAAATACTCTTGGAGAAGCACTGCCGCATGGTTTGGGTGACCCGAGGCGCTATGATCCAGGTCAGCAATCCGAACAACGCGGTCAGCCATGGTGTGATCCGTACTGCTCGTCTGGAGGACCCCTCCCAAGCTATTATCACCCTTGATATCGAAGGAGACGTAGCTTCGGCCACAGGGTGTGCGTCTATCGCGCAGATGCTCTTTCACGTGGAGCATCTGGAACGTGGCAAGGCGGCCGATTCGGATTTTGCCGAGCACGGTGGACTGCTTCATATTAGTCGGCTGGAAAAGCAATCCGCTGTTGCGGGCTTCCATGAGCCACTGGGCTCCTCCCAGCCACTGACCGAGCTGAAGATGCACGAGTCTAACTCCATCGTCCGCCTGCAGACTGGGACCGCGGGGTCTGTCGAGTCCCTACGTTACGTACAGCTGCCCTCCGATCAATCGGAGTTACCAGAGGATAAGGTCGAAGTGGAGTTATACGCCTCGGGACTGAACTTCAAGGTAAGAATCTGAATGGTCCGTCGTCCCCCCGCCAAAGGTAGCGGCACTAATCGGAACCTTTCCCACCCCCAGGATATCGCCATCTCCATGGACCTGGTCGATGAGGATGAGCACATGCTCGGCAGTGAGGGTGCAGGAATTGTTCGCCGGGTTGGCCGCCATGTCTCGGGTTTCCGATGCGGAGATCGAGTCGCGGTGATCACGCAGGGCTGTCTCGCCAATCGTATCCAGGCATGCCCGGCCAACGTCATCCGGATCCCCGATAGTATGTCAATGGAGGTATGTGCTAATTCCACCTTTTCCTCACTGTCGTCGAACTCAATGTTCCTAATAATCCTCGCAGGCAGCCGCTTCAATCCCCGTCGCCTACTGCACGGCGGTGTTGTCCCTCTTTCATCTAGCCAGTCTCAAGAAAGCCCAGGTAACTTCCTTTCATCGGGCTGCTTGGCCCTCTTTCTTTTGGAGACCTACTAATATTGCCCAGTCGGTATTAATCCATTCCGCCACTGGTGGTGTTGGGTACGCGTGTATTCAACTGGCGAAGTATGTGGGTGCCGAGGTAAGAGAACCATGAACGTCTTTCTCCGCAACAAGCACGCGTCTATGTGCAGGACTGACTTGCCCCGGTAATATTGATAGGTTTTTGCGACTGCTGGCTCCGACGAAAAAAGAGACTATCTGCATAAGACCCATGGTATCCCAAAGAGTCATATATTTTCCTCCCGAGACTCCTCGTTTTCTTCTGGCATTATGAATGTCACAAATGGCAAGGGAGTCGATGTTGTGGTCAACACACTGATGGGGGAGATGCTGGAACATTCCTGGCGTATCTGCGCCCGAAATGGTGTCCTCGTCGAACTTGGCAAGGCCGACATCCGGTCTAGAGGTTATTTGTCTCTCGAGCCTTTCGACCGCGGCTGTTCCTTCCGAGCCTTGGATCTTACCCTGGTCTTGGGTGAACCTGAGAGAATCAGCAGGTATTATGCCTCCCCTATACCCCGTCTCTAATACGAGGCAATGCAATCTGACAGGTTCAACTGTAGGGTCCTACGAGAAGTCTTCCAGCTCATCGAGGCCGGTCATGTGCCCCCGGTGGAGGAGCGGACGGCGCACGCGTATGACAAGATCAAAGATGTCTTCGCACAGATGCGGTCTGCCCGACATCTGGGAAAGCTGATTCTAAGTAATGGTGAAGGACAGGACTACTCCGTTCCCGTACAGACAACCCTTCAGCAACCGGCCATTCGAACCAATGCCTCCTATCTCATTGTCGGAGGCCTGCGCGGAGTCTGTGGTCGCTTCGCCATCTCCCTGGCTCAGTGGGGGGCCCGTAATTTGGTGGTCATGTCGCGCTCCGGCTTAGGCGATGACAAGTCCCAGACCATCATCGAGGCTTGTCGTCGCTTAGGCTGTGCCATCGAAGACATCCGCGGCAACGTCCTGTCGCCAACCGATGTTGGTCATGTCTTCGACACAGCACGGCTTCCCATCGCTGGCGTGATTCAAGGTGTCATGAGTCTGAATGTAAGCTCCCTTTTCTTTTTCTTTTTCATTTTTTTTTTTCCCCTTTGACTTTACGCACTCCCTGATCCTGACGCCGGGCTCATAATCACTAGGATAAACCTTTGGAAACAATGACACTGGAAGAGTTCCAGGGCACTTTGTCAGGCAAGGTCCATGGAACGTGGAACATTCATAATGCTGCAATTGAGCGCGGGCTATCTCTGGACTTCTTCAGCATGCTGTCCTCCATTCTGAGTGTTCTGGGACATGCTGGGCAGGCCAACTATGTTGCCGGCAATCTCTTCCTGGACGCCTTTGCCATGTACCGCCACTGCAAGGGCTTTCCGGCGCACAGTATCAATCTCAGTGCCGTCGAGGATATCGGATACATCGCTGAAAACCAAGGTAACTGGCAACGCCATCTTCCATTGAACGATATTACGTTGATTCGCGAGAAGCACCTCGAGTGCATCCTTCGCGACTCCCTTCTTCAACAGATGGATCCCAGTCAGAAGCGCCCTGGACTCACCCAGCTTGTGGTCGGGGTGCGCGAACAAATCAGTCCCGACTCCCAATATGCCCGAGATAACCGATTCCTCCCTCTCATCGCGCATGGAGACGGTGGGGATCTCGCGGCCGGCCAAAGTGGAAGCAGTGGAGAGTTAGCTAATTTCATCGATGTGGCCAACTCGGCTAGTGACCGAGCCACTGTGGTCAGTCACGCGGTCCAACTTTTCAATGTCCAGTTGACCAAGTTTCTGCATTTGGCCGAGCCCATGGAACCGGCGAAGCCTTTGGGGGCATACGGTTTGGACTCTCTGACTGCGCTGGAATTCCGGAACTGGCTGCGTGACACTTTGACGGTTGAAATGTCCACCCTTGATATCGCTGGTGCGGGGTCCCTCTACGCCTTGTCCGAAAGGTTCGTGTCTAAGTTCCTGGTCCCGAGTGAGAAGTAAGTGTTTGCTATATTTGGCTTGGGCCATGTCTCTTTTTAGGTTGTGTATTCCAACAATGGACAAATCTTGTTGTCACTAGCCCACTATCTTACACACCCTGCTATGTGAATTGGACACCAAACTGTGCATATGAGATAGGATAGTACTATAAGTAAGCCTGTTTGCAAGTCTATTAAGGAAAATCAAGGTATTGGTTATACCACCAAAACTGATTCTAGGCTTTTCTAGTAGGGAAACTTTCACAACGGGACAACAGTGAAATGATGTCTGATAAGTTCAAAACTAGTATTTTTTTTGATAGTGCTTTGAACATTGAATACAGTAATATTTAGACTATTTGCTTAATTTATTGAATCTTCAATCTAATTAGGTAAATCAGTAAATCTAGTTAACTAACTAGGTTAAAATCCAATAATAGTCTTTCTAAAAGCTATGTTACAAATTGTATAAGAATTCTTGTCTTCGTTTTACCGATAACTTCATACTCTTTAGGAGCAAAACAACCACGATGAACCTTAGAATGCACCTGCAGATTGCCAAAACATCAGGACGTACAGTGAACATCTCAATTGAAGACCAATCTCATGATCGCAAAAAGATCGGAACGCTCTATAGATACGGGATTCGGGGCTTACAGCTCGGCGTTCGGGAGCAGAAGTCTAATCATTGTCTGAGCGGAGGTCGGGGAACCAGATGTCCGATGCATTCCAAACGGTTGCTTCTTGTTCGTGACCGGCATTGCGATGCCGAAACTCCTGCCTACATTAAGAGAATTCGGACTTCGGTATCGGCCATTCCGTGCATTCAGCAACTACGAGACGTGCTATTTTCTTCTAGATCAATTATTGCTTCTTCCTGTTGGTCAGGATCGCCAAATGTAACCCTTGGACTTTGGGCTTCGCAGTCAGCTGCGTTTTCTAAATTCCTCGGTCAAAGGTTTCCCCCTGTGTTCCTTAGTCCTTTTATGTACGTGTGTGGTGTAGTGTTTGTAAGATAGAGCTTGGTTATCGATAAGCGATTGTCAATGCGGAGTGACAGCGGCAATAGATATGTGGGGGAAAGCGGTGAGGGCGTAGCTTTGAATTTATCAAGATGACCTTGATAGAATAGAATTAAGTTAACTAATTAGGCATGATATTTGGTCAGCAATTCCGTAATTTCCTAGCAGAAGTGGGTTAATACAGGCAAATATCAGGCTATGAGGGAGTAAAACATTGTCCTCAAACTACTAGTATCTTGCAATGTTTAACTAGTCCCCGCTCTGTATACAGCCCACCAATCTGCCGTGAGTCACATCAAAGACTAAGATCACTTCTCCAAAACACGCAATCTCAGCCCAATATCTTAGTGACAAAACTAGAGCAACTACGGACTAGTTAGCTTGATTGACCTCCAGCTTAGACAGACATGCATTCCTTTTCCTTTACCACAATCAATTCAACTACCCATTATAAATCATTCAACTACACAACTAACCACCCACACCCAACATGACTCACTCCACCACCACCATATCATCCCTCCTCTCTTCCACCCCCCTGGACCCCACCCCCTATGAAGCCCTCTACAAACACTTCCACGCGCACCCCGAACTCTCCCGACAGGAGAAGCAGACCTCAGAAAAGCTCGCCGCCCATCTCACCCAACTCGGTGTCTTCGACATCCACACCCACATCGGCGGGAACGGTCTCGCCGGCGTCTTCCGCAATGTCACGGACGAATCCAAGGACCACCAAACCGTCCTTCTCCGCGCAGACATGGACGCCCTCCCCGTCAAGGAACTAACCAACCTGCCCTACGCCAGCACCATCACCATGCGCGACGCAGATGGCAACGACCGACCCGTCATGCACGCCTGCGGCCACGACATGCACATCACCTGTCTCCTCGCGGCAGCCGAAACCCTCGTCAAGCTGCGGGACGCATGGAGCGGGACGCTGATCGTGCTATTCCAGCCGGACGAAGAGCGCGGGGGCGGCGCACAAGCCATGGTCGACGACGGGCTTTACTCGCGCATCCCCGTGCCGGACGTAGTCCTTGGCCAACATGTCATGCGCATGCGGGCGGGCAGTGTCGCGTCCCGCGAGGGGGCAATTATGGCGGCGGCGGATAGTATGAAGATCACGGTGTTTGGACGGGGCGGACATGGGTCGCAGCCGCATCAGACGGTGGATCCGGTGTTGCTTGCGGCGCATATTGTGGTGAGGTTGCAGAGTATCGTGAGTCGGGAGATTAATCCGGCGGATTTGGCGGTGTTGACGGTGGGGAGTTTGCAGGCGGGTCAGACGGAGAATATCATTGCGGATCGGGCGGAGATTGGGGTGGATTTTAGGTCTGTGAAATTGGAGGTTAGAGAGCAGATTATTGAGGGGATTAAGAGGATTGTGCAGGCCGAGTGTCTGGCTAGTGGTTCGCCGGTGAAGCCGGTGTTTACCCCGACGAGGAGGTTTCCGCCTACGGTTAATGATGGGGATGTGGCTAGGAGGGTTGCGGAGACGTTTGCGGGGCATTTTAAGGATTTTGATCCTGACGTGGCGAGGACTAATATCGCCGAGGATTTTAGTACCCTTGCTACTTGTCGGGGTATTCCGAGCTGTTTTTGGTTGCTTGGGGGTGTGGATCAGGGGGTTTGGGACAGGGCTGAGAAGGAGGGAAAGATTGAGGAGATCCCGGGAAATCATTCGGCCCTGTTTGCGCCGGTAGTGCAGCCGACGTTGAAGACGGGTGTGGATGCGTTGTGTTTGGCTGCGTTGACGTTTTTGAGGAAATAGTGTAGATGGGGTAGTTACCACGATTATAGAGAAGGGCTAAAACATTTCCTCGACTTAGTAGGTGGATAGACTCTATTTGCTCTGTCGAAAGGGGAGGTGGGGATTCTTCCTGCAGAAGATAGACATCATGAGTCATGTGAGCAGAAGCCAGTGTTCGAATTCTCAAATGGGGAGCATGCTGGCGTATATGTAAATTATGGGTACATTGTAGTAAATATCATTAGTATATCTCAGTCCATCACCATCCCGTTCCTAAACCCAATCACCATGGCAGCTTCACAAATCTTCGAAAAACCTATTAACCGTCTCCCCTAGTTGCTTGGACCTCTCCCGAATGCGACTCTCATCCATAACACCCTCTTCGCTAACAAACGCATCAACCATATACAACGGCACCCATTCAAAGTAGGTATTCTTCACCTCGACCGTCGACGACCCCTCTGCATCAGCCTCCTTCATGCCGTCTTCGAGCACCCGTACTGCTTTGACGCCATCATTGTGCCAGGCACTGATGACCTCCATCGGATCGTTGTCTTCATGATGATCATCATCAATCATGCTCCCGACACAGTTAATCTTCTCGAGGTCGCTGAGAACAGCAATTTGGGCACCAGGACTGACATGTTTTGTGCAAAGCACAGCTGGTAATGACCCCGTCTTGTTGCTCACTCCTTTTGTGCTGGATATGCGGTCTGCACCGAGAAGTAACAAATCCACGTTGGCGGCGGCCAAAGCGGCAGATGCGTCTGTGTATATCTTCACTTTCAGTTCTTTACCGGGGGTGTCCAGGAACCGTGATTTGAAGTTGCTGACGATGGATGAGCCTATACTAGTGCCTTCAAATAGTGGCCGCGACTCGAGAATGCGAAGTTCCAGCTTTCGAATATCCAGCGATGCATACGCTTCCAAGATGCTGTCCCGGATAGTTGAGCTAGCCGAAACAGTCAAAATGGTAAGTTTATCCAGCGCTTCCCCGTGATGCAGGAACTTGAATCGGATGTAATTCGCAAAGGCATCCTTCACTTGCGTTTGACGACTCTTCCGACACTTGAGATGATGATCGAGCACATTCAGGACCCGCTCCAACTTATGCTGCGAGTTGGTCTGCTCGTCCACAAGTATGTCCTTTATCTCATCTAGAACGGCAATCAGAGCATTCAACGTCGAGGCGCCCATACTTTCTCGACCATTCTTGATAATATGCCACGCTGCCATGCGAACAGTCTTCCACCATTCCTCGCTATTGATTTCGTCTTGCGTCTGGACAATGAAATCCCGGAAGGCCACCAGCGCGATAGCAGTCAATTCTTGCGCTCCGCTCTCGTGGTCGCTTCGTAGACGTTCTAGACCAAGTGAAAGCGCCTTGGCTGCGCGTTCGCTCAATTCTCCTTCGAACCAGACTCGTCGTAGGGAGTCTTTTAGACGCGGGACTATCTCCAAGTCTTCCCTGTCCAGCACCGATTGTGGATCGTACCATTCCCATCCCTCGTGCTCCCAGTCTATCTTGATAGCGCTTTCGCCCTTTCCTCCTTCAGATGGGTCTTTAAGCTTGAAAGCAAAAGGATGAACGGTCCATTCGCGATTGACAGATCGATCTTCAAAGGTGAATGACTTCCCTGTGCGCCAGTGTATGAGTGAAGATTGGTCGAGTGAAGTTTCTTCGGCCAATTCGCGCCACGCTGCTTCGATGGGAAAATTGTCGCTGCGACTTATACTGCCAGATATCGGGGCGAGATGATGGCTACATCGCGATATTCAGCGAAAACTGCAGCAATTAAAGAATGTACGGGGCAAACGAACCTGTACGTCCGCACTTTATCACTGCGCTTGAAGAGTGCAACAACAGGTTTCTCAGACGGACCCTTGGGGAAATAGAAAATAAATGAAGAAACGACAGCGCGCTTCTCAAGCTGCGACTCGTGAGGCTGTTCCTTGTGCGACATTGTGAATGTGGTGGATAAATTACGCCCGGTGGAGCTATGTACGATGCGGCATGTAAAAAGAGGAGCGAAAGAATAAGCCTTTCGGCTGATCAGCATACGCGCGAGGCGATCGCCGTTTCTTGTCAGAAAAAAAAAAAGAAATGAAAGAGTAGACAGTCGGGGAAATATAAAAGATGGCACAGACGGTCGTAGAGAGTGTCAGCTGATCGGGTAGCTGCCCGAAAGAAATGAGAGGATTCATTCGGTCATGGTCACATCACGCTATCGGTGCAGACAATCAGTCTTACGACGGATATCGAGGGCTGATATAGCTTGCGCCATGGTCAGCAACCTGCTCTTATAATTTAACCATTATTATTTCGTATCTTCGATAAAGAATAAATAATTCTACCCAATTTGCTAAGATAACATGTCCGCGCCGATCACGAGTATCTTTCTTCGCCGGGGTTGTAGTACAGCAGTGACGTCAACATTCGTCAGGCGCATCGCTCTATACAACAAGCCCAGAATTCTCAGTTATAACCTCAACAATAACACATACTCGATTACTGCACAAAACCCACCAAACAGTGTTTCTTTCTACCATCAATCCCATCGACTCCTAACCAAAATGCAATCCTACCCCGGCTCCTGCTTCTGTCACAAAATAACCTATAACCTTAACCTCTCATCTCCAGACGATGCCCGCACGTCCCTCTGCCATTGTCGCAGCTGCAAGGTAAGCCAGATAGATCCAGGGTTATGATCTGTGATCTATAAATAGTTGCCATCCACAAGGTGTTCAATTGACTAACGAATACCCCGGATTATAGAAAGCTTTCGGAACAAACTACGGTCTAACCGCCAAGGTCCCCAAGGATGCTCTTCAGATCACATCTGGCACGCTCAAGGAGTATGTGGGCGATAATGGGTCTGGGAGTATGATTCATCGGGAGTTTTGTGGGGATTGTGGGAGTTATATTTGCGAGTATGGGGTATGTTCTGTCTCTTGTCTCTTTGAGGGGGTTTTTAGTGGGGAATGCAATTGAGTGTGATGCTAACGGGAATTGTGCAGGATGCGGTCAAGAATGACTTCCGGTATATTTGTGTAGGGACATTGGATGATCCGGAGGTGTTGCCGCCCAAGGGAGAGTTCTTCTGTCAGAGTAGGGTTCGTTGGATGCCTGAGATTCCGGGTGAGTAGTCTGTCTAGTTCTCTTGGTGGGCAATGACTAATTCGGCTCATAGATGTTTTCCACAAAAGCAAGATCAAGGAGTGATGGGTTTGATCTGGTATTTTCCCGAATCTAGTTTCCTTCTTATGAAGCTGTTTTATTATGAGCAACTCGTATCCTAGATATGTACACTAGATGATATCTTATGCGATCTCCGTCACACTCTTAACCACCATATCAGGTCGTATCAGTTTCCCCTGAATATGCAGCGCATTTAAATAGTCATTACTGTCCACACGACGAAAACCATCTTCCAGCGTCTTCTCAATCCCCGCACTGACATGTCGTCGAGCAACTCTTCCCCTGGCTTCTTGCAAGTCTGCGTCGACGAATATGCGATAATCGACCAATTGCGACACATCACGCCAGTGTTCTTCGTTTAACAGGAGATAATTGCCTTCGATGATAATAATCGAGGCATCGCTTGTGATAGCCATGCCGTTCTCAACGGGGTCTTTGGCCTCGTGATCAAATGACGGTGCATATATAATAGCAGCGTCAGATGATGAGTCTCCGTCTGATGGAAACGGAGTAGAGTCTGCCCATTGTCGTAGTTGTTGAACAAACGTAACGAACCGCACTGCGTCAAAGGTCCATGGTGCGCCACGCCGGATGTATGCCTCTTCACGGTTAGGAAGAACATCCAATGCCGCCCGCGACAAGTGGAAGCCGTCCATGGAGATGAGTGCTATTTTGTTTGGTTGTGACTCGGCTCGGAGTTGTTGAGCGACAGCTGAAGCTGTGGTGGTCTTGCCAGAGCCTGGTATTCCAGCTATAGCAACGAGAAGTCGCTGCTTGTCATTCTTGCGAGCTTCTTGTTGGATTGCACCTGCAATACGAATGTATTCTGCTTCCATCTGTTCATGCATCAGTCAGCTCGATGATGAAGCGAACGGTAACGGCAACTAACCTTGAATCACCCTCGTGCACCCAGTTGTAAATAGAAGTCAAACAAAAGTTCAGACTGCTCTTGTAGAGCCTACATCTCTGAATATGTACCACGGTACCTTGTGGCGGGGGAATCGGCTGACAGTGCTCCGACGACTGCTAGCAACGGCGCATGTTGAAATCAAGTATCCGAGGTAAGTCAAATCAGCGATTGCGGGGAGTGGCTAGTTTATATTCGATTAGTACGATCATAAACTTGCGCATCCTTTTGTTTGATTGTGAAGCAGCTGTTCTGGTCCGCGTTGGATATCCGCCGTGAAGGAAACAGTGGCAAATCGTGCATGTCCTGAATATGCTACTCTCCGTCCGGATCCCGCATACGGAATGTACCATTTGTGATCAGCCATCTGGAGTCCAAGTGTCACTTCCTTGAGCAACCTTCTGCTAGTCTTCCCCCGCATGCGGGGTGACTGGACGATAGAGCTATCTAAGGCACGTGCCTATCTTATCGGCCGAAAATAATCTATCGTGACGATGAGAGAAGAGCTGTGTAGAATAACCAAAGTAACTTCATTTCACTCGTGATTCATTTAAAAGTCAACTCGCCAACAGCCGGGGCGATGAATTTACGATCTCAACGTGGCGGGAACGCGGCTTGGTTGACCGCTTCGGTGGTTTTGGCAGAGGCGCCACATAGAAGCACAGTATCTGCTGATCCAAGCAATGCGAGCAGCGCGGTCTCTGCTGATCGCAAACAACACCCCATGCCTGGCATGCCTTGCAAGGATAACTATGCTCGTTTCCAGAGGACTGTTCCCGCAGTCCTGTGTCGCATTCTCCAGTGGTAGACAAACCACCTCTCGCTGTGCCAGCACATCCGTTCGTCTTTGCGAAGGCACCGTTTGTCGCTTTGGGTTGACTCGCGGGATCCGCAAGGGCATCGTGGGTCCCAGACCCGGCGATCATCCACACCGACCAGAACCATTGTGCAAAGCGCTTCAGAATGCAGTCTCCCCCCATGTGGCTTTTCCTGGTGAGATCGTAGCTCACCGAACTTTCAGCCGGCTGTGCCATTGTGTTCGACATCGTGTCTAGTTGTGTCGTATCTTCGTACCGCTAATCGACTGGCGAGTGTGGTCGGGCGGGGTGCTGGTCAGATCTTAGAATATTAGCGTCCGTAACTTCATGACGATGCCAGTTGAAAGCGCATACCTGAGACTGTCCTTTCTGGCGCAGAGAAGATAGACGTTATAATCACTGTCACTGTGCTTGAACCATTCCTGTCGAGTAACAGAGTTCTCTGCAAGCGGAGGGAGATCGCTCTGGTACTGCAAGAGAAGCGTACCCGCGCGACCTGCTAACGACGAAATCTTTCCATAGGTTGAAATAGTAGGGCAAGAAGAACGCGGAAGCGGGTTTCCAACTTTTGATGAAGAATCCGCGTCTAACAAAAAAAGAAGGATAATAACACGAAGGGAGAAAGGATCCGAGCACCGTTATAAGAAAAACCCCGCGCCATCGGAATGCCAACACACGGTCCTCCAGGACACGGAGGCCCAGACTTGGAGTGACCCCTGTCACCGGGTCTCCATCACCCAAATTGTATGGATCGACATTACGTCACCTGAGTTGTGCCACGGTTCGTCGCTCTGATATGTGCAGTTCCCACTCAGCCGTGAAGACATCCTGGTCGTGGCGCCATAATAAGTCTCGGCTATTGGGAAAGAATCCTGGCATAGTGCTTGCTTGATAAATTAGTCTGCGCTCTATGGAAACACGATCGGAGTCCGAGCCAAGTTGATATTCAATGTCCACGTAAGTGTCGGAAGATAAGCAGAGAATACCCTCGCGATTCGTCGCCTGACATGGTCGGTGATTAATTGAATTTTGTGTCATCCAGGTACCTCCTCTGAGTCAAGCGACTGACCGTCTGACATCCGCAGGGACAGCTGGGCTGATCTACTTCCCTTGCAGCCGGCTAGTCTGGTTTTATCCTAGTCCTCCAGCCCAAACATAGCCATATGTCTAGGAGCAACGCCTTGTTGGAGAGGTTTTCTGCAGCCTTATTATTTTCGCATATATTTGTATGGCATGCAGGAATGTGATCCGTGCCTGCTTCGGTCGCTACCTGTTCTAGGCCTCAGACCGCCCAGTAATTGGTAGTGATCTGGACCGATGCCCAATGCAGCCTGCTCCAACGCATCACGGCCACACGTGTCACCGCATACTCATAAAGACCCTTCCCTTCGATGAAATGCGTGTCTTGAGCTGAAAGCACTTTGTTGTAATTTTATTTCGTCTCAATCAATCCAATGAAATCTCGGGCGAAAGATAGTCGCTCATCGATATCGACTTGACTGTACTCATTAATGATCTGTCCGCTACTCATCAGGTATTGCTCGCGAAAATTAGCCCACAGCTTGCTCTGCGGTCGGGGGTAGAACGGATCATTGCGCCAAAAAGCAGTAACAGCCTGCTGAACCCCAGCGTCGCTCATGGGTAAATATCGACAAAGATCGAAGTCCAGCATCCACATAGTATGCCGACCAAGAACATTGGTGATTGTGTTGGTGTTGGGTTCTTCTTCGTGGAAAGGGGGAGGAGCCATAACAAATTCAACATCATTTCCGTCCACCTCGCCGAGCCAGTGTAGAGTGGCTAATGCTTCACCCATCGTACGCGCATAACTTTGCATGTCTTCGGTCAGAATGCCGATGTCTTCCATCTGGTCTTCGTGTAATGGGTAGTTTCTCAGTGAGAATGCTGCAAACCTCGAGGGTCTGTTAACCTCAGTCTTCTGCGTCCGTCGTCTACCCAGATATGGCCGTATCAGACAGTCACTGTTGGCGGCGCTTGTCAGTATCTCTGTTTGTATCGCTGGGTTGCAGAATTTATCAACAACGAGTTTCCTGATCGGCTCGGCAAATGGGCGAATGCGGTCTGAGACAATGGCATTGCAGGGTGAGTACTGCGATGGGAAGAGGGGGAGATTTTTGGTCCACCACTGATCGTTTGGAGAAATGAAGTGATGACACTGCGAGACCCGGACTTGAGGAAATGTCTGGTGGATACCGGATCTTCGTTTGATGTCTGTCAGTCTGGTAAAGCTCTGGAGGATCCGTTGATGCATAGCATAATCGTTAGCGAGAGACCTGTCTGAGCCGCCATCTTCTCGCTTGATGGCTTGACCATCTTCAAAGAGGGCCCAGACTGTTCCACAGAATCCAGCACCGATACAGGAATATTTTGATGCCATGAATGCTGATGGTATTACCTGAAGTGAGATGACACGGAGAGAGGTACAGTGAGGTGAGTGTTTCTCCTTGTGGAAATATTGGACGTCACATTGACCGCTCGAATTTCCGTGCTCTGCCAAGGCTTGAAGCAAAAGATGGCTCTGAATGGGTAAAGGAACTATATTGATTGATATGCTCGAAGATGAATGCGTCTATTATTGGGCTCAAAGACGGTGTATAAGAGGATCATCGCTGGAACTATGCTTCCCCTTTCATATCAAGAAATATTGCAGCATAATATATCAAGCCCGGGTGGTCTAGTGGTATGATTCTCGCTTAGGGATACAAACCCAAGCATATCTGCGAGAGGTCCCGCGTTCGATCCGCGGCTCGGGCCTTGAATCATTTCTTTTTGCTTTTCTATCCATCATCTGCTTTCTATTCGCAATCATTTTTACACAGTGTGTGTGTGTGTGTGTGTTAGTCGCACCTTCGGTCGGTCGCTTGGGGTGGACTTTCATCAGTATACATGCTCTGGATCGCATGCTTGGCCAGGCTAGCCCATTAGTCCATCCAGCTTGGGTCATGTGCTACTGAAAGAGTGGTAAACAACACACAACACTTCGGGCCCATCCGAATGTAGCAGCTATTTCTCCTTCAGCTACCGATCATTCTCAATGAATCACCGGCTCCTCCCTATCTCAGAAGCCCCATATGCCCTCCCCTGGCATCGGTACCAGGTTAGCAGAACGCCCCCAAAATACATCTGCCATGGTCTAAAATTAGGTTTGGCCGTACCTTATCAGGCCACCCGCCCCATGAATCCCTGTACTATCAACCAAGGACAATCATGTCAAATCAACCAACAGACTTCAACCGAGGCCCGATGACAAACACAAAATCGAGCACGCTCCCCTGTAGCCACTTGAAGGTTCACTGGTGATCGCATGACTTCACCTCTTTTGTCGTGAATATCTAAAGTTACCAGTCTACCCCGCGAATTGAGCCTAGGTTATGGAATATCGCTTGATGTCAAGACTTGATGGTTTGGAGGTTGCTTGCACGCTATTTAAGTTGCCTGTGATGGCGAATTTGGGCTGTGTTATGGAGGGATGGAGATTGTAGCTACTTGGTACATGCGCTACACGGTATTCTGTCGAGAAGCCACACTATACTATTGAGGCTTTGCCTACTATCTACCTATCAATCTATCGATCGATCGATAGTCTCCATAAGGAGGCACATCCATCGCCATGTCCACCACTTCTGAGAAGAACACTATGGGCATCGCGGTTGAAGAAGTCAGAAAGCCTGAACCTGAGCTTGGGGGCCAAAATCACAGTTCTCCCAGTCTGGAGGATCTCATCGAGGAGGTTCCTCCTGCGGAGGACTCGCCGAGTCTGATTGAGACGATTGGGTATTTGCTTTCTATTCAAGATGGCTGTACGAGATCTCTTGGTTGTAATGATGGGGGGAGCAAGAGATGGCTAATTGGTATCACAGATGGACCGCCGGATTCAACATGGGATGTGGAGGATTTTGATTAAGACGATGTTTTATGGGTTATGTTAAAAGCCCAGAATGATATTTTGGGTGGCTCCAGATTAGCTATTACCCCGGGTTGGCGTTTGGTGCTGGATAATGGTTATTCTTCTTCTCCATATAACGGACGAATAAAATGTACCGCTACAGAAAGACCTACCCTCTTTCCGAATATGACAAGAGATAGTTCATGAAGATCATGATAAAATAGCCCCTTTGGCTTTGTCTACTGTACAATGTCCAGTTCTATTGGGGTAAACAGGCTTTAGCTTTCACTGATGTCAGATCGGACTGCCATAGTTGGTGGCAACCAGTCACAAATGCCATGGGTATAAATCTTGACGGTATGCAGACTTGGCTGTAGTCAGCCACTATTGTTACTCTATCCTGTTCAAAGACTTCCTTGCCTCGGCATTAGACACTACCATAGTACTAGAACATATTGCACAATGTCCGAACATGAGACTCAGGTTCCTACACCGGCATTCAGCCAGCCACCCCACGAGCAAAAGGAATCCCTGATTGATATGCTGCACCTCAACAATGTGACATCACATATTGTTAATGCAGTTGAACATATCACTGATACTGAAAGTAAATCGGATGCAATTGACCGTATGCTGTGCCTCCCGTACACGTGGTATCTGGTGGATAGGCTAACAGTTTCTGCAGATGATGAACATGTATTAGTATTCGATAACCCCTTCAAGGGAGCTATGGACGGAGATGATGATGAGACCTATGACTAGGTTTCTGACTATTGATACTGTTGTGTACATTCTAAGAGGATTGTTTCGATATGAGATGGATGGGAAGCAATCACTGGGCAGATGATGTTTATATACCACATTTTGCAATTACGAAGTTTTACTAGAGAAACAACAATATATATATTAGTCACTCATTATTATTCAGCTTTATTCATGATTAAGCCTCATCTTTCCATGTGTTATCGAGGAATTCCCTCATCTTGATGGGCTTGATATCGGGAAACAACGCATTCATACGCTCCTGCGGTAGGTCAAAAGCACCGGCGATAGTGAGTCGGCTCACCAGCACGGTCATTTCCCGGGCCTCCTCCTCAGAAAGCCCAGTAAGGAACGGTGGCACGGTGACCCGACCTGCCTTGACGTTCTCAGTACTGTCATAAACAAGATCGAATTGTTTACCTGGTCATGTTAGTTAGATGTCTTCGTGGGTGTCCGAATCACATACCTCGAGCCTCCTCGGCAAGCTTAAGGAGCTCATTGTAAGTAATGTCATCTCCTGCAAAAATGCTAAATTCAGGCCACTCCTTGAGATCCAGTAGCTTCACGATGTATGCTGCTAAGTCGTATGAATATGTCACGCTCATTTTGTCATTGCCGTCGCCAGGAATGCCAGCCCAGCAGTTGGCTACATCGATCCCGATAACGTGTTGATGAATGTTGGTTCGCACTCGAGGCATTCCCCAATAGTCCATGAGGACACCAGGGCAGACCCGAGTATATTGCAACTTGGTTTTCTTCAGCAATTCAGCTACATCAAGCCAGTACTTAATGCTGGGATCGTGAGGTAGGAGACTGTTCCGTTAGCAAAGTTGCCATTAGTGCCAAGCAGGGTAAACATACTCCTCGGTTTGGATAAACGAATATTCGCTTGGGACAAATCTCTTGGTTTCACTGGATTTCTCGGCAGCCTGGACAAGGTTCATCTGAGATTGGGCGGCTTCCTCGGTGTAGATTCCGATGGCGGAGATGACCGTGTGCACTGCATGCTTCTCCAGCGTTTCGACGATAGAGTCAATGTCATTATAGTTGATTTGGATTTGCTGCGTCCGTCTGAGGACGGGATCCTCTTTGGGATTCTTTGTTCGATCAGTTTAGTGCGCGCAAAGCATCGTCCATGAGGGGTCGTACACTTTGGGTCAAGACAATGACCCGATACTTGGGCTCCTGCAGCAATGCCTCGACAATAGTCTTTCCTATGCCGCCGGTACCACCGGCCACAGCAATCGTGCTCATCTTAGTATACTTATTCGTATATTCCGAGGTGTTTTGGTGGGAAAGACGTGTGTTGGGCGCCGAATGCGTTGGCTAGATTGGGGTGTGGCAGAATCGGACCCTGCTGGTTGCTGACCCCACATGATAAGTTAGTGGGTCTTGCTTTTCTACATCCATGGATGATGCTGTTGACACTTGATCCTGATACCGATTAACATGCAGATAGTACAGCCGGCAGTGCTCGGTTCGCCGAAATAGTAGTATATTCCGTTGTTTCTACTTGCAGGTTCTCAAGAAAGCCCATAGTGTTCTGTGCGACCTAAAGATAGTGTTGGGGCTGTCGATCGGTTCATCAGTGTTGAAGTGGCGAATGGGAATGTCACAATGCAGGCGACATCAGCTTTCTTTCCGTGGAATATGTGCAATTTTATCTTGTGTGCTGTCATGGCATGAAATAAGTAGTAGTATCTGACAACACGATGGTATCGTACTATGGGCTCTGTCGATCTTCGCGTGAAGCATCTGCGGCACGGTGCATCGAAATATATATCCAGTGAGTCAATAATTGACCAACCAAATTGTATGCCAAAAAAAAAAAAATAAAAATAAAAATAAAAATAAAAAAAAGAAAGGCCACATCAGCGTACAAAGCTGGATATTATGTTAGCTATTAAATTGCATTCAAAATCATGCGTGGCCCAATAATTGCCGAAAGAGGGACGAAGCAGCAGAGGGATGTGTTGGATTCAGAAACTCCGTAAGCGGATATGATGGAACGCACAGGGTCATAAAGTATTGTAGTTGTATGTATCTTGCTAGTAAAAATTTCGAAAGTTGAAATCCATCCCAGTTTTTTAAATGAGGTTCTAATCAGTTCTAGTATCGAGCTGCAATGGCTCTTCACTGTTCTGGCGAAAAGCATCCTCAAGGGGGCTCTCATTCAACTTACCTTCCATAAGATTATATAGTCAAAATACGCAAAATTTCTTCAACAATCCTCGATGGTCTAACGGTCATGATTTCCGCTTGTCAATCCCAGTTGGGAACAAGCGCGGGAGACCTGGGTTCGACTCCCAGTCGGGGAGAATTCCTCTTTTTGTTTTCCGCTCATACGCCTGTATGTTTTTGGGCTACAGGATTGAGTCACACCTGCGCATATCCAACCCTGTTGTTATATACCCCTTACTAGTTGCACTATCATGCATTCATCGGCAAGCCTCACGAGGATTGGCTTGAGATGCCACCGCATTCTTTAGCCGGGGAGGGGCAATTCTGTGGCACACCGGGGAAACGAAGGCCCGGGGCCAGACACGCCTGGGGAAGCCGCTTTCCTTAGCCCCGGACTTAATGAGTCAAGCACCGATCGCGTCATTTAAATTCTTCTGCAGTTCTTATCGCTTGCAGCAAGACAATACAACAGCAATTCCAATCATTCATCATGAAGAGAGAAGACATTACCTACCTGGGTGCTGGTCCTGCCAGTCTCCCCACCGATGTTCTCGCCACAGCTGCCCAGGCGCTGCAGAACTACCAAGACACTGGACTGTGAGGGGCACTGATCTGTGCGATCTTATCTGCGACCGTATCTGACCTGCTCTTCTAGTGGTGTCGCAGAACACAGCCATCGCAGCGAAATCGCGACAAATATCCTAAACGGCGCCAAGGCTGACCTTGCCAACTTCCTGGATATCCCCGACACCTACGAGATCCTCTTCCTGCAAGGTACATCGCTGACCCCATCTCTTTTCGCAACCTCGACTCGCTGATGGATTGAAGGTGGTGGATCCGGCCAATTCGATGCGACCGTTTACAACCTCGTCTCGATCTGGGCTGAGAAGCAGAGACAGCAGATCATTAAGGAGAAGGCCGGTATCAGCGAGGATGAAGTCATTAGCGAGCTGCGCAAGAAGGTCGAGTCGGAATTAAAGCTGGACTACCTGGTCACTGGATCGTATGGTCACCCAAGCCCATAGCAATCGATCAACATATACTAAACGGCCCCACAGATGGTCGCTGAAGGCCAGCCAGGAAGCCGTTCGCCTTCTTGGCTCTGAGTATGTCAACATCGTCAGCGACTCCAGGACCGTCAACGACGGCAAGTTCGGAAAGATCGCAGACGAGTCGACCTGGAAGCTGAGCCGCAAGGCTGCCCTGGTCTACAAGTGTGAGAACGAGGTGTGTATAGGTTCTCAGTCATAAGATTCTCGCTAACGCGTCTTACGTAGACTGTTGATGGCGTTGAATTCCCCAGCTTCCCCAAGGTTCTGGAGCCCAAGGGTACCGACGAGGATCCTATCGTCGTTGGAGACTTCTCTTCCACTATCCTGTCTAGACGTATTCCTGTCCAGGTATGTACCAGAACCATGCTATACCAATTGGTTCGATGCTAACCTTTTACCAGAACTACTCGATCATCTTCTTTGGAGCGTAAGGCTTGTCAACTCTCAATATAGAATTCTCACTGACCCCTTACAGTCAGAAGAACTTGGGTGTTGCTGGAATCACGGGAGTGATCATCAAGAAGGACCTCTTGCCCCCTGTTTCTTCCCCTTGCTCTCCTGCCATCCTGCGCAAGCTCGGCTTGCCGATCGCGCCCACCATCCTTGACTACTCTGTTGCCGCTAAGAACAACAGCTTGTACAACACTCTCCCGATCTTCGAGTAGGTGATCCACCAAGCTTACAAGGCTGGTCCCACTGACAGAATATAGTGTCTACATTGCAGGCCAGGTTCTGAAGAAGCTGCTTGCCTCATTCCCCGACAAGGTGGATGGACAACAGGCTGTGGCTGACAGAAAGGCCAAGCTCATTTATGAGACGCTTGACGCCTACCCCGAGGTATACAAGGTCGTCCCCGCTAAGGAGGTGCGTTCAAGAATGAACGCCTGCTTTCGTGTGATCAAGGTATGTCCCTCAACCCTCTTTACGGATGTCTCGACGTGAGGGCTGACCTAGTTAGGGTGGCAACGTCGACGATGCCGAAAAGGCCTTCCTGAAGGGTGCTGTCGAGCGTGGCATCACTGGTCTGAAGGGCCACAGAAGCGTCGGAGGTAAGTGACATGAAAAAGCTGTGATCGACAACTGTGACTGATTCAATGTAAAGGTATCCGTGCGTCGAACTACAATGCCATTCCCGAATCGGGCATTGAGAAGCTTGCCGCGTACCTGAAAGAGTATGCTACGGCATAAACGCCAGACATTTATTCAAAAGTAGAATTTGTTTTTGGAAGAAAAGCACTGTTATCATTCAACCCTTCATGTGGTGCAGGTTATAGACGGGGTAACGCATAGAGCTTGGACAGAACGTTTACCAGCGATAGGTTCAACCCATTCAGGATGGCTGGCCCAACAATACACCTTTCTATCGTAGTCGTTTCAATAGAAAATGGTCTGCATAGCAGTACGCAATGAACCCAGTGTGAGGAGGAGTAAAATAGCACAAATAGCATATCAATGTAGAGCTATGGATTATGTGTTTTAGGATGCATGGCGCCAGCTACCACATGAGATTATGTCGAGGCTGACCACTCAGCTAGGAGTTCATGCTTCCGTGGCGTTCCATGCAGTATCCCTGCCAGTTGTAGAATTCATCCGCCCGACAACCCCGCCTACAGTTGGTATCTGTGTCTTGATCATGATTTTGACCAAATTCAAATTCATTCCCTGATAAAGATTTTAAGAGGTTCGAATCATAGATTTTACGCAGGCCTTTGTCGTCCACAACAGGATGTCGCACGTTAAAAAGCTCCACCTGCCTCGCCCGACAGCTGGCATCAAGACTGACGTTTGGAATCTCCCAAACGAGATAGAATCACAGATAAAAACGCTAGCAGCCGTCCTCCAGGTCCAGCAGCAACAGTGTACTCCCCTTGAAAGAGAAGAGGAAGAGGACGAAGAAGAAACTGACGACGAAGAAACCTCCAATGAGCAACTACACAACCATGAACTTGGATCGTCGGCCGTCGTCGCTCCATTAGCTTTAGAGGATACGAAGAACTTGAAAAGATGCTTTTTGGATCAACTGGCCGAGTTATTGTGCTATAAGAAAGATGCGCATTATGTGACCTGCACGTATCTACGGGAAGGACTAGATGGGATTACTATACTCGCGTCACGGAACGCTGCTTGGAAAGACAAGGACATTAGGATCCTAGAAAGCTTGGCAGGCACGTTGGAACAACTTGCTGCGAGAGGTAAGCTTGAGCAGTGTATGCTCCTTATACTAATTTTGTTTGGGTTAACCTTGGCCTTAGATCCATTCGATCTGGAATTCAAGCCGGACCTGGAAAGAGAGCTCAGCGAATATTATACCCCACGCTTGAACTACCATGTCAAACAACTCGTCAATACCTTAGAAGCAGTAAAGGGAGAGACGGGCCTGGTCGACTTCTTAAGGGACTTTCTTTCCCGACGCATCTCTTCACAAGTCCTTGTCGATGGGGTTAAGAGGATCTGGGCCAATATTGACTTCCGTTCCAGGATTGAGGTATGGCCAAAAGCAAATAAGATAGTGCAAGAGCTGGGTTTTATTCGTCGCCCTATAGTCGCTGCGAAAACCTTTGATAAAGCAGCGCGCGAGATCTCGAACTTTCAGCGGGTCAAAATAGAGCTCCTGCCTGGGTATAAAGCTGAGAGTGTTACGCCCTCGCTATCACTGTGCCCACAGTTGCCGTCCGAAAGAGACCGAGCGAGATTGAATGAGTGCCTTAGGAAAAAGAAATGGGTCCATGCAGAAGTGACAATGGTGCTACATCTCATGAGTACTGACAGCGTATCCCGAACACCACAGTATCTTGGCATTAGCAAGAAGACCTGTTTCATGTGCGGTCATTTCCTACAAAGTTTATCACAGTTTCAAACGCGTAACAATCATGGAAAGGTGTACTCGCAATGGAGACTGCCGAAATCGCTTATCATGCCGCCAAAGTACTGTGAGACACTGGACAATGCTGCTCGAAGCCTCCGGGATGTGATGCAACGTGAACGTGCTCTAGAACTGGACTACCATATTGCTGCAGTCAAAGAATCGACTATTTCATCTCCAGTTGCACCACAACACATGCGTATCTGGTCGCCGTTTTCTCGCCATGTACCGGACCCTAAACTCCAAGCGAGAGAGTCGGAGTGGCTATCACATCGCAGTCCGAGAGAGATAGCTGTCAGGTAAGAGCTCTATGTCTTTGTCACAAGCAGAACTTCATTGATACCTGCTATAGATCGAGTAAACCCGATCGCAGCAGCCGGGAAATCTCGCCTACTTCTGACATAGAAAGTGGATCGCCTCCGGTAGTTCCTTGCGTCCATTCTACACCGAAAAGCACATCGATAGCTTGTGCTAGATGTACAGCAACCGATAATCTGAGTCCCTGTTTCAGATGCGGCTCGACATACTACTGCAGTAGAGTGTGCCAGAAAACTCATTGGCCAAAACACAAGTTCAACTGCAATTTAGGACGACCAATAGATGAGGTGGATCGTTTCATCATTGCATGCCAGACGCATGAATTTCCCAAAGATCACGACGTTGCTAAGGCCTTCGGTATCCTTTACTTTACATCGGCGGCTGATCAACAGAGACTTTTCGGGTTGTACTGCCACCTCGTAAACGATTGGGGTGTGGGAGAAGAAGAGCTTCGAGACGCATGGCAGCAAGACAAATTGAAAGAATTTTTTCTGTTCCGAAGCTCCCAGATACCATCTACTTGGATTCACAATGAGAGCCATTGGATAAGTCAGCAGGATGGCTTTGCTGCCAACAAAGAGACTGATTTTAATATCGTCTTTGAGTCTCAGAAACATGTGCTCAAGCACGAAGATCAGCAAGTTCCATATCAGCTGTGGAAGCCACGGGAAAAGCTCGAAGCCTATGTGTTCCTTTGCCAGATTCGAAATGGATACATCCCCGACGCCGACGAGGACGATTGGATTTCCCTTGGATTCTGCACAGCTCGGAATGGCGGCGAAACCCAACAAGTGGCGAAGCTATACAGGGAGCTCCTCGATACCTGTGTATTCGAAGAGTTCTGGAAGGCCATGGCAGAGTCGAAGATGGTCGACCTGTTCAGAAAGTACGGCCTTGGCGATGCCATCGCAGAAATGCGGAATTTCGAGACCCTTCTGAGCGCTGTCGGAACGTGGCACCAGAGTGTATGGGAATTGAAACGGTTCACTCGCTTGTCGTCTCCACAACCTCACCCTAGTGTTACTGTGGATTATGGATTCTACAACTGTCGAACACCACTGGAGCTAAGTGACCTCCGGCAAGCATATACGGACTTCTTCGCTCAGGGTGGAGATGAAATGGCCCTTCATGAGGCCTGTACCCAGAATCAATTAGCGCCATTTCTTGAGTCGGAATTAGAAGGGCTTCCCATTTCGACTGAGCTGGTATCGAATCCATATCCATTACAGGGCTGTGAACACGCGGGTATGGTGTCTGAAAATGTATGCCTTGTCCCGCAGTCAACTTACGGAGAAGCAAAGAAGTGGCAGACGCAAAGAGGGAAAAAGATGACTATAATGATTTATCCTGATGAGGTTGATGAGGCGATCGGGCAAACAATTTTGGAGAGATCGAAATGCTTGGGACTGACGGTGAAGACCCAGACGACTATGATAAACGGGCAACTTGTGGAAAGCATGTCTGAGATGTGAATGTTGGCGATCAAAAGCCCCCTAAATGTTACTCTATAATAGCTAGGAAAGAGTCTTCCCATTGTGCTATCAAATCAGACTAGAGAGATAGCTTGGGGATCAATAAACATCTACTTGAAGACTGGGCGGTGGGGCCAGAAATGATCATCACAATTCTCTTGAATCTACTGTTCAAGCTGAGATTTGTTGCTTATTGTATGTAGAGGTTAGTATGTATTACAGAAGAACCAACTCTGATATAGTAGGACTGGTCTAAGTGGAGGTCGGAATTACAGCAATTTCCTATTCGGGAGCTCTTTCTTCTGCATGGGGATTCGTGATAGATAAAAGTACGATTTAGACAACCAACTTAACACTCTAATTGACTCACATTAAGGTTTAGAAGGAATCTTGGTTCCCACTGTTTCTTTGTGTTGTAGGGCGGATGAGGAGGATCAAATTTTATGATTAGTGAACATCCCGAGCCGAGGTAATTCTCCCGCCTCCCTTTTTGTTCAACCAGCACACACCTAAGCACATCATCCACTTTAGTGTCAAAAACATACTTGCATAAAGGTAAAGTTTCTAAGCTGTCTAACTTTACTTTAATGCTATTCGCCCCAACAAAGAATAGATCGACCCGGTCTGGACGGGTTGGATGCTGTGACGTGTGGCGACTGGACACGGCAGGGCAGGATATGTCAGCAGCTCTGCTTGCTGCCTTTTGCTTTTCGCTCCACCACCTCCATCAGCTCTTCCGTACAAACAAACCATCACGGTAAATAATGATATAATCTGTCTATCGTCAAAAACAAATATGAACGACTCAGACACAGCTTTACTCCCCTGGGAGAGCGTCAACGATGCGTTCTTTGGATCTCACTGTGACTCGACAGCCCCGCAGATAACATCGCTGCTCTCGGCCTGCTCGTATCCCGTGCCCCAACAGATTAGGCAACAGCAAAGGAGACAGCGAGATGTCCAACTCCCCCTTCTTGGTGGTATCATACCAGAGAATCAGTTGCTTCTTTATAATAACGACACCCAGCCGACTCAGCCGGCAGTAAACCCTCTGAAACGCACTCGCAATGAGGTAGAGAAGTCTGGCTCGTCGGCGCTTACTAAACGAGGTCGACCGCGAAAAGTAGCACAGGACACCGCAGATGAAGATCCAGAGGAGGTACGCGAGACTCAGCTTGTTTGTGCACTACTATCAAGAAATTGATTAACTCGAGCAGAGACGTCGGAGACAGATCCGACTTGCGCAACGCGCATATCGCTCGCGAAAAGAAGCCAACCTCTCGTCTTTGAAAGATCGCATCTCCGAACTCGAAGGAATTGTGGAAAAGATGAGTACATCTGTTTTATCGCTCAGTGACGAGCTGGTTCGGTCGGGAGTATTGGCCTCCCATGCTGGTCTGACGGAGCATCTGCGCGATACCGTACAGACATGTCTCACCCTAGCCAGAGAGGCTAGCAATGATAGCTCTCAGGAAGTTACGACTATTTCGCCACCTCAAACCGATGACGGCCTGCCCGATTTCCTGCCGCATGAACAGCATAGCCAACCGACACAGATTGTCGAACTGGACGAGAGCGTTTCCTCCATCTTGGAGCCTAATCTACATCTGGAGCTTAGAGAATCACCGATAACGTGGAGCAAGAAAATACCTCGCTTCTTCGAGTCATCGGAAACCGCTGAAATGGATTTGACTGTATTCACCGATAGACTCCACATGTCATGCGTCTATCAAGGGTGTTTTGCCCTTTGTGACGAATCCATCAGTATAGACAGGATACAGAAGCATTTCTGCCTGCTACTTCAGATCATGGACAGGAAACGTATTGCGTCATACTTCCAAGCCGCGCTTAATGAGAAAGAGAGTCGGAAATATTTTGCAGAGTGGGAAGAGGTACCCTTCTTCAGTCTGGGTGGCGCAGGAACCCATTACTCTCGGTCTTCCCTGAAGAGCAAAGCAGCTGATCGTCCATTTCGGCCTGGAGTGCGGTGGGTTTCCGTGCGATCGGTATCACACTTCCCGCAACATATACAGACCAAGCTTCAAGGGGACTGGTTTGATATGGGCGACCTGGAAGGATACCTGAGGGAGCATGATGTACATCTTCTCACATATCCTCCCATGGATCCCGCGCGTCATCGTCTCAAGGGAACAGCGATAAATGCGGCACGTTTCATACAGGGTATGGCTCCATTCCGCTCCTTGCTTCTCGATTCTCCACACTCACCTGTTGGCAGCACTATCCGCAAATGCAATGTGTCTTGGGTGGACGCCGGGGTTCAGCCGCCGTGATGTGGAGAGCGCTCTCCAGACTTGTGTATGGAGATGAGGTAATGGCTGCTTTACGAGAATGTGGCTTACATTATTGCCATGATTATAAAGAACATAGCTAGCCTGATTGACACATCACGGAGGATGCTTCTGGGTCACCGGACATCTCTTTTCGCGGGATTTAGCGATCGCCTCGCAAGACAGACCATTGAAGCAAGAGGAAGAACGGCGGAGAGAAATATTCATCTCTGTATCACAGATCAGCGAGCATGCTGCTGACCCTTGCAGAAAGGATGGTTGCTTAGCTGCTATAGCTCACTGTCATGCTCTTTGGGAAATCATGATGGCCGTTATGGCCACCCCGCTCTTCATTACCTCAGTGATAAGGATGGGTAATACAGTTATTCCTTGCCTAGATCCCCGCGCATGATCAGGAAGTGATTTAGAAATCGACAATCCACCTGTCATCCATTACTGCTAGGGCCAACCCCATTTGAAATCCAGTGGTCATGTCTTCGTGAAATCGACTGTTCCTGAGCTACCGGTCTGCGAATAACACTTGACGGAATGTCAATCTTGAGGACACCGTACCCCTTCAGCAGCACCGACGGTGAGTTCGCAACAATGAGTCTGTGTGTCTGCTCGCAGAATAATGAAAGATGAATTCCCAAGCCACCTTCTCCGACCGGGACCACTTAGTATGGTGCACTACATGTTAGTATCCAAAGTTTTGTACCAACGGGTTGGTTTCTGAATCATTCTTACTTTCCCGCCGACCTAAGGCGCTATGATCAGAGTCTCAAGCGCTTGTATTGCGATGAGTTTCCGAGACCTATTCCGAACCAGGCAGCCGTATTTATAAATATCACACGGAGGACGAAATTTCGAGACCAGGTTCCTCTGACCATGTACTACAAGTCCTTCAGAGAGGGACGCACTGTTGTGGAGGCAAGTCTAGACAGATGGGGCTAGGCGACGGGGCAAATGACACGCACATGCGCATCCAAAGGCACATGGAAAATTCTCATCGAGGGCATGCACGTGCGGCTAATTGCGTGGAAGAGTTTCTTGAGCCTATGGCAACTGTCCCTTACAGCTATGTCTGTCACTCGCCGTCTAGCAAAGTAAGTCTTAGCAGGATTGGAGGTCCAACTGCTCAGGTTGTGCTTTAGATGCAAGGACCGACGGCTTGACATGATGTAAGCAATGTTGCACAAAAGAAACAAACAATGCGTATGTCTCTGGGTGGCTACTTGGAATTTCCTTCTATCAGGTTCTCTCAGAAATTGAACCGAAGATATGACTGTGATGGTCCAGTTTGTGCGACGGGAATCGGTCGAAATGACAACGAAAGCCATGCACGTAAGGGGTTGTGAGGCTGACCAAGCTTGGTCTTTGAGAGCCAACCTCAACTTGAAATATACGTAAGCTTATACTTCGTCACACAATTCCTGATGAATGCTTAAGCGGTGGACAATAGACCGCGCGGACATTGCCTCAAGGGCTTGGATTGGACAGAGATCAATGTTTACCAGCGGCCCATGGAATAACGACCAAGTTAGCATCGCAGATTATGGGGAAAGCCATAGGTCAATCATTCGACTGGAATATGTATTGCAGAAAACGGCAGGATCGGTAGACACTAGAAAACGTAAAACCAGCCAAGCTAGCCAGGAAACCAGCGGCTTGAGGAGGATGGATGGGATTAGTAGATAGTCGCCGCTAGGGGGGCTCAGCCCATGCCGATGGGGTTTGCCATTCCAGCCACAGGAGAGAGGCGCGCGGTCCCGTGGCTCACCGCGCTAGTCCGCTTTAGACTACGCCTGCATTCTTCAATCCAGGATTCCATCTCTCATTCTTTCATGCGCCTCCATCTTCAATCTCTCTCTGGATCGAATTATCGGGTTTCAGCGCCCTTTCTTGATTCTGTCTGACCGGGAAACGCGATCGCTTTACGCACGCCGCGATGTGGCTTATCCAACCCCAATTATTCTTGTCTCTTCTTTAGGTGATCCCCTAACTTCCGCCATGCCGGCACCAAGAAACAACGGCGTGGTCAGCCCATCCCCACCCGGTGTCTAGACTCAATTAGCCTACAACGTCGGCTCATCCTCTACTGGAAAAGAAGGCAGCTTCCTAAAATAATTTGCCTTTCACGACGGAGTGCACCCATCTCCGATTACAGCCCAGGCCACGGAGTGGTGCCCCGGATCGGCAATCTCGTCCGGTTGCTCAGCGATCGCGACCTGTCAGCTGTTGGCTTGATGGCTTGGGAATGTGACGGTTGCCGGGATAATGGCAGGGACATCGCCAATTCTCTTTTACTCGGTCGCTGGGTCTGATGGTTCACAAAGGGAGTTTTAAAACTGACATGCATCAAAGTTCTCGTTTAAATTAGGACCTGGCTTGTCCAACGTGAAGAAAAGAAAATACTACCCTTGTGCTAGCCGAATCTTTGGGCTTCTCCTGTTTCATGTCATCCCGCCGAGCTGTCTGGTCGTGTTTCAGGCTCCACCATCATGGTGTTGCTCTTTGTCGCTGCTCCACCCGACATGCCTGGCCAAAGAATGAAGGCTGTGGACTCATCAAGACGCATTCTGTCTGTAACCTTCTTTTTGCTCTGATTCGTCGTGTACCTGCCGACCCCTCCCAGGCACGAACCGTCGCCCTCCCAATGGGCGGCAACGAGCCGCCCAGTGAATGGCCCAGGCGACAAGAACACTCAAGCTGATTTGTTATGGAGCTTGAGAATAATGCTAGTGGCCTGCAGCCACTTGCGCAGACGCCACGCTAATTTAGATGTCGGGATGTTGCTGTTATTATTTGTATATCGCCCGGCCTACCCCCAGTCTGCGTCATGCTCCCACATTGTTGTGTACATTCTCTACATAATTCTCCTTTCGCCCATCCTTTCCCTACATACGTTCTCTACTTTCTTATTTTTGACTGGCAGTTGATTTCTGCACTTCCTGTGCTACCTTCCTTTTCGCACTCTGTACGCCTAGAGGGCTACTTTTCATTCTTTTTCGTCCCAAACGTCGATCGTTTTCGAAGAAAACCTCGGTTCCTAAAACCTCTGGTTTCTCTAATCCTTCAAAGTCCTCGGGACTTACCTTCTCTAACCGCGCAATTGCTTGACCGAACGTAGTGACAATGCCTACCTCATCCCTACTATGGAGCGTAGGGTCGCTCGCTCTTTCATCGATGATTTTGCCAGCCGCGGCCAGCGGTTATCAACTTGTGGAAACCTGGAAGGGTGAGGATTTCCTGACGGCTTTCGACTTTTACACAGGCGCGGACCCCACGAATGGATTCGTCACGTATGCGAATCAAAGCTACGCCGAGAGCAAGGGGCTGGTCAAGGTCAACTCGAATGGTACCTTCTACATGGGTGTCGACCATACCACGAAGCTGAGCACCAACGGTCCTGGCCGGGAGTCGGTCCGCATTGGAAGCAACAAGTATTATGACGAGGGTCTATTCATCATCGACCTCGAGCACATGCCCGGAAGTGTCTGCGGTACCTGGCCCGCCTTTTGGTCCACAGGCAAAGACTGGCCTACGGACGGTGAGATCGATATCATTGAAGGTGTCAATAAGAACGAAGCCAACGAGATCGTCCTGCATACGAGCGGTACCTGCCAAGTTTCCAGCCAGAAGATGACCGGCACACTTTCCTCTACGGAGTGTGGTGAAGACGCTGGTACTACTGGATGCGTTGTTGAAGGTACTAAAGGTTCTTCTGGCACTCCGTTCAACGAGAACGGTGGCGGTGTCTACGCTATGCAGTGGACAGATGAGTTCCTCAAGTTCTGGTTCTTCCCCCGTGGCTCAATCCCCACCTCTATCACCAAAGGCGACCCCGATGTCGCTGCTTTCGGCACTCCAATGGCGCACATGCAGGGCTCATGCAGCATCGCCGAACACTTCAAAGCCCAGCAGTTCATCTTCGACACCACATTCTGTGGTGACTGGGCTGGCGGAGTTTACAGCGCCTCCGGCTGTCCTGTGAGCGATAGCAGCAGTTCCTTCAAGAGCTGCGTTGCTTATGTCGCCGAGAACCCAGCGGCTTTCGCCGAGTCCTACTGGGAGATTAACTACATCAAGATTTACCAGACTGGCATCGCAGCCTCCGCTTCTGCTTCTGCTTCCCGGGTCGAATCTGCAGCCACTGTGGTTGAGACCGTCTCGTCTGTTAAGGAAGTCACCAACTCCGTTGTTGCGACCACTGCCGCTGCTACTACTGTTGCCGCCACCGCTGATGCCGAGACTGCTACAACCACGACAATGGCTGAAACCACCACCACCGCCGCCGCAGCAACCGAGAGCTCTGTCGCTGATGAGAACGGCTCTTCTGCATCGACGTCCACCCGCTATGTTACTCTGACCACCACTATCTGCCCGATTGCTGAGAGCTCCTCTGCTGCGGCCGCTCTGGCTGGCGGAAGCTCCGAGGCTACCGAGGGTAGCAACAGCGTGGGCAGTTCTGCGACTGCAACACCAACTAGCGTCACTGGCGCTAGCGCTGAGTCTAATGGTAGTGAGGGCTCTTCTGCCGCTGCAACTACCCCGTCGGCTGCTACTGGTGCAAGCGCGGAAGCAAATGGTAGCGAGAGCTCATCAGCCTCTGAAGCTGGCAGTGTTGCTTCTGGAACACCATCTGATATCAGCACCACCGGTGCGAGTGCCGAAGCTAATGGCAGCGAGGACTCCTCTGCTTCTTCCGAGACTAAAGCTGTCACTTCTGCCACCCCATCCAGCGTCACTGGTGCAAGCGCCGAGGCGAATGGTAACGACAGCGCCTCTTCGAACGCTGCTACCACATCCAATGTGAGCGGCGCAAGCACACAAGCCGGTGATGATGAGAGCTCCCCTGCATCTGCTGTCGTTAATGCCGGTTCTTCTGCTACGCCTGCCTCCGTTAGTGGTGCAAGTGCGGAAGCCAATGGCAGTGAACAAAGCGCTGCTGCAGCTACTTCAAGTGTCAGTGGGGCAAGTGCTGTGGCTAATGGTAGCGAGGGAAGCTCCAGCCAGGTGTCGGGGTCCCAGGCCGGATCTGACTCCTATGGCTCTGTCCCCTCAAATGCTGCTGCGTATGGCAGACCTGCCCCCAGCTCGTCCAGCCATGCATTTGCCACTGCACCCTCTTCTAGCGGATCAATCCGTAAGCCAACCTCAGCTGCCGCTCCCAACAATGCTGCCGCTGCTACCCAGGGCAGCTCTGCTTCCGGATCTAAGTCCGGCCACTCTGGCTCCGGTTCTTCGTCCGCTACTACCCCCTCAACACCTGTCTTCACTGGTGGAGCAAACAAGTTGACTCTTGGTGCCTCCAGCGTTGTCGGTGTCCTTGCTTTTGCTCTGTTGGCTTAGCGGGTGATTTTGGTCTCTTGTGAACTACCCACATCCATTCTGCTTCTTTCACATCTCGTAGGGAGAGACTTTGTTTGCAACCTACTGTTTTTCTATGTACTATAGGCTGGTTGCCTTGCTTGAAGCATTCCACTTGCCATCCTGGGCCACACCCTTCGATCGCGTTCGATATCCGCCTTCTTTCGGCTATACTTTGAGATTCCGAGCTTAGATAGTTAATCAAATAGAACAAGATACACTATCCATGATTATGTTGGAAAATTAACAGCCGAGTACTCAATAAACCATAGAATTTGTAGTATTCACTTGCGTTATGCCATCTCGTCATGTGACGACAGTGACGAAATAAGCAACGGTGTCTGAATCGTCACTTCCCCAGTTGTCAACCACTGCACCACTTCTTGCAATCATCGCTCTTCGTCTTCTCCATCGCTGATACCAGCTTGTCTTTTGTCTCTCTGATCTAAAGAATCACAAGGTATTACATACTACTATCTTGAAGTTCTACATTGTAAAAATGGTCAATTAACCTGCTAACTCCAAAGCCAAATGTGGTATCTAGAAGATCGTGAATTATTTACAGACAATCATCGACATGAAGAGATCACCGTAGTCTCATGAGCCCTCTAAGCTGACTTCCATCGCTTCAACCAGTCCTGCGCATACCGAGCGAGGATACCATCCTGTACAATCCTCAACCGACCATTCCTCAGCGTCATACTGTCTTTCTCTGCTTTTTCAGTGAGAAACCTCACCGGCTTCGGGGCACCCTCACTGTACATTGACTCATAATGAGCCGTCAACTTCACAGCAGGGTTGACCATCTCCTCTCCTCGAGCTTCACTTTCGCGAAGCATCTGCAGCCAGTTCTCAAACGGGACGGTCTCGAATGAGAATCCGCTGCGTCTAAGTGTATCGAGCAAAGATGACCATGCGAAGACCCGAGAGTTGCAGAGGTTGTAGATGGTGTCGTCGACCCACTCGCCGGATGCTGTGTTGCCCCAGCGCTCCTCGAGGGAGTTGAAGGAACATGCACGGGCTAGTTCAAGCATGGTGCAGGCAAGCTTGTCGACGGGTAGCCAGGAGCATGTGATGTCGAGGTCAGGCAAAGCTTTCAGGGTCAGAGCTGAACGGATCATCAGAGGGATGGCCTCTGAGTCGTTCCACAATCCCTTCTTCGAGTGGCCGGATACTTGTCCGATCCGAAGGGAGTATGTGCGTGCACCAACTCTGCGAGCATTGCTGACGATCTTCTCCCCGATCAGTTTTGAGCGTCCGTATCCCATCTCAAGAGCGCTAGCAAGATCTTCGATGGGAGTCTCGTCTACGTCAGACGAGGCGCCGAGAGCTGTTGAGATGGAGGAGCAGAATAGGAGAACTGCTGGCTCCGGGAGGTTCACGGATAGGGAGAGGTTGATGAGTTTTTGGAGTCCTTTGATGTGAGGTTCAAAGCTCATGAGTGGAAGGTTGAAGTTGACGGGCCATGCGGTGTGGATGATGAGAGACACGGATTGTCGCATCTCCGCCATCATTTCCTCACCGACTCCCAGGTCAGGCTCTTCAAGAGAGCTGTTGAGAGCGACAATCTTCTGCAGTCGGTAAGGAAGGACTGAGAGGCCTTTCTGTGCGAGGGTGTCAATGACAGCTTTTCTGGGCTGAGATCTACGTGTCAGGCAGTACACGGCAGACACACTGTCGTCGTTCAGAAGCTTGTAGAGAGTGTGAGCGCCGATAGAACCAGTTGCTCCGGTGAGGACCTGCGCTTGTTAGTCGATGACTCGATGCAGCTTGTCAGGAAAGAGACTTACAACACTCTTCTGCGTTGCCGCGGAGCTGGGGCTTGGTGTGTGCCTCTCGAAGACGGAGTATTTTTCAATGAGTCCTGGCATCATGGAGACCTCATCCTCAGCCACATCTTGCTGACCGGACTGAACCAGGTGGATATGCTCTGCTAAGCGGACAATATTTCCAGTTTCAAAAGCGACATTGTGGCCGATGTCCTTGGGGTCCTCTATTTTGAAGTCCCTCAATATTAAGCGACGGAGATGGATTGCCTTCAGGCTGTCTAAGCCCTCGGCGAAAAAGTCGGAGTTAGGAGTAGAGATGGGGAATCCAAGCTCTTCGTGACAGAGCTTAATCAGATGGTTCTCCGTTGCGGTCAAGTCCAGCTTGAGAGTTCCATCGGCTGTTTGTTCGAGTTTCGTATACATGTTCTCGATGGTTTCTTCATACTTGGCATACACCTGGGCTCTGATCATTGATCCCTTGTCTGTACGAGGACAGGCGCAGTCAATAGGCAAGACAAGGATCATGTCGCGGGATATCTGAGAAAATTGCTCTGCCCGTGAATTGGCATCTTCTACTGTTGGCCAAAGAAGATCCAAATACTCTTCATCAGAGAACATCTGGGAGTTTTCTGTACGGAAAACCAGCAAGCCAGGAACGGCTTTGTTGACACCGACAACAACTGCTTCCTGAACAAGAGGGCTCTGCTTGATGCAGCCCTCGATTGGGAGAGGAAGGACCTTCTCACCATTGACAAGCGTGATTCGGTCATCCAGACGCGACACGTACTTCCAGCGGTCGGCAAGAGTTGGGTGGGGAGTGAAGACGTCGCGAGAGTGGTATGAGCCAGGGGGCTCATTGGAATTTGAGGCCGTCAATGCAGGGTGGCCTTTGAGGTAGACGACTTCATAAAGCGCATCACTGATGGGTTTCATCCAGATGAAAGGCTTGATGTTGTCGAAGAAGCGCATATAGTTCCAGAAAGGATCTCCTGCTGGCCGAGAGATCGACTCGGCGACCAGGCCGGCTTCCGTTCTAAAAGCGAGTTAGCAACACAACTAGCTGAGAATGCTGATGGATACATACAGCCCGAATGAACCACCGAATCTAACACCCTCGTCTACAAGTCTATCACCCAGCTCGTCAGGGCATGGTGCACCGCCGTATGTGACAGACTTGCAAGATCTCAGCGCTTTTAGCCCGCGTGGGCTGTCGACAAGGAGTTGGAGTAAGTATGGTACGCCCTGGACCGATTCGGGCTGTGCTGCTTCCAGCGCAGCAACAGCCGTACTTGCGGTCAATGGCAGAGAGGCATCCCACATGTATGCTGTTCGTCGCATATACATGGCTTGCAGGGCTGTAGATAGCCCGTGAAGATGATACCATGGCAATGAATTGAAAGAAGTGAACCCAGGACCCCGCATCGGATGCGTCATCAAGGCTTTGTGACTTAAGAAGAGAGGCTTGGGGGTACCTGTTGACCCTGAAGAGTGAAGGATCAGAGCAATCTTCTCGACTTGGAGTTCGGGACGACGACTCCGACATATCACAACAGCATCAGAGTCTTCTGATAGGTCCTCCGGAGAAGGTCTTTCGATGATTGGGCGACACGCAATTAACTTTAGACGTAGGACTTCACCCATTGTGGCGCGAATATTCGGCGATTGGCCATAGAGTATTGTGTTACAACCGACCGTGTCTAGTAAGGACACACACGCTGTGGCCGATAGGCGTGGTGATAACATCATGACCGTGTATCCAAGTCTGCTAAGAGCAAAGAATGTGATCACCATGTTGAGATCTGATAGGGTGAAGAGAGCAACTGTTGCTCCTTCTTTTCGGGCCTAAGAGAGGGTCAGCTTCACACTTAATCTGCAGCATTTCATCACATACCGGCTTGAAACCGTAGTCCATTAATGTGCAGACCGCATAGTCGATCATGCAGTCAAGATCCTGACCGTTGAAGTACTCATAGGACACGGATCCGTTTTGAGAGGGCTTGGGATAAGCCAAGATGGGATGTTGAATATAATCAGCTGCTCGCAGGCGAATCAAGTCATCTAGGAGATGAAGACGGCCGAAGCGTGCAACAACCTGTTCTGTGGTGTTTGTTGTCGGCTTGGGGCCCTGGTCTGTGACCCCTTCATATTGAGGAATTCCCATGATGAAAGTTGACGAAGCTGTACATTAGATAAACCTGAGGTGCTGATGCTGGGGGGGGAGCCAGTGCCTATTTAAGTCCAAGAGCCAGGCTGAGGTGGGTAGATACATCGACCATCTTCGCTATTTCGCCTGAGGGTCGGCGGAGATAAACCGAGTCCGGACCTAGGACCAGTCGCGGCCTGTTGGTTCCCACAGTTTGGGTTTCCGATCCCTGCACAAAACGAAGCGGTGTATGACTAGGAAACGCAAACTGTCAGGCTGATGATCTCCACTGGGAATGACGTCCCCTCAGACACTAGGACCATAAGGAGAGTTAATTACAGGGGCCACTACGTATGCGAACTGTGGCAAGTCCTAAAGCTAATCAGAACCCTAAAGCCAGCACGGGCCCAAATCTGACCGGACCATGGAAGCACGATCGCGATCAGGTGCTGTCAAATCAAGGAACAGGGCTGGCCTCATTTGGTCTGGGATGACACCAATGCTCCTGCCTGTCCGTGCGATGGTCCAAGCTGACTGGATGACAGCGCGCGGGTGCGGTGAAATTTGTCAGTCACACTGCAGCAGATGATGCACGAGCGGAAGCACAGTTCGCAGCATGATGGGCTGGTTGCATAATGTTGCATCCCGCGACATAAGGACGACCCCCAATAGTGCAGGGATTGTCAACAATCAGCGTCCATCCAGCCGAGGGACTAGGGCAGGCTAGGATGAACACCCGCCCCAGTAACCGGGTTCCCGGCCCAGGAACCTGGATCGCGCCCAGGGACTGGAAGATCGATCGCTGATCAGATTTTCTTACAGAGACAGCTAAGCAGTGGACAACCCCTCTTTGCTTTGTTTTTCCTCTATATTTGTTTTTTTTCCTCCTCGGCTTTGTTCGCTCCCTAGCCTTGGGGTTGGGACTTTTAGGGAGGGAATGCGAGGCCCGACGTCCTCTCAGGTTGACAAATGCCCACCCTTCCCAAAATAGAGTGTCACAGCAAAATTGGCTGGGAATGCTGTCTCCACCAACAAAAGACGATGTACCCGTGCAGAAAGCCATGTCCGAGTACTCGTGTTCAACCTTCCTCGATGGCCTGTTTCTGACCTGTCTACTGGAGTGGGGTTTTAAAAATATGGCTGTCGCACACTTCAGCCCCGTCTCGACGGGGCATCTCCGGTCTATAGTGAAAACAACCGACCCCTTGCACTGTCAGGAAGTACGGAATACGGCGGACAGTGAACTCGTCTCACGCCTGCACCGCCACCCGAGATGGCTTGGAATTGAATTCGTTAGTTTAGGTCGAGTCATTTATTGTCATACTAGCCATAATGGCCGCCCTTCAAGTCGACGAACTGGCCCGTGCACCGGACTTCTGCAGCTGGTACTTTTCTCCTTTGCATCCATCAAAGCCCGGTACTTGGCCAGTGCGGACCGTGCGAATATCCGCAATACCGGAGCGAGGTGCTCGATTGACAAATTCTCCGCCTCACTCCTGCTCAAATTTCTTTTCTCCTAATATTATGCTCTATATGATTATGACTTCGATATTGTTTCTGGATTTGAAGTTGGTTTCACATACAATGCTTGCCACTGGAGCTAGAAGATTCTGCAACACGGTAGCCCGATCATTGATCGATTCTGCTCTATCAATAGGTCCAAATTCCCATACGATCGGAACGCCACGAGCTGAACTCGGGTGGGTCAAACCAAGCAGTACTTCTTACGATGTGACCTGTCCGACGGAGGCAAAAGTCCTCCGTGACTTACCGGGAAGCGCCCTCTAGATATTGCCGCTGTTGAAAACTCACCTAGCATAGTACCACCCGATGGGGCCCCGGCGCTACGATAAAGGTTTGTACCCATAACTTCCGTCCAATGTGGAGCGACCTGGGCCGGGAGGTTGATCCGGCGGTAACATTGCAGGTTTGGGATTTAGTTGCCATGAGGTGCAGACTGAAGGCGTCAATGCTGTCAGTATCCATTGTAATTGGCCTATCGACTGCTTTCACCTGCTTTTAGCCGCTCACCGAATCTTACACAAGCACCCCTATCGACAATGCCGGGTATCCGATCCGCCACCCTAAGCCGGGGAGCTGGAAAAGAAGTGACCAATATTGGGTTACCAGCGCATGATCTATCTAATCTCCCGCCTTTAATTCCTGAAATAGTGCGATAATTCGTCACGATTGGCTGGTCCGTGTACCAAATTGCAGCCGGGATTTTAACGTAAGGCGGAATTGTTGAGGGATCGACGGTCTAGCCCAACTAACCACCCTATAGCTCGCATCAATGGACCTTCAGGAAAGATAAGCACCTTTGTGTGTATGGTCAAGAGCCCGGTTCAACTAGCTAAGGCAGAAGCGAAGTTCCTCCCCGATGCTTGGGCCATAACAGTAACATTGATAAAAAAGCAACAACTAACACTTGACACTACAGGGTAGAATGACTGGACCGGGGAGTAAACAATGATCTACGCGGGTGTTACCACGGCCGGTTTCCATACTGTTGGTATGACCCTGCAGTTGTTCATTCAATCTGTCGCCTCACTCCATACTAAAGATGTACTAGCACCAGGACTAGCGACAATAGCATTTGGACCCGAGACTGCGATACTGCGATCGCAAACGTGTCGGGCAAATTCATAGCTTCGTCTATCGTATTGCACACCACACTCAGACTGTTAGTTAGATGATGATACGCTTGCCTCACTTGACGGCGATAAGCACGGACCTGGAGTCTATTTTGCGGCCAGTCTAGACCAGACACCAATCGGATCTCAGATACAGGTCTCTATTCGGGTTCCTGGAACGGATCCGTATGGTTTAATATCGCAACAGTGCCGGAATACTCGATACACCATCCGGTAGGAGCGCCTCGTTGAAACATTGGCTCTAGTAGCAGACCCCGAGGAGGGGTTGCTTCTTTTTTGCTATGTTGGGCACATCTGTGTGGTCAGACCAGACGATCTTACCTAGCGATCTCCGCGTCGGACAGACAGCTAGTGGGAGCCATAGCTTCATACATAAAGCACACGTACATACATACTTACTTACCGACATACTGACTCTAGAGGAGCTTGGGCCAGCCGGAGCGGTGGCCATCTTACGGGGTCTGACGGACATTTAGCATTTAGTACTTTCGGAGTGGCGTTGTGGCGCTGTTCCAGGAACAGGGTAATCGGGAGGCCCCAACCCAGCGGTACTGCGCATCTATCTAGCGGGACAATCTCTTACTGAGTGTGTTTTAAACAATGGGCGGAGCAGCCCGGATTGCGACAAAGTTCTGCATATGCGCCAGGATTCATTGAACTTTCATCAGGAGGAGGGGAGCAAAGCCCGTGCGAAAGTGACCCCAGGCTATTGAAAGCCATTGCCAGAGATAGATTGGGCGTCCCGTAATGGGAGGAGGCTCGTCAGCTGGACCACAAAAAGTAAAAGCCTGGGGAAAATAGTCGGAAAAGATACGGCTGGACCATCTTCAACCTCGGCCCCGTGCGACGTGATTCATGCGGCGATGCGTCTGCTACTGCTATTGTGTCATGATGATCTGGGGCCTCGCCCGACAATCTGCATCCGAAACTATTGGAAAAGCATCGACACAAAGTCCCAGATTGAAGTGTCCTGCAATTATCCTTGCCTTGGGGTCCCGGCGGATGCGACCGGCCTGCCAGGCTTGCTTTTTCCAGGAGTCCGGGTACGGGCATCATTGCGCGATTGCCATCCTTGCTGATTGATCGACCGCTTGAATTATTGGATTATTCCAGTTCTGGGTCAGTTTTCTCACCCGCGGAAAGTGCTATATAATCCCTTAACCTGCATGTTGTTTCACCGCTGCTACAACTTCGCATCTCACGCATTCCCATACCACCCAACTATAGCATAGTCTTCTGTATCTTCTTACATTTACTATTTTGTATGTTAAAAGATGGCTGTCGATCAGTCCAATGTCCTCTCCCTAGTGGAGACTATCAAGCAGACAGCATTGCAGGACCAAGGTGCATGCCGCTCTGCACAGTCGCATTTCCAGCTGCTCGGCTTGATCGACGAGCTGCGTCTTGCAGTTGAGACTCCTACGGAGACGGTGCTGCGCTTGATCTACCAGGTAAGTTGCTTCTTTCCCTTCCGCTCAGGTGATTATCGCTTAACGTGCATGCAGCCACCGCAAAATGCAGCCCTCCGCACCGTTATGGATCTTGGTATCTTCCCATTGTTGGTGGAGCAAAGCAAGCGCGGGATGTCGGCTACAGAGCTGGCGGCACAAACTGATGCCGAGCGCGGATTAATTGGTAAGATGATCGCCAAAGTCTTCACGGTCTCTGCTCATACCTATAGTCCGTCTGATGCGAGTCATGACCGCACTGGGCTTGTGCGCAAACCCAGAATCCGAAGTATACATTGCGACCGACAAGACCGTCGCACTCACTCAGCCGATCGGAAGAGATGGCATTCCTTGCATGTAAGTCGCTATATTGATTACCTGCACTATTGCATGCAATATTGACGGCATAGATACGATCTGACTCTTCCCACTCTCGCTAAACTTCCTGACTATTTTCGGGAACACCGCTACATCTCTCCAAAGGAGTATGCCCGTTCACCCATGCAATGGGCAGTCGGGAAGAGCCAGTTTGAATGGCTTGCGCAGAACAAGCACCGCCAATCGCTCTTCAACTCGTACATGTCTAGTCGTCGTCATGGCAAACCGAGCTGGTTTGACGTGTATCCCGTCGAGCGATTGACGATTGACGCCGTGGACCACCAGGAGGCTGTTTTCCTCGTCGACGTAGGCGGCAACCAAGGCCATGATCTGGTGAAGTTCCAGGACAAGCACGCCGAGGTCCCTGGCCGGCTTGTCCTACAAGATTTGCCCAAGGTGGTGTCTCGCTGTCCTGGGGGGAGAATCGAAGGAATGGGGTACAGCTTTTTGGACCCACAGCCTATCAAGGGTATGCAATATCTCTCACGGACCTTAAATCGTTTCACTATCAAAACTAACATACACACAGGCGCCAGAGCATACTACTTCCGCGCTATCTTCCATGACTGGCCAGACCACATCTGCCGCAAGATTTTGGTCAACACCATTTCTGCCATGGATCCTGAGTACTCCCGCATCATCATTTCTGACTTTGTTCTCCCGGACACGAATGCCCCGCTCCTGCAGTCATCGTTGGACATCCAGATGATGAGCATCGGCTCGGGAGTGGAGCGCTCTGAACGCCAGTGGCGCGAGCTGCTCGACGAAGCGGGATTGGAAATCACCGGCATTTGGAACAGTAACCCGGGGATGGAGTCTGTGATTGAAGCCGTACCCAAGCAAAGCCAGCGCTGTTTTAGTCCTTGATGGCGTAACCTTGATACCTCGTTTAATGTTCTTCGGCGTTGGATCTGTCATATTGTCTGTGCGCGTTCTGGTTTGAGTTTCGTTTAGTTCTTTAGATATCCCAGTGGTGGCTAGCTGATTCGTTTCTGGTTGTTAATAATATAATGTGATACGAAGTCATCAATCCCTTGCTTGAAGGATCTCTTATTGAACCTTTCTTAGTAATAGTCACCGCGTCACGGCTGACAGCTGAACTACCTATTCCCCGGCCGTGTGTATGTGGGGGGAATATACATATGTCATGCAATAAATGACTGAACCGAACCCCCTTGCCGATAAATAACCTTTTTCTTATATATATATGTTCGTCTTCGATGATTTCTGGAGCTACTACAGCTGCAGAACCCCGTTAGATGGCAATCTCGCATAATTGCGCACGCAGTTATGTTATAGAAGATGCAAGAAGCTAAAGTTTATCTATTATTATACTACTGCTACTCTTAGTACTAGTAATTAGTGTTTTGGTTCCCTTGCCCCTCCATTCCCCTCATCTCGCTAGTTTATTCAACAGCTTGCGTCATAGATTTATCCTATATCCCGCATGCGTGCATGCATATATCGACATTGTATTTCCTGCACGATTGCCGTTTCAGATGCACGGGATGGGGGGTTTGGCGTGCGGTGTCATATTGTGGTTAACTTTATGTTGTGGTTTGGGAAGGTGATGATGATGGGTGGTTTCACCGCTAGTATAGAGTTTCTTTGTATGATATGATAGACCATGGTTATTACTAAAAGGTGATAACTAGTACGCTGAGATATAAATGTGGCAGAGGGAAGTCGTGGTCGGTCACACTTACACAGATGCAGTGTGTTCAGTATATACCATGATCCTTGCCTGTACTATATACCAGGACCTCCATATAGCAAGCCTCTCACTGACTACCAACAGAATATCAGAGAAAAATAAACAAGTGTACTAAAATGGTAATGTTCTTCTATTCATCAAATTACTAAATTTTAACCTAACTAACCTCTCTACTCACTGGTTAGTAGTTTTACTGTAGGAACCATTTCTGCCACCCTGCTCGAAGGCGGTTAAAAAACGTACAGATTGCTGACTGACTTTTGCGGAGCTGTACGAAAGATATATCCGTCTATAGCCGTTTATATCCGCACATTTCGTTGCGAGGTTGAAGGAGTTCTGCCGCTTTGGGCGGTAAATTGAGCGGTGGGGGTGGGCAGTAAGTATTTAGCTATCGCGGGCGGGTTTTCTCTTACTGGTTTATTGGAGAAATTGAGGTAGTAGCTTAATAATGGATGGTGATGATGGCAGAATTATTGTCCCAGGGGAAACCTGTTTACTTTGACTGAACTAACTAACTCATGAGATGACATGGTTCTCATTCTACTTTCAGTAACCCCTTGGACCTGGTTATTTGAACCATGGAACCTGGTACTGGCTTAAGGCGTGCCTGTTTGCTTCTAAGTATTCGGTCATGTCCGTGGATTGATTTTGTGGCTATGCTTTGATTCTTGCTTTTATTTTACCTAGGGATTTGTGTCATATCATGGAGACCCATGAGGGTTGGTTCGATATTCTTCTGGTTTACGAACGCTTTCTTCGGGTGTCCTGGTTAGTTGGGTTTGGTACGGTAGTGGTACCTTCTAAGTTTCAAGCTTTAACCTTGTGGCTAATTCTATTTCTCAGAGCTGGGGCTGGTGGTGATTGGCTGGTTGGTGGCTCCGTGTGTTCCTTGTTTTTCTGCTGTTATTGCTGCTTGTTGTTTAGGTTGTCGTTCGGTATGGCGAATTCTGAGCAAACGAGGTAGGTCGGTAGATATGATGGTTCCCTCTTATACAAGCTATATCTCTCCATCATGGGATTCAACTATCAGGTGGCAATCACCGATAGGTTTCCCTAATGCCGTCTCCAACCATAACCTAGTACACTCCCTGTCTTCTTTCACATACCCTAGTAAATCACTGTTGTGTCGGAATTCTGCGATACCCTCCCATAGCTTTACTATTGTTAGTATCTTGAGTAGCCTATATGATTCCGTACACCCTCTTCCGCGAAATATCTGCACCTTATGGAATTTCGTTCGGCGTCTTCTCGACGGTTTCAGAGCGATCCGTGATCAGCGTGCCTATTTAGTAGGTTGCGGCGCAGGGGTGATTCCATGTTAGAGGTGAGAGATCTCGGAGCTTTGGTGTATCTTGGAGGGGCGGTGTTGGTAGGTATAGCCTATTTATTGACTTTGTCCGGTCAGTTATAATGATCCATCGTCTATTGCTTCCTTAATGAATATTGGGGCAATGGGGTAGATAGGTGGGAGTAACACACCCAATCCACTCCAGACGCGAGTGCATGATTCTGCGATCTGGTGTCATGGCTTTTACAACAACAGGCTTAATGTCCTCTGGTGTATGCGACACGAGCAAAGAACGTAGGATGAGGTTTCATTGATGAATTGAGATGCTAGAAGAATAAGCCGCTTGTAGCCATGGCATGAAGGTATTCTGATGGATGGCTGCCAGGAAGAACAATATGGCAGCGCCCGCACCAATAGTAGTATGCTCCGCAGCAAATATGTAGATATCCATTGTGTAAATGGGGGTGCTTGATGATCCTTTAAGGATGGAGGTAGAGAAGGGGAAAGGTAAGATCATCGAGGACCGGTGGGTGTTTGCATTGTTTGGTCGTTCGGCGGAGCTGTCCTCTTGATGCCTGAGGAGTCAACGCCATCCTCCCCTTCTCTCTCTCTCTCTCTTTTCTCTAGTAACAAATATAATCCTCTACTCCTTACTCCATGCCTTCTGCTCTCATCTTCACACTAGGATATGGCATTGCATCAAGCAGTATACCTCGACCCATATTAAATGGAGGGTAGCAGACTTAGTAGCCATTTTGCTACAACGACTGTCGCAGCGACCGGCAAGGTATCTTGCCAGAGTTGATCCATCTGATTGGCCTTGGTCACCACGAGCAGCTATTTTGAGGGCCGAATGACACTCAGTAAACAATGATCGACAGGCGCGTCCCACTCGATTCATGGCATCCATTCTTTGGTCCAGTCGCTAAAGTGGAGCAAAACTAGCCAACTCAAACCGAGCTTAACATGGAACAATAGCATTGGGCAGCTACACTCTCTACTATACTTGATGGGAAGCGGACCATTAGCACACAGCGTTTTGGGGACAATCAGACATCCCATATCAATTTCTTGATCAGGGGTGATACTTGTTGACCTCCCTTAATAGCCGACAGGATGACATTTGAGTGTCATTTGACAGCTACAGCTACAGGAGGCATAATTCCTAGCACATGCGCATGCAGAGTAATACCCCAATATATATAAGAGAACACTGAGAAGAACGGCTGCGCATCAAGGTCATCCTTCCGATGTCTAGCTGATGCCAACTTGAAGCATGTTCAAAGTAATTTCAACGGCTCGAAAGTAGATTGTCTTCGCCACGACTGCGCCATATGACCATACTTCTGAGACAGACAAGACTGGGCACCTCTTCCCGGGCACCTCTTCCCAGGCAGGCTCGGCCGCCCTGTCGTGATTCACTACACAGACGGTTAACCTGATTACGCACTTGCACCGGTAGGCGGCCTTGTGCAGATGCAAGGCAGAGTGGCGTTGGCCGACCTTGCCAATGCGAGTAGGCCAAGAGCTGAAGCAATCCTTTCGGAGTTCTCTGAAAGGGCAAATCAGGGCTGTCGTGATTACTTGGAGGCAAATTGAAGCAGTTGACTGGGTGACTTGGTGAGTCCGGAGACCCCCGTAGAAGCAGGATACTCGGCACACGAGTTGCCTTTCTGGTCAACAATGGGTCGCTAAAACTGCCGATTGGGTCCTGCAATGAACATCGATGCATGCATATATTGTCTATAAAAATGCAGTATCACATCATGTTCTGTGATTGGTCATATTCTGCTTACTGGACGCCTGAAGATCACCAACCAGGCTCGAACACGAATTGCGCCACGATGCTGACCATGTGTCCTAGTGGTGATCTAGGCTTATATCAGACTGATTGGACTTCAGCCTTTCTTGCGATGAGTGGTGATTGGATGGCTCTCTCGTCGAGATTGACTCAAACTCAAGTGACCCCAGAGGGCCCGGTAAGGCGTCGCCCGAGCACGAACTACAGCAAACTCTTGCCATTCGTCTGTCGATCAGCTGAATTCATACATGACGCTGACTTCATGGCTTACAACAAGCTAAGCCCTGCATATGCGGTGAGTCAACCAGCCATCCTACCAGGCTATGGTTATCCCCACAGGATCGACAGTGCCCCGACACTGCCAACTCTTTGGACACCTCAGCTGATGGTGGGAGCGGAGCTGTCAGGCAGTGTCGGCCCTTTTAAGCTCAATGTCGCCCAATCTCGGCACCGGTTCTTTGAGACTCCAAGCTGCTACAAGCTAAGAACAAAATGAGTCTCGACCCGTGCAACTGCTTGTGCCCGCCAGACCGTCCGACGCGAGAGCTGGTTCTCTGTTTTGATGGAACAGGGAACACTTTCCGCGTGGATGGCGGGGATAGCAACATTCTCAAGATCTTCCGCATGCTAGACCGCAAGAAGGAAAACCGATGTGAGTTACCTTGATAACTGTACTGGACACTGGCTGACGTGATTAGACTGCTACTACCAGCGTATGTTGCCCCACTTGAGTGTTATTACCAATTATTAACATGATGACAGCCGGTATTGGAGAAGACATCAGGCCTGGGACCTTTGCCAACGCGGCTGTCCGTCCCTTTAGCAACATCGCCCCAAATGCGATCATCGATGAGGCGCTCGCGACCTCATTTGCCCAGCATGTCATCTATGGATACCGTTTCCTCGCTCGCCGCTGGATTCCGGGGTCGCATATCTACCTGTTTGGGTTCTCGCGTGGGGCCTACACGGCAAGATTCCTCAACGAGATGCTTGACTTTATTGGATTAATTTCAGCCGATAACGAGGAGATCATGCCACTTGTCTGGGAAGCGTTTACATCGTACAAGTTTGCCAACAGTGGCAAGGAATCTGAACAGGCCGAGTATTTTCTCCGCATGTGCCGCGACACGATGTGCCGATCCGTGGGCCGCGTGCATTTCCTGGGCCTTTTCGATACAGTCAACAGCGTGGCCAAGTTCAACATCTACGATGATCATAGAGACATGCGAATCCAGCCGAAACCGCGAATCATGCGACATGCAGTTAGCATTGATGAACGTCGAATCAAGTTCCAACCAGTGCTATTCGAGAAGCTACGGGCGCATGGGAGGATAGGCCGGGTGAGTACATGGGCTGAGCGGGCGGACGTTGAGTTTTGGGGTAGCGACCTGACGGCGTCTCCAGAGACGGAGTTCGAGGAGGTCTACTTTTCTGGCGACCATAGCGACGTTGGTGGTGGATGGCCGCGTGAGTTGGGCCGAGAATATGTAGCCAGCCAGATCCCCCTGATGTGGATGGTCGAGGAATCCATCGAGGCCGGACTTACCTACGAGCCTGAACAGTTGCATAAGCTTGGCTGCTTTGACTTTAGAAGGCAGGAGCACAGCAACCCAGAAGTGATACACCAGGCTGAGCGAGCTATCCTGCATGATTCCCTCATGTATGACTCGGGCAAGACGCTGGAGACGTTATTCTGGCGAATTCTCGAGTGTCTGCCCATCAAGCGCCCCAAAGTGGCCCCAGATGGAAGAGTGCAGTCGACGCGATGGCATGTCGGGGGGTTGCGACGGCCGCTGCCACAAGGGGCCAAGCTGCACTACAGTGTGATTGAGCGGCTCAAGCGGGACCCGGACTATCGGCCCTACAATCTCGGGGTGGGTAATATGGCGGAGGTGGACGAGGTCATCGAGGGATGGAGGCATATCGTGCACGACAAGGATAGCGGCCATGATAAGGAGATCGAGGAGGTGGAAGAGGTACCCGGGGACGAACGGACTCGGCGGCGCCGGACGTTATGCGAGTATTATGTCTGGAAGAGGGAGGCTGTGGATGGGAGGCCGCGAACTAGGCGGTCGGACTTGTGCTGCTGAAGGGAATGACCATGTATGATAGACGATTGCGAGCGTTTTTTTTTTTGTTGTTAGATAGTATTATTAGTTGTTAATACATTAACTTGATTTACTTGATACCACCGTGGGATGACAACCGAAAGCTCATACATATCGAAGTAAATGAATGCCGTCGCAGCTAGTCAAAGATTGCTTTTTCACATCCGCTTTGGCCACCTGTGTAGGTACAGGAGACGAACTTTTCAGCACTCTCGGGGCTAGTAACTGGAGGGGAAACATTGTGATCAACAACATAAATTTCATATTTACTCTATTTCATTTTACTCTATCACGCGAGGTGAGCGCGACAGAAGTCCAGTAGTAATTACCAGGACTACGCAATCACAGAAATACCTAATCATGTTTGATGTCTTGAATATATTTCTATTTCGATGATACTCATCTGGACAATTCCGATATATTTGGCGGTGCAGCCGAGGTACTAGCATCTACATGTTGTGTTGTGCTATTCGGCCTTCCTTGAACAATAATCTTGTAGCACTTATAGCAAATACACTATATCATAAACGGCGGCATAGACAGAGGCTAGACTTAAAATATTCCCTGAGAACATTTTTAGCGTAAATAAAGTATCTTAGGTGTACCATGGTGGCCTTGATGCCTTATGTATGCCTGAGGGATAAATGAGACGGCGTTCAGTCTAACATCCGGGCAGGCCATTGAGGGTAACAGCATTTCCCCCGATCGGTAATTGAGTAACTTGTCCAATCTGATACTAGATCGTGATTTAGTACTCTCAAATAGTCCTGACTCACCACTGAAATATGATAGGATGTCAGTCTAAGGTTGCCCAGATTGATGATGTCCCTCAAGGATTTCACGCCACCTGCTAGAATCCCAGTTCGTGTCATGCAAATCCCGAGATTGTCGTGGCCAGTCAGTCTAATTGCGAAACGCGGTAAACCCTAGCTTCGTTCACCATCCTCTCGGGTCATCCGAGAGAGAACTGCAGAGACGAGCCAAGAGGCCAAGCTCGCTCATTCCGGGGTAGCAAAAGGCGGGGTAACTGGGACCCAAGCGAAGTCAGTCCGGGGGGGGATTCTGTTGTTTTGTTGGTCTTGGGGCTACAGCAGGTTCGAGAGCTTCTCGGATATCCCGACACCGGGTCTTCCAAAGGATCCAAGTTACTCCGCAGGATCTACCCTGTGATGATGACCTACATAATTGCCGGTCCTATGCCAGCTATTACAGCGCTACAGTGAAGTACTCCCTTCCCCTATTTCCTTTGCCCTTCTACCATCACCACCATGGAAGACGACAAAGCCAGCTTTGGCCATATCGACCACGCCGCGGAGGAACATGGCCTCCCGGATCCCTCCAATGAAAAAGAAACCATGACTCCCGCCCCTAATGATTCCCAGGTACGATCGTGATCGCCTTCTGCTATGCCGAACTCTGTGTACTTGCTAACATCTCAGAACTGGTCCACCGCTGCCAAACTCACCACTTACCTGACCATCTGCTTCTACACCTTCCTCGCCAATGTCAACAGCAGCAACTTCACCGTCGCCACCAAGGCCATCATCGCCGAATTCCACGTCTCCCAGACCCAAGCCGGCCAGCTCGTCTGCTTCAATGTCTTCCTCTTCGGCGTCGGCAACATCTTCTGGGTTCCACTGATGCGCGTCATCGGAAAACGTCCCGTCTACCTCATCTCCATGCTCTTCCTGTCCATGATGAATGTCTGGTCATCTCGCGCGACGAGCTACGGCGAGCTGCTTGCCTCACGCATCCTCTCCGGTTTCGCCGCAGCCGCAGCCGATGCTACTGTTCCAGCCGTGGTCAGCGACATGGTTGCTCCCCACGAACGCGGCCACTATCTGATGATTTTTCATCTCGCTCTGACCGGTGGGCTTTTCCTCGGTCCTCTCATTAACGCATACCTGGTACAGGACGAGAATTGGCGGTGGATGTGTTACTTCCTCGCTATAGCAGTTGGAGCTGTCTTCGTGGTCACCATTTTCACGGTTCGCGAAACAACCTATCTCAGGCGACATGCCACTTCCCAGAAGGCGAAATACTGGGATTGGCTTTCTGTCACACGAGGATACAACCCGGATGCATCGTTCCTCCAAACGGTATGGGACATTCTCCGTAACGCGATGTACCCTCAACTCCTATGGTCTTCCTTCACCATCGGAATCTCAGTAGGATGGTAAGCCCCATCCCCTATGATCTCTTCCCCAAACCCAAGCTAATGAGAATAGGAACATCGTCGTCCAACTCACCGCATCCCGCACTTTCACAGCCCCGCCCTACAACTGGCCCGCAGGCAGTATCGGTCTCCTCTCCCTCTCCGGCTTCATCGGCGCCCTGCTAGCCTTTTACCTGGGTGGGCGTCTCATCGACATCCTCTCCACATATTATACCCGACGACGCGGGGGCCAACGACTCCCAGAGTACCGACTCCCCGCCATCATCATCCCCGGCACGATCGGACCCGCGGGGATCCTCATCTTCGGACTGTGCGTAGCGAATCAGACACACTGGGCTGGGGCGGCAGTAGGATACGCCATGCAGGCGTTTGGAGTGGCAGCTATTTCTAATGTGGCGGTCACGTATTCGTTGGATTGTTATAAGCCGGTGAGTTTACCCCCTTGCATGGTGGCGTTGGATGGTGCGTGGTTGGCGGGAGAACATGAACATGACCATAAACATAAATATGCTAACGATTTTGGCGATTCTCTGCTTCAGATCACGGGCGAAGCACTGGTGATTATTTTTGTGATTCGGAATACGATAGGAATGTTGTTGTCGCTGTATGCGGCGGACTGGATCGCAAAACAGGGCGCCGCGAAGGTGTTTGGAGAAATGACAGCGATTCAAGGGGCGAGTATATTGCTGGCGGTGCCGTTGTTTCTTTGGGGCGCTGGCCTACGCGAGGTGACGGGGCGGTATGGGCCCATGAAACGGTTTGTGGGAGTGTCTTAGATTCATTTCTCGGTAGTTGATGCTATTAATAATGATCTTGTCCTTCGCTTAGTAGATACTAGATAGTGATTAGACTACGGCATTTGGAAATAAGATGATGACGCAGAAGTCACTCCGCCGAGTGTCCACTCCGTATCTCTGGTCTGGGTAGATAGGGTAGACCGGATATCGCCGCGGAAATGTCATCCAGAAGAGACACTTGTAGGGTTCGGTTTAGTGGAGGTTATCTAGTTGGGGAACTATCATTTCCGGACCAGATTTCTTTTCCGTGCTTTCAAAGTCTATTATATTAGTGCCAGTAGTCTCTCCACAGGGGCGATCATTTTCCCAGTTCAAATAAATATGAAGCTATCGCCCATGTAAGTTCAATTTCCCCCCCATCTTTGATCCTACAGATTTGAACCCGCACTATTTGACATCAATTCTTCAGGAACAGCAGGGGAAGGGTGATAATCAATCCATGTGCGCCCCAGAGGGATCACTCAGGGATAAGTGTTAAATTTTTTTGTACAACCGAGGAACCGAAAACGATCCACTTGACTGCTTGGTTGGTGCGGAACTAGTGTTTAGTGCGTGTGGCACTTTTGCCTCAGTAGATAATCATCATGATGATTCGAGGAAGTCAGCTTTGTAATTTCAATTAATATATCTATCGAATTGGTCTAGCTAAATAAATCGTGGGCTATACTGAGTTGTTGGCTAGTTCGGGGCACTTGTCTCGTATTCGATGGGGCAGATGGCAATAAAACCCTGCCCAGCATTGGCTCGGTTGCCGAGATGATGGGTGCCAGACCCATGGGTCTGGGTCTGTCAAGTTGCTTCCTTGTCATAATGACTGGTGTCAAACAATAAGAAGAAGAAGAATAATAATAATAATGTGTTCTGTTATATTCTGTGTCTTTCGGAAGAGGTGGCGAGGGAGTAGTACAGCTAGGGGCAAACCAACCCCTATCTATCATGGACGATCACTCTGGTTACTCGCCTCGGTTATCTGGTCGACTCCACCCCGAGGGAACATGCTACTGCCAGTCTAGCAAGTAGTGCCATGGTGAACCTGGCCCTGCAAGTGTTAACCTGTGTGTATGGAGTATCCACGAGGAAGTGGATAGAATGAAGCACGATGCCCAGCGTGTGCCTGGAGGGCCTGAGCGTCATGAAATTCCGATCGCACACAATCCCGCAGTAACTAGATACTCAATCACTCTAAATGGAAATAATGGAACCTAAATGGAACTGATCAATTCAGCTAACTATACTCGTTTAAGACGTTGCTCCGCGCCATTCTGATCATCCGCCATTCCCAGACAGGCATGATGATTGCTTCTTTTCGATGATGGATGTGGACACTAAACAGCACTGGAATCATCATTCCCTGCATCGAAGCCATTCCTTCAATGATGATCAAATCTTGTTTCCTGCTCTAGACAACTTCTCCCCCTCTTCTCCTCCACCTTTCCGACTCTCTCCGTCCGGATTGCGCGACTGCCAGACTCCAAAAGTCAAACCGAATCCAGACACCCGCCAATCGCCCTGCCCAAGACTTTAAGGTTTCCGTCCGTCGTTCGGGGATAATGCACCTTCAAACCGCGTCCCAGATTTGAGGTCAGCTCAGTTCAGCTCCCTAATGCAATGTCACCCTACATATAGTAATCAGTATCTCCACCAAATTAAGCCCGTGCTATTCTGAGTCTAGCTGTTGGGGTTATTTGAGCCGCTCCCCTCGCCGTCCTGGCCCCGGAGTGATCTGGGCTGTTGCTTTTGCTGCTGCTGCTGCTGCTATTATTACTGCTATTGCTGCGCTACCATGAGTAGCTCTGCTTTGCAATATGGCGAATAGCACCATCATCCCGGCCATGGAGCCGCCTCCTGGCCAGGTTTCCAACTTTATCGATCCGCCCTACTGCGGCGCCAAGTTCGTTGTGGTGAATTGTGTGTTTCTTCCCATGGCGCTGATAGCGCTGATAGTACGCACCTGGACGCGTGTGGTTGTTGTGCGCAGTGTATCCTGGGATGACTGTAAGTACGACAGAGGGGTGCGCAGGGCGAAGTTTGCAAACATTAAAGCTAACTGAACACTAGACTTGATGATCTTCGCAGCGGTATGGATGATCTGATTTTTGGCCCAGTGTACTAGATACACGTAGCTGACCCCATAGCAGATCTTCTCGACGGTTATGACCGGAGTCACTCTGAAGAGTAAGTGATCCATCGATAGCCATGAACGGTATCGGGCCCCGCTGACCAACAGTGCTCGATTTTGGCTTGGGCAAGCATATGTGGGACGTGCCCTTGGATCATCTGACCCCTTGGTTTCTTAAGGTATTCTTCCTTGTTTGTCTGATGACTGGTCCTGATGAAGCTTACCCTACCTATAGTTCAACGTCGTCGCGGCCATCATCTACTGCGCCGGGACAGGGTTCACCAAAGTCTCCGTCTGCATATTCTATCTGCGCATCTTCCCCAGTCATGGCTTTCGATTAGCCGTGTGGTCGATCGTTTTCATCGCGGTGGGCTACAATGTGGCCAGTGTGCTGGCCAATGTGTTTAGCTGTACGCCGATCGCGGCAGCGTGGGACTTGACCTTGCCGGCGAACTGCATGAACAGGCCGGTGTTTTATTTTGCCAATGCGGGACTGGGCATTTTCACGGATTTTGCGACGGTGTTGGTGCCGATGTACGTCATCTCATCATGGGGTTTATAATATAGATGCTGACGAGGGATAGTCCGTGGTTACGGCGATTGCAGATGCCGGCGCGACAAAAGGTCGCTGTCGGGTCTATGCTGGCCATGGGCTGCTCGTAAGTCGCGATGAGGAATTTACTCTAGCAGGATTTGGGATCTGACAATGACAGGGTCGGCATCGTGAGTTGCATCCGACTGGCAAGTCTATACGTTCTAATGAATAGCACCGACCTAACCTGTATGTCGCTCACCCACCTACCCTACCAACACAGCTAACAGATCAGGGGCCACAACCAACGCCCTCTTATGGTGCACCGTTGAATTAAACTTGGGTATCACCGGTGGCTGCATGACAGCCATGCGCCCGTTTGTGCGACGATACTTCCCCAAGCTGCTGGGCCTGTCGTCCTACGCATACGGCCAATCAGGATCACGCAAGTATGGCCATCCATTGAATTCGATTCCGCGCGACCAGCCCGACTTCAATAACAACAGTCAGCAATACTCGACGCGATTGCAAGGTGGCGCCGATAATGCAAGCGAGGAGCACATCCTTCCAGCCAAAGCGTGTGAAGGGGAAGACGGGATCCTCCGCACAGTGGAGTTCAACGTGGTCGACACCAGACATGCTGGAGCATAATTTCTTTCTAGTTTCCTTTGTATACACGAGTTATAGACATAATGCGACCGTTAAAAATCCATAATGTGAACAGGAAATTCTCTCATCCGATCTGGCCTGGTCTGGAATGATTATCGGGAGCATCGGTGGAAAAGTTCTCCTAGTGTTGCGGACTAAAGCCTCACTAACCCTCACTAAACCACCACTAATGTCTCCACTACCCTCTCAACTAGTCTGCTCTCGGGAGTTTGCCCGAGACGAAGCTCTCAGATTCCAGTCAGGAACCGCCAATTCCAGTTCCTCCCCGGAGCCGGCCAGCCATCCCCTCCCTCTCCCCATTCTGCACGGCATGTTCTTCTAATAATCCTTCCTTCCTCGGCTATCCGGCTCCCGTTGCCAAGGGCTTCTAGTCTGCTGTCCGGTGCATCTCCACCACCACCACTACCGCCAGGCACGTCAGCTACCAGCCTAGCTAGCTCTCCACACCGGCTGGGCCGCAGTTAAAGCTCCCTCTTCCCCTTCCTTTTGGTTTCCTTCTCTCCGCAGTGCCATTGTCAAGTAGCATACACCATGCGCATCGCCTCCCTTCTCCCTTTGACGGCGGCGGCCACTACGGTTGCCGCCACGGCCACCTCGGCTGGCTGTAAGACCCTCAACAAGTCCCTGTCCAGCGCAGTGTTTGCGCCCAGCTCCACTGTTTACCAGTATGAGGCGCAGAACTTCTGGTCCAACACCGAGATCATGTCGCCTGGATGTGTGTTCCGGCCCCAGTCGGCTGAGGAATTGAGCCAGGGTGTCAAGGCGCTGGTAAAGGCTGAGGCGCAGTTTGCTGTGCGTGGTGGTGGACATATGGGAATCAGGGTATGTCACCATACATTCGGATCTAAAATATGTGCAGTGCTCATAGAATTACAGGGATCGAACAACATCGACAAGGGTGTCCTCATCGTCATGTCCAACCTGACGACCCTTGAACTGTCCGATGATCAGTCCGTTGTCTCGGTTGGCCCGGCTTACAGGTATTATTTCTTCTCCTTACAACCAACCACATTGCATATGATCTAATGACAACAGATGGGCCGATGTCTACGACTACCTTGAAACATACGACCTCGCCGTAGCCGGAGGCCGTCTCGGCCCCGTCGGTGTCCCCGGCCTGCTGCTCGCCGGCGGCATTAACTTCTACGGCAACCAGGTCGGATTCGGCTGTGACACCGTCATCAACTACGAGGTCGTGCTTGCGAACGGCACCATCGTCCAGGCCAACGCCACCAGCCACAGCGATCTCTTCTGGGCGCTGAAGGGTGGAAGCAGCAACTTTGGTCTGGTGACTCGCTTCGACATGGAGACTATCCCGTCGACTCAGGTCTGGGCTGGAACTTACACTGTTTCCGCAGAGTATATTGATCGCTTTTTGGAGGTATTCTCTCTCCCCTTATTCCTACTGTTCTTGTTACAGTGGAGAGGATACATGCTAACATGGTATACAGGCATCCGCCACCTATGCCGCCAACATCTCCGACCCCAAGACTCACATCGTCCCCGCCGTCGTGCCGGAGGGCAACACAAGCGTCGGATCGGTGATTATGTTCTACGACAGCGCCACGGAGAGCTACCCGGAGATCTTCAAGCCGTTCACCGACATTCCGGCCGTGAGCAGCACCCTAGGATTCAAGACCTTGGCGGAGTTTGCGGCTGAGACGGGTGCGCTGGTTACACCGCATATTAAGTACGCGCCACATCCGCCTCCACGCTTTATTCCAACTACCTTATTAGCTACATTTATACTAATAAACATTGCAGTGACATATTCGTCGCCGGTACCATCAAGGCAACCACCTACGATGACCTCTACCGCGGTATCAGCATCATCAACAGCACCTTCGCTGCCCAGCTGCCCTCTCTGTACGCGAAGATCCCCACCGCCAATATCTCCATCATCGAGCTCGACTGGCAGCCTATTGGTGCCTCGTGGCTCGAGGCCTCCGAGTCCCGTGGTGGAAATGCTCTTGGTCTGGATAAGGACCAGGTGTACCTGTGCTACGCTGAGGTCGTTGAATGGATTGGATCCGAGTATGATGAGATTGTTGGCGAGTGGGTGGTCGAAACCACCTACAAGATCAACAATGCCACGCAGGAGGCGGGCCTGTATGACAGCTTCAACTACATGGGTGATGCGGCGTGGTTCCAGGATATCTTCGATGGATATGGACAGGAGAACCTGGCCAAGTTGCAGACGATTGCCCAGAAGTATGATCCTGACAGTGTGTGGCAGGTGTTGATGCCGGGTGGATACAAGATTTTCTAGATGTGTTTATAAATAGATAGATAGATAGTATATGTCTGTATATAGTACTATTTCTAGATACTATACTAATCCACCTTCAGATCCATATCCATACCCAACCATCCCAACCACAAACAGAACCCTTCCCTATCCAACACAAGTAATAATACCATTCCAACAACCCCGACCCCAAATCCAGAAATTTATCTAAGAAGAAATCCCCGCAGCCTGGACCAAAAACTCCGCTGCCTCCTTAGCATCACTGCCATAACTCAAATGCGCCATGACATTGAAACCATTCTCACAGACGGGATCCCCAGTAGCACAGAACTCCTTGACCTTACTGCTCGACAACTTACCCACGCTCTCCATCTTCAACGGATCACCGAACAACACCGCACCAGACAACTGGTCCGCGCTGAGCTCGTTCGCGGCGTAATGCACCACCATCGCACCCTGCGAGTATCCACCCAACACGACCTTGGTGTTGGGGCACTCCTGCAGCGCTTCCTTCACGTATGAGGCCATGGTAGGACCGCCCGAGGAGCCGAGGGAGGCGTTGCCCTATACCGTCATCGTTATCATAAACTTTCTCTTCTTCTCTATGTATTATTGAAGAGAAGGGAAGAAATGGAGATGGGATGGGACTCACCTCCCAATCAGCAGGGTAATTCACACCCTGCACGGTGACCTGATTCCCAGTCAAGGTGGCCAATTCGCTAGCGACCTCCGGACCGACGACGGTTCCCATGTTCCCGATCTCGGTGGTGCCGCGGGCGAAAATGAAGGTGAGTTCCTTGCAGCTGCCGCTGTGTTGGGTCACGCCGTTCTCGGTGGATGAGCCTTTTCTTTTCATTAGCTTACTGTATGTACTCATTACTCTTGGGGAGGGGGGGGCATCATACCGCTACCACTGCTGGAGAACATGCTCAGCAGGCTGCTTAGGCCATCACTGCTGCTGCTACTGTCGCTAGTACCGCTGGTACTGCCCGTAGTGCTGGAAGTGGATGATGACGGGAACAGCGAGGCCAGAGCGCTGAGGCCGCTGGATGCGGTGGTCGATTCTGATACAGTGCCGGTACTTCCAATCGAGCCGGAGGAAGAGCTGGCTGCGGAGCCGGAGGTTAGGGAGGAGAGGTCGAATTGACGGGCCTGGAGGGTGGAAGTGGGGGCGCCTAGGGCTGTAGCGAGGAGGGAGAGGGTGATGAAGGATTTCATTTTGGTTTGTTGATGTATATAAATGATTGGGGGGTGTATGTATAAAGAATGTATGGAGCGCTGCTCAAAGAGTGACTGACTGGGTGGATGAGGAAGGGAGGGAGGATGGGATGAGATGGCGGTGCACTGCACTTGCTGGATAGGAGAATTTTGGACTTGAAGCTGGTTTATATACATGGCAGTGGTATTGTCTGCGAAATTAGTTATTTACCAAAGATTGATCATTTTTTGGGTCCGTTAGGGAATGCCAGATTGAACTGGATCGACTGATCACCCCCGTGTGGAGTCTTTCGGTTTCACCATACCAGGGCTGTTTCTTCCGGGTTCATGGGTATCTGTTCTACTCCGAAATCTAATTTAGTCTAGTATAGAGTATAACAAAGTCTACTAAGGTTAAACTAGGGACAAGGAACAGAACAGGAACAGGAATCAGGAGTCACAGCTTAAACCCCACTAATTCTAGTCTTTCCAGAATTTCTCCCAGAAAACCCCGAATTGTATCTCATGGTTGGCTGAGCCGGTAGTGAGTCAGTCTCATCCTGCGACAAATTCTGCGGTATCATATGCGGGAACCGTTATGTGTCGACCATTCTTGGTGGTAAGTCAGGCTGGTGAGGCTAGGCATCAGTCAAGCACCGGGCAAACCAGGGTCTGTCGCCGATAGATTGATTTGCTGGGGTGGTAATCAATCTGCGTCCGGGCGGGCGCCGCGCGGGTTAATATTTTAGTCTAGTGCGGGTTCGCGGATGGCTTTTAGGGCTGCCCATTTTTGAGTCTTTTCTTGGCTTTCGAAATTACGGGGTTGGTCTATGTCGGGATAGGTGTTCTGTTTCTCTTAGAATTGATTCTCTGTATAACGATGGAATTGAGAGGGTAGAAGCAACAACAATGAGAAGAGAGAATTAATGATAGTGTTAGTTATGATGTTCCTGCTGCTGCTATGCGGTTCGAAAATTGTCTGGTGGTACGGAAATGGATAAACTTCGGCCTCGGTCAACTGAACCATTCCCTTCCCTTTCCTTCTGAAACAAACGAACCCGATCATCAGATCAAGGCACACTAACTTACTTCCTATATTGCCTCGGCTTACGAGGCTAGCCGGCTGAGTCGGATGAATGCTCACGGATGATTATTGGCGGGTGTGCTGGTTGAATATTGGCTGTGGAATGTTTACCCGTCAGTGTCGGGCACAAGATACTGTCAGGGTTAGAGTGCAGCGGGGCCAGGTGATCCATCATATATACTAGTCCAGAAGGTCCTTGTAGTCTAGATCCTGAGAGATGAAATGATGGTTTCGTATGGTTGCTTCAAAGGGGTGTTGTAGATAGGCTGTGATTTATCGTGGACGTGTCTCGTTGCGGTATAGTTTGGTCACCATGATGTACACGGACGGGCTGAAGGTATATTTTTGAACTATTACTAGGTAGATTGACTGAAGGAGCAGGAGGGATGGTCGTTTGTCTTAATATGTTGTTTGAAGGTCTTTCATCTACGGTGAATATTATTGTGTTTTCATGTGTGTTTTTGCGATGATGAGGCTAGAACGTTTTTATTTCTCAGGGACCGAAAAGAAATTTTGTATGCCGAAATGCAAAGTACACTGTGACTGAGCGGGATAGATGTATGAGGTCCACAGGCAGCCTATGGGCACGCTAACAGTCTTGCCAAAAAAGAAAAAAAGAAGTAATTACCCGAAATATGTAAACAAAAGAGTTAAGGCTGAAAAGAATGAAATGACCCGAAATGTGAACATAAGGAATGAAGATCGGAGGAAGTTCAATACTTCCAGATTGAAACTCATGAAAGCTAGCAAGAGGGAACGGGGATTTAATAGAAGAAACTTCAATGTACCAATCTATGTCCGTCCAGGATCCCAACCTTTCGACCAAGTTCTGCATCCTTCACACTAGCAACGAGCTCCACTTCCGCCTGCTGTTTCGAGTATCTCAAGGTCCAGGCGATCTGCACCTTAATGCTGCACTCATCACCTGTGCGCAATATGCTATCGCGATCTTGCAACTGGAGGCAAAATTCGAAGACACCTTTGGGCACCAATGTTACTATTTCATTTGCAATGTGAGCTAGATGCGCGCGAAAAAGTTGGAGTCTTCAGACACCTGCATAGGAGTAATCCAGGGAACTTACTTCCGTCGTCGGGAGATGGACACTTCCCGGGATGCTCGACAAGATTGATTATGGTCGTCGCGGGATCGCCGGCGCGGTGAAAGATGTTGAAAATGTGACTCTCTTCATGATCTATCGCGTATTCCTGGCCCTGCAGACGGTTTGTGGAAGTGTCAGTTCAGCCTGAGTTTAGGGAGCTGGAGCCACGCCAGTACGCACCTTCCGTACAATCCAATAAGGTATGGACGTCTTCCTCAAAATGCGCCTGTCCAGTCCTTCCTCATGAACAATGGCCTCAGAGGTAGCTTCGAGGCCGTAGCTCCTGTCAAACTGTAGGCGGGGAATAGCCCTACCCAGAGCACCTCGGAGAGTCGCTCCCCACGCAACAGATATCGGCCTATGGAAGAGTCAGCCCCAAACCGCTTCCTACAGGGAACAGCATAGACGTACGCGTATTCGATAAGATACAGCACCTCAGCAATTCCCTCTAATTTTACTCCTATATGACTCCTGAGATACGGCATCATGCCGCCACCGCCAGCAAGGAGGACATGCTAGTTGGAGTATCTGTCAGCCTAACTAATTTGTAGTGAACAGGGTAGAGCTTACCGAAATTGGCCGTTGCATTTGGCGTGATGCATCAATGTTTTCCAGGATCAAACTGAGAATCTTTTCGATAGTTGGATTCAAGCATCCCTTGATATGTTTTGGGAGAGCGGTGCGTTGGCCCGATGCAGGAAGAACTATCGGACGAACTTCATCCCCATTGAATCCTCTTTTCAAATCGCCTATTTTGTCCAAAAGCCGTTGGGATGGTACTCCGGGGAGACTCCTGACGTACCCGCGCAGTGCAGCATCCATAGCCGCTAACCCACAGTCGTTGCCTGTAGAATGTTAGCATCCGCATAAAGATTTGTCAAACAGGTTTCATGAACTATACCGGAGGATCTACTCAGCAGTTCGTAGGTAGGATTTATGCTGCTGTTCTGTATTTGCATCGTAACGACGTCCTTCCAGGATGACAGATTAGTAACGCATGGAAGATTATCAAGGCACTCATGAAGTTCAGGCACTTACTGTTGTCCCTCCTCCGATATCACATATCAGAATACAACCATCGCCCAGCTTCAACGACTGTTAGTCAACTGATAGACTACTCGGGGGCTGCAAAGGAGAGAGGAAAAAAAAGAAAAGAAAAAGATAAAAAACTACCCCGGGTCTCGCACTAACCTTTCTATAATGCTCATGGTACGTGAAAAACAATGCGACCGCCTCGGCCTCTGTCACGAAGAAAAAGCGATCTGGACCGTTACCATATCCTGCGTCTTGCACCGCTCTCATCATTTTCTGTTGGCTCTCATTGGACCAGGTGGCTGGCCAACCAAACCAATAGTCAGTCCCTTCATCGCAATTGGGATACAGTGTGCGGGTCTTCTCAGTGATTGCGTCGTAGAGTTGACGAAGGTACACAGTGACGAGTTCCTCGGGCAAGACACCCTCTGGCAACTGTGGTGCATTTGGCTCTTGTAGAATTGGGTGGTCCGGATCGTACAGAAATATCTTGAGCCATTTATATACGGTTCCTTGCTGGCCATCGTAGGCTTCTTGACCCCACAATATCCTTTCGTCCTGGCCAAGCGCCAGACATGACGAGAAGACGATTCGGTCGTTGATGGTCAAGGAAAAGATAGGGGGCGGTTCTTTCTGGATGCTGTTCCAAAGAGCATGCGATACACCTACATGTCATGCGTGATGCGTTAACTGGGCTACTCATTGGGGACGGTTGCTGAAGCCTAGACTTACAAGTTTTTTCCGTTCCAAAATCGATTCCAACGATTATCTTTCGTTGACCTAGAGGGGGTTCCATAGCGTATGCAATGCTTGGTATTATGTAGAAAGCTATATCTGAAATAGGCGAAAAGGGAATTCTGGGTTGGATCTTGGTAGAGCGATGATGAACGTTGGGTGCAACGAACAAAGAAGACCGGCATCCACTGGCAGTGTGAGGAGAAGGGTAGGAAGAAAAGAAGCCATGGGAGACACTGATGAAAAGAAGTCCCAGCATGCTTTGTTCTTGCTGGCTCGGATGACAATCAGCCAATGAACCCTAAAAGGAATAGAATACGAAAGGGAGGGGGGATGGGAAGAACGGATGCCTGTCGGTGTCATCTTTCAGCCCTCTCAAACAAAGCAATCCGTCCTGCTTTTGTCCGCCTTCGGATCCTTTCTCTTCAATCTGCCTTCTCCATCATTTTCTCTTGCTCAATATTTGACACATCATCTCTTTTCCAGTTCAATATATTCAATCGCCCTTTCGCCACAACAGCAACACAATGGCTGGTGCTAAGCGATCCAATCCCAAAAAGAAGCCGGAAGCGCGGCCTTCAACCCCAACCCTTGAGGCTCCTGCTCAGAGAACACCTTCACCCGGACCTTCTCAACGGCGTGGAAATAAAGACAAGACGCTCAAATCCAACGTCAGGAGGGCACGGAAAGAGAATGACACACCCTATCCAGAGTACTCAAGGGTTTTCCTAACGAAGGAAAAATACCTTCAGAGGGTTCGAGGCATGAATCGTCTCCTCATGTCGGGAAGCCGAGGATGGGAATGTGAGCTGACCGACGTTTCGACTAATTACGAAGATATGTTCCGATTAATTCTTCAGTGGGTCTACGATTGGGCAATGGAAGATATTGGAACAATTTCCAAAAGTGACATGAAGCTCGTCATTGACGCCCTGGATGGGTACTGTATCCAGGATGATTGGCCTACTCTCCAAAGGCTTCTACCACCTCTGATAGCACCTGGAGGGAGATTCTTGGAGACCTTAATCAACAAAGCCATTGCAACAAAGGTTCTTCCCAACTCATTCCAGTACCTTGATGGGAAGACCGGGTCCACCGATCAGAATGGAGACGAAAGCTTCGCCACAAAACTCCAGTACCTCTACGACCGATTCTTCGAAAGTGAGTAGTTCTCTGGCCCACGACTTCACCAATCCACTAACTGAAATGTGTCCAGCGAATCCAAATTTTGCAACGCTCTGGAAACAACAAACGCATCGACTAGCCAACTCAGTAACTGCGAGTCAAGCGCCAGGTGACCTGGATTTTGGACAAGAGAATGTCAAGCGCCTCAAGGCTCGTGCGCCTCCCCTGGCTGATGAGCTTCTGGGCAGTAGGCCAATCTGCCTGCTACTCAGGGAGCCCTTGAGTCCCGAGGAGGCGCTATCCCGGCGGACAGATCTGGTCAAGATTTTTGAAATGGCCCTACGTCTAATGTGTGACGGCGAAACGCGTGTCGGTGGTCAGTTCCGCATGGAGCAATTGCCACAGCTGGGATCATTGTACAAGTGCGGTAGCCCCTACATGGTGCTTTGGGACGAGACTGATCCTGCAAACGAGGCCGATTTGGATGGACGTAAAATACTGCTTGTTGTACGACCGGCCATCGTATACACTCATAGTGAGCCTAAAGATGCAGGATCGGGCTACACTTCCGTCTCCTCCATTGCTCACAAGGCTATTGTTATCGTGGGAAATCATGATGGAGCAACGGATGGTACCAAAAAGCAAAAGCCCACGAACCAACAACCTACCAAATTCGTGGAGGACCGAGTCTACGTGAACACGGCAAGTAGCTGAAAGGCTAAATTTTCTGTTCGTTGTATGTCTGCGTGTGTTACCTTTGCTTTCTTCAAATTTGTTTCATCATTTTTATGAATATGATTACTAACCCCCCACCTCCCTTTTGCCTCGCCTGTTTGGTTAGTAGATTTTTAGTGATAGGTAGTTTCATAAACAGAAGGCGATTACTCTTCTCCTCACTCTTCTCCAGTCTTCATTTCACTCCCACCCCCACCCTTCTTCTCAATCCAGCACTCCAATAAATGGACAGTGAGGCGATTTGACCCATAATTTTAATCCCGCCCGAATGCCTCGTCTGGAGGTTGAGCGGGAGAATCAGTCCAGTATCGCCATACCACCCAGCCTCGTAAGGCCTACTAAGTTTATCGCCAACCAAGGTTTCTCATGCAACAGATGACTTGGGTATGTCGGGAGGGGCAAAAATGATAGGACGAGGAGTAGCAATGCCCAGCCATTTCCTCGCTGATCCATCGAACAGATCATCTGTATCACTGTGTAACTTGCTCCGTTATGCCATGGTTCAGTGTGCCTAAAATCCACTTCACTCTGAAATGATTCACTTGTCGGGATTGCGCAGATTGCTGCCCAACACATGGGAGAGACAAATCTTGACTCTGTGGACGATTTCAGGATGGATGGGCCTGGCCTTGAAACAAGCTCTGCTTCATCCCTGTACGTTACCGGAACTCCCGTTCATTTCCGGACAGCTTGCACTACACTGCCTCTTGCCTTTGAATACGAGCGCCTTAAAACTGCCACCACTTCTGCGATATGATCTGGCTTAGCCTCTCAGGGCACGTAGGAGTCGGTGAACCTCGTATCTCTCACACTGTAGCCTGAATGGTGGCGTAAACCTTTGGTTTGATTCCCGTACTACCTTGTGAATAGCACTTGGGTGCTGCTTCTCGCGGTCAGAAGGCCAATGGGAAATGGTCGCTGACTAGGTCCGACTTCCGCGACTGAAAGCCCCGGTGCTAGGTGAAATTACTCCGTGGAGAAGACTTTTTGACGATAAGCTGCTGGTCCAGACTTTCCCGAGACGCGTAACGCCATGCTGACGTCCACTGTTGACAGGTCGATCATCCGGCCCCTTTCCGTTTCCGCGGCTTCGGCGTTTGCTTCTTCGGACAGCTTGATCTTTCGGCTTGTGGCATCAAGAAATCAACCCACGCAGGTTACTTCCATCACAAACGAGACCGTCGCCTGATCGTAATGACATGATGTGTATCGTTGTTCCTTTCCTGATGACACTAGGGTTACATTGTGGGTTGTGGGATGTTACCCCTATCGTGAGAACAGTGTTCGGATATTGATAGTAAACTTTCCAGCGTGCCGTCATCACTGCAAGTGTGTTTCAGAGTCTGAAAGCTTTCTGATTCGAGCCCTGTAGCAATCATGAGAAGAGAAAAAGCCAAATCTGCAGCAAAGGCTGATGATGCTACTCTACCTCGTCGGAGATGAGCCAGTTTTCGGTGCCTCACATGACACAAACGAAATGCCTGACTTTGTGCAACCTTAGCAATATTGTCGATCTTTGCACAGAGACGAAGTGAAGGCCAGACTCTTGGGCCGGAAGTCCAGCTTGATTATGGATATCCCACATGCCGATATAGATGTTTACACTTTGTTCACAACACGCGAGAAGGTAGTTGTCAGTAACTCGCTGTAAGCACAGGTCATACGCCCATCACGTGGTTGAGCGCAGATCGGCTAGACCGTAAAAGTAGCTCCGTTGACTGTATTTCGCCCATTATTTTACTCCGTCAGTCACGTATCAACTTTTCAGGTCAACCCATCAATTACAGTCAGATTACCGAACTGGCTGCAGAATAACTAGATATCGGTAAAGCAGGAATGAAGCTTATGGAGCAGAGAAAGGGTTGGTTTGAATGGTTCTATTAGAGTAGTAAACAACTGGAAATATGCAAGCAGAACATAGTAGAATTATAAAACAGAAGAACCAGCTTATCCAGAGATAAGAAAGATACTCCTGCTACCAGAGCAAGAATAAAATGATGTAAATATTTAATTAATCAACTTAATTATATCTATAAGATCCTATTTCTAATACCAGCTAGAAATCTGTTATAATACTGATACTTACTCAAGTCCTGATAAGATATATATTATATAAAATATATACAATCAAAATAGAATCAGTATAAAAGAATCATAAGAAGTAATAATAATAATAATACTATAATTATCTAATCTTGTTTTCTGAAATACCTCCTATCTCTTTATATTGTTTATTATATATGTGATAGGATCTACTTCACTTGGCATAACTGTTATATTATATTTTACTTCTTGATCTTATTTACAGAACTGATGACGACATGAATTCTTCCTCCTTTTGATAAGGCCTACAAGAAGTATTAGGTAGCATTTTAGTATGTCTGAGAGTATCTTCAGGTTTTAGTAAGATCTCGCGACCGGCAAAAAAATCAGGAGGCGGGGATGGTGTTTCAAATACCTTTGTGTGATAACTGTACGGAGTACTCTGTAACTATGGAATTCAACATTGCTTATAGGCCAGCCCTATAATTCATTGTGGGATTCAACATGCAGCTGAGACGGTCTGTGCGGAGGTCGTGCGCCCAAAGGTGAATCTCGCCTGGCCATCCCCTTGTTCTTCCCACCTACAGCGCACTCACATCCCCCGTCCGCTCACTCCGTTCTTACTAGGTGGCACCCGACTATTGGCCGCATTAAAGCCATACGCTGGTCATTTTAGTAGCATGGTAGATGACCATATACGAATCCCTGGTAAATGTACTATCTTGCACTCATCGCCTCCTATCATCGCCGCCGTTTCGCTTTATCTCAGTCCCACCCGCAATTGCGCCTTGGGTTTTAGCCTGATGCACTGCCCCCTTCTTCCTTCGTACCAGAAATGCCGCTCAATCCGACGCAGAGTCTGCGTCGAACAGAACCCTTTGAGGTGACCCAGGCCACGCGTATCGTGGTTATTTCGCACGATCCTCCTACTTCTCCCTGGACTGAGTACATCATGCTGCCAAGCTGTCTAGGTTTCCTTTTGCCAGTGTGCCATTTCCGTTGCTGTTATCCTTCCTCCATCCTGCCCATCTAAAGTATCGATCAATCCTAAAATTCCGGATGCCTCTCTTCAATCCGGCCGTCTGATTCGTGAGGCTGCACATATCTTTTAATAAACAATTAAGACCAATGACACTGCAGGTGCTGTATAAAAGAAGGAATGCGAAGGCTTTGATCTAGTTTATATAGCTCACTTGAGTTGTATTCACATATTTTTGACAATGTCGGATTATCTTCTATCCTGACATTACTTCTCTATTCTGTGTTTAAATATAAAAGCGTTTATTTTCTTCTGCTTTTATAGTTCTACTGTACGGAGTTGATGTACTTCATTTTGAAGTAGAATAGTATTCTGTATTAAGATCCTAATGTCTCTAATGATTTCTTTCAGGTATATTATCAGTAATCCATAATGTTGAAACCACCACGTACGGCATAAGAGATATCTCTTATGCGCTCGTAGCCCACAAGGTAAGGTGGCAATGTTTCAACAAATAATAGTAGTCTTATTTCAAAGTAATCTAGATCTACACTAGAAGGCGGTGTAGCAGGCAGGCGTGGGTTTGCTAACTGGTGTGGCTCTAGAGCCTCCCCATAATGCATGTGCTTTATATGAAGGGAACAATTGGTGGATCTTATTATTGCAAAGTGGTAGCATTAGGTTTTCTTCTAATGGTGACAGAAGCATGATTGGCTGTCTGGTTAGCCAGTCGTATCGGACAAACGGAGATTGATTGGGGCTGAAATATTCCGGTGTGTTACTGCAAGGCTGCCAGCAATACCGGGATGCACGTACTATAGTGATCATGATTCCGTTTAAGGAAATAATATAGATGCCAAGAAAGTATATCTTCTACATTATACAGGGAATGGTTCGGTTTCTTCTACTCTAAGTTTTGTGCTTTCGGAGAATAGTGAGTCAAATCAGTTGGCTAATCCAAAATCCACAGTGGTGATTGGTGCGTGATAAATCATTGACACAAGGAAAAATGCTTTACCAGAAGGTTGAAGGGTAGGCATTGAGGCTGTGAATTACTCCACCAGGCAGTCATATATCACGTGACTTCATTCAGCCTTGCGTGTGAGATGCAGTTGCTGACCTTTGCAATTGTAGCATACAAAGGTGTTTAGGCGCGGAATTACTAGCAAAGCAACGAAACAACAGAAAAGCAAGCGAACGAACGCGAAAATCGCAACAAAAGAGTGAGTTGTATTAGTAGCTATTTAGGTGCTCGCCTCAACAAAAGGTTCAATGTATTTTCCCTATGCCGGCTTAACTTCAGGTCCATTCATCACATGGCATGGATTCAACCCATTATTGCTGCGCCACACCCACAGTCCTCGAACAGACCCCCAACACATAAGAATAGTTGTAAAAGAGCCCCAAAGCGCTAAATCCATGCAGTATCGCCGGGCCAATAGACAATGATACCTTCTCGTATCGCATGTACGGCCCCTTTAAAACCAGTTGGCCTTTCGCCCTTCTCTCAACTCCTCCCCCCAAAAAAATGAAGTCCCCCAACCGCTCCCATCTGATCTCCGCTAACCATGGCCGAGTTTTCGGATCAACTTCGTCTCCTGCCCGCTCGGAATCCTTCGGACACAGGGTCAATTGAAAATGTTGATAGCGGCGATCGAAGCAATATTTGTTTACAAGATACCGGCGCCTACCGTGATTCATCGCGCAGCAGTCTGGCCAGCACGCCCCAAAAACCTGTCGAGGATAACGATCAACCCGACGACGTGCCTGTACCCACCACGAAACCCAAGCGTCGATGCTCCGTGGTCTTTGTCACGCTTATTGTGTTGGCTGTCTACAGTACCATCCTTTCTGGCATCTTCTTTGTCATTGCCTGCATCAAACCTTTTTATGGCGGACTTATCGGATCTAACGGCAGCCTTACTGCCTCCACTGCCTCTTTGCTCAGTGCTCTGTTTGCCAAAACCATCGAGTTGTCTTTTGTCACCATCTGTGTCGCCTTCCTAGGGCAGCTGTTGAGCCGCCGTGCTCTCGCGCATGGATCCGACGGGGTGAGCATTGCAGAAATAACCCTGCGCACCTGGATCACGCAGCCTGGATCGCTGCTGATGCAGTTGGAAACGCTGCGCTACCTTGGCTGGACAGCCCTCGGAACCCTGACACTCACCGTAGCCTTAAGTGCCATGCTGTACACCACGGCCGCTGAAGCCTTAGGTTGTCTTTCTCCCCTCGAGCAGAACATCGTTGCTAACGACCATCTAGTATCGCCTAATCTAGTCATGGGCCCCGTCCAATATCGGCTCCTCCAAGGCAACGTCTCCACCCAATACGCCGATCCAAAGTACCTCGAAAACAAATGTCAAAGCCCCATGACCTCCGCCATCGATCCCGGGCATTTTAACACTACCTGCTTCAACATGGAGATGGCCGGCCGCGCATACAACGACTTCTACCAATACCTCCAAGATTGGGCGGAGCTCCTCGCAGACGGCAACGCCACATCCTCCGTACTGACGGATCGCCCGCAGCCCAACTCTCTCCTATATGACAACACCACTGTCCAGGGCAGCTGGATCGAGACTGACAACATGACTCAACTCTCTTTGCAATACGGGCGCATGGTCAACAACATCACGGCCGCCTACCCTCACGGGGGCATCTTCTCCGCGGCCCGCAACCCTGCCAACGACATCCAACAACCGTCCGACCTGTCGGGCGAAGGCAAATACATTCTCTCCGCATCGGTGCCTTCACCCGCTGTCAATGTCCTCTGTACCGGCATGTCCAGTGACGAACTCGCTCCCCTCATCTACTCCCAATGGCATACCAACAGCACCTTAGATATCTCCAACTGGTACACAGAAGGCCCGACCTACAACACCACCAACCGCACCGCCGTCGACTCCCTCTTCGGCTTCTCCGACCACCACCCGGCCCCCGTCTTCCCTATCTACCCCCAACCCTACAATACCATCATCAACTCCAAAATCGACGGTTCCCCCTCCATCTACCTGCTCGGCGCCGCCCCCACCGCCCACAACCCACCCTACGTCCTCTGCAGCCTTCGCAGTAAACTCTCCGGCCGCTGTTCTACTCGCTACCAAGTCGAATCCTCCGGTGGTAAACTCACCTCCCACTGCGAAGACCCCACCGACACCCTCCAATACAGCCGTATCCACCCGGACACCTCGGAATCCACCTACGACTTGAACTGGAAACAAGTCGCCTGGGACTGGGCTGATAGTGTCAGTCTCGGAAGTGGGCTCATGGGTGATAACGCTAGCGTCGAACGTCTCCTTATGGAATCAATCCCATCATTTAATCCATCCACCAACACCTCCTCCCTCGATCCGACCCTCCCATCCGTCAGCGAAGGCCTAATCGTGCTCGCTGGCACCACTCTTCTCCTCGGAAGTCAAGACTCCCCCTATATCCCATATTGGAATTATAGTAGTAATGGGTCGTCTCTATCCACTCCCGCCGTGCAGGTGTTCAACGCGTCTCTTCAATCAGCAGGCTATGCATCCGGACGAACCAGCGACTGGCAACGAGCCTTCTATATTATTTTGGCTATTGTCTTTGTGATAAGTATCATCTTTTTGGGATATATCCTCTTGCAGGTGAGAGGTCGCTTGGTGACGGATTTTACAGAGCTGCCGAATTTGTTTGAGCTGGCGCGGAATAGTCCGGCCGGGGGGCAGTGGGTCGAAAGTCAGAGCAGGCCGAAATTTCGAGAGAAGTGGCATGTTGAGATGAACGAGGAAAATGGGCAATATTATATTCGAACCATGTGAAAGTTCCTTTGTTTGGTCTGCTTTGTTCGCCTTGCGTCGCATAGCTCACTTATCTTTGTTTACTTCGCATGTTCCTCTACACCTTTCTGGTTCCCTTACTCACGTTAGAAATTTAACTAGATAGCGCCAATAGTACTATTTTATACAGCTCTGACAAAATCTCTAACATCAAAATCATTCTCTCTTTCCCTGATACTGTACATAGCCAGCTATCTAGCGAGGCTGCTAGTGTTCGCTAAAATGGCCAGGACGGAACAGACACGACCTGAAGCAGGCCAACAATTCTATGGGATGTACAAGAAAAATCCGGAAAAGTCTTTTGATATGGTACTGAACTTCATGAATAAGCTGGAAGCAGAACTACATAAGTCTAGGAAAAGTTATCTTGGCCAGGCCTCTCATTGCCCCTCGATAGAGACACGTCTTCCCTGGCTTCGAAACGTTATTTGCAGTACTGAAAAGAACATGGTTAGGCTAATCGCCAGGGAAACCAAGTATCAAGATGCGATTTTGCCTGATGCCTATTCCAATTCACGGACACCTAAGTCCTGTTCAGTCTCCTCTCCATGGATCAGATGGCGCGAAGACTGCAGATTAGTACTAGGTCCTGGGCTCCCAACCTCAGGATCCACCCCCTGCGGTCCCGGCATCAGCACACTAGGTCCAATCTCGGTATTGATGGAACTACCACAGAAATCGTAATACCGGAACAGCGTAACGACAGCCTGCTCTAGCAGGTATAAGGCTTTGGGAAAGGAGCCCGCCTCTAACACCCAAACAACAACGGGCTCCGCGATTCCAACAAAAGCAGGCAAAGCAGTCAAGCCGCCAAACAGGATCTTCTCCTCGTAAGAAGGAATCAGCGGGCCCCGGAGGAGTAGTGTAATGGCCTCGGGCACATCAACGAATTGGATGTTGAACACGTCTCGAACGGCGCTGGATGTCCGCTCAGAGATGCTGACCTCAAGACGCCCGCCCGTCGCAAAATTCTTCTTGCGGCGGGCTGCGGAACATCGAGTACATCGGGGCGCCGGATTGATGGCATGGGACAATGTACGAGATAACAGGGCTCCATAGAACCACCAGTAGGCGGTGAAAGGCTATGGTTGGATAGTCCCAACGACAGAGACTCGTGCGGACCAGTGCCGCAAATATATCTTGTCTCGCCTGGTCCCATGTTCAGGCTTGGAATCGATCTGAGCGAAAGAAATGGCGGTGAGGCCCAGGTGCAGACGCCCTTGTAGTGACACGAGTATGTGAAGATGCTTGAGGCTTGGAAGATTGTGAGCAGGAGGCGCCCGACGCCTGCAAAGGCGAGAGCAGAATGGATTTTTTAATTGTCGATGTAGAAGCGGAGGACGACATTGTGTATAGCAAACATGATCGAGCTCCAGGTTACGACGGTTAGAAACCGGGCGAAAGATTGAGCCGCTGCTTCGCCTGCCTTCTCCCGACTCATCAACACCTCGTGCTGTGGCGGGTTCGCAGCAGAGGCTCGCGGGGAAACCCAAGCCCTCATATACGGAACAATGAAGAGGCTCGTATTGGGAATGACGACGTGGTCAGTCGGCTCCTCAACCCCTACAAGTGAGCACGCAAGACCCTCGTCTGCTCTAAGACTGGGTTACAAACCTCGTTAAGAGTCATCCTCCACCGTATCTGCGCTATCCTCGTTGGCTTCTCAATCTGCCTCCAGTCTGTCCGGATTGGGAACTCGAGATTCGGAACTGCTCTCATAGTTTCTGTGGTGTGCAACAGGGCCCAGCGCGGGAGATGGAGGAAACCATTATGGATAAACTTGAAGTAGTGGAGAAGGGCTAACACCAGAAGCAGTCCGGACGCCGAGTCTAGCGGTGCGAGGATCGCTCGTGCAATGGAGTCCTGACCCGACAGGCCGCAAAAGCTGTCAGCGGCTGCAACTAAGAGTTGAAAGGCGAGGGTTGCCCCTGTCAACACGGTTGGCATGTAGAGTGCCATCTTCTGGTGAATAGGTCAGGCCTGGTAATTTAGTGAGGTGTGAAATATGCTTGTATGAATATTTGAACTACTAATAAGCTGATTATACTATATCAGCAAGAGGACTGATATATCAGCCTCAAAGAAGAATACCAGGAGGCTGAGTTGTCAAAACATGATTGTTATCAGCAAGGCTATGCTTAGCTCAGAAGCGACCACAACTGACCGCAGCTGTAGTATGTAAGGCAGATCTTGGATTGAAGGCTTACTGCTCGAACAGAAGATTGGCAAACCTGTTGGTCATGACTCATGAAGAATTCTCTGCTGTTAAGGCTGATTCCTGACGCTGCCTGTAATTTTGACCCCGACCTTTGCCAAAGACTTTTGCCAAAGGCATGATGGGTTTCAAGAGGCGGTGAGTATTCTGCAAGATACGCGAATTGTAGTAGTAGGCGGTGTAAGCGACCGCGAGAACGGGAGCCTTTCCTGATCGGGTCAACGTGTTCAAATGTATGCCTGGTGAAAGGGGCATCAATCATTGGCATCCAGGCACTGTTGATGCTTATCAACTCATCATCCATGCCAGTATCACCAGACGTAAGAGCCATATGCATATCATGACGAGCTACAGCATGCTTACCTCTCGTATGTTTTATTTTTTGTATAGAGATGCCAAGACTAGGCCCTCCAAAGCATTACTGCGAGCAGCCTTGCCTTTTGCATATCACTCAGACCAACATTCACAACACTGAGCATTCACTGATGACAACAATTCTATCATGAGGTGCAATACTTGCAATGCTTTGAGCTGTTATCCCCTCCTATTCCTATCTACCACATCAAAATTGTCACATAATCTCATCTTCTAAGCTAATAATCACACCTTCTACCTCACCACACAACTGCATCGGACCATGTATTGGACCAACGAAGCCAACGCCAAGGTAAGCCAGCAGACCCTACACAGACACAATCTATGACAGACACAACTGACAAATGAAGCTCTTGGTCGGTGTATTGGAGCAGATGCGTGGGAAGCTCAAGCTAGATTACGAACGACTCGCCACCCACATGGGCAGCGGTACCTTGAACCCTAGTATAATTCTATAGCTATAAGAAAGCTAATCCAGACAGACTGCACCGCATGCGCGATTGAACAGCAGATAGCAAAGCTCAAGCGTCAGGCGAACAACTCCAGTCCTACCAAGAGCACTGCCGGCAGCTCGGGTAACGAGTCGACCTCCATTACTCCGTCTAGTACCCCCAAGAAGCGACAGGCTGATATCGCTTGCATTTATTCTAAGCGTTCGGCTAAGAAGGCTAAGTTGGATGATAAGAATGCGTCCGTCCCTCCCTCTAAGTCGGTCACGGTGAAACGGGATGTCGAGCCGGATGTCGTCTTTGTTAAGACAGAGACTAAGTCTACGGTCATGGAAAAGACCAAGGAGGAAAGATTGTGATTAATTCCAGGTCAATACCTCTCTGCTAAATATTGGGCGCTGGGTTAAGGGAGGGAAAATCAATGTGAAATATGCTTTTTTTGAAGAGCAACACGAATAGCTGATGGACCATACTAATACAGTCAGTCAAATGTTTGAATGAAATGACAACCCGCTGCTCCAAAAGTCTTATGAGCCATCAATAAAAATTCAAGTCCAACTCCCTAGGTTCCTCTGTATGATTCGAGAGGAAATTGAAGGAATATACTCTATATCAATGTAGACTACTAAAGCTAGACGATAATAGTCCACCTGGGATGAGCATGTATGTTTGCTCTGTAGCTAAACCAAACAGTCAAAGTAGACATTGTATCAGTTACTCAGATCTGAGAATAATAAGAACAGTCCATCATCACCAACTTATTGTATACTACTTCCTGTAATTATAGCATAGTACCTACAACCGCTATTGTTACTCGCTGGAAACATTCCCATCAAAATGGGTCAGCTACTATAGCAGATCAGTAGACAATATCCACTCCGTTGACAGTCTCTACTCTTCGTTTGTTATCTCTACTCCCACTGCACTTTGCTTGGACTCTTCGTTGCCTCGAGTATCTCTATGTCCTGGGACAGTCTCTATTATAATCCTGGCTCTTGTAATTATTAGCTCATTGCTAAATTTTGCCAATTGTCATAGCTTGGAATACGCATATTCTGTACACTGCAGCCCACTTCAGTGCTGAAAGGCAGAGGTAGAACTACACCCGGAGATCGTGGCGGAGAAACTGCTGCGCCAGACTGAACTGCATGTTGCCGAGCGTGGGGTCCGCCGAGTGTCGGTTACTGTGGTGCTCGTAGACCTGGGTCTTTAACATCTAGCGTGTCTCTTTGTGTCATCTTGAGGGTCCTCGTTATCTGCAAGGTGGCAGAGAGGCTGCGGAGTGTCAGTGTGGGCAGTATTCTGTTACGACAAATTTTGACGAAGCGAAACAAGTATCGCCTGTTCAGGTAGCAAAATAAGCTTGATCATGGCCTTCGATATCCATCAGGTTTGTGCCTGGGATATTGTGATATAGTTAGTTTCAGGATATAATTCTTCCAAAGGACTTGTTCCACCTGCAAAAGATGATGTCAATAATGATGGTTTCCCATCATAATCAGATAAGAGCTATATTTTGTCGTAGGAGTTTCTTGATAGCTAGCCCCTTTTGTGGCAGATCAGCTACATGCGCAGCGGATCCTGAAACGGAAGCACAGTGGCTGAGTTGATAAGTGCCGAGCGCAGAACAATCAAGGTAGTTCTGTTCTTGACTGTGTGCTCGCTGTAACGTTCTTAAAGACATTCTTCAACTGTTCTCCGTAGAGTTAAAATTTTGAGGAAAAGATATAAGGAGTATGAGTGTAGTATAATATTGAACTAATAGTCTTTTGAGACAATTCATATTGACTGGTCTTTTGGATCTAACAGAAGTTTCTTTGATGGCCGAGTACAATGAAAGGAAAAGAAGACGTGAACGGAGGAAAGGGGAACTTTATATAACTGCTAGACGTAGTGTGAATACGAGAAGACTAATTAGGAGAGTGAATAGTCAGATTATAAGTACGTGAGATGAATGGAATGAATGTAGTGAAAGACCACTTGTCAATGAATATGTAGGCGTATACATCAACTTTAGCCATGAGTCACGGCTACTTTGTAGTAGTTTACTTGTCTAGCTCTATCCACAGACTATTGAAGAGTTCATCGCTCAAATCTTCTGCACCCGACGCGTCTCCCCATCAATAGCCCGCAACAGTACATACAGTGTCTCCAACACCGGCGTAGGAACTCCCAACTCCCGCCCCTTACGCACCGGCGTACCCACAATCACCTCAATCTCCATCGGCCGGTTATTCTCCCGGTCGATCTGCATACTCGTTCGGACTGCCCCCAGACCTTGAATTCGTGCCAATTGGGTGTCGATCAGATCATCTGGGAGAGGGACACCTGCAGCACGAGCCACAGCCACGGCCTCGCTCATGAGTCGTCGCGTGAAGGGAATGGCATCAGCAGAGGATTGCAAGAATGCTTGCGTGTCCAAAGCGGTCAGGGTGGTCAGGGTGTTCCAGGCGCAGTTCCAGATGACTTTGGACCAGCGGGTGGGTTGGATGTTGTCGTGCACCGTGTGACGAGTCTGACCTGCGGCGAGGAGGCCAGTGAAGGTGTTGAGGCGTTCAGCCTCCACAGCATCTGGAACGTTAGGGTTCGGGTAAAGGCCGAGTTCGGTGTCTTCAGATGTGGTGTGTATGACGGTGCCTGGGGTGGGCTGGGATGCTCCAACCCATGTCTGGGTGAGGTCAGTGGGATTGGTTGTTACAGAAGTGGAGGGTTGGGGAATAGACATACAACGCAGGAGATGATGCTGCAGGATGGGTAAGCCTCGCGGAATGGCTCTTCGTTTCCCACGCCGTTCTGGATAATCACGATTGTGGTGTCCTTGCCCATTGCCGGTGCTAGGGAGTGGACGGCGCCGGCTGGGTCAATGGCCTTGTTGGTGCAGACAACATAGTCGACTGGGTGGGTGAGTTCTGAAGGCAAGCGGACCACTTTGCGATTGGGTTAGTTGATGATGCTGGGTTGTGACTTCGTGAGGGAGCAGTTACCGTCGTCTGGGTAGAATCGATGCTCGCCGTGGTTTGCACTTTTCAGAAGGATGCCCTGTTTGGCAGTGAGTCGGCGATAATTCGTTCAAGATACATCAGTATCACTCACATTCTCCTTGACGGCTGCGTAGTTGGACCGAGCGACCACAGTCAGACGAACTTTGTTACTACGATGCAGAATGAAGGCGTAGAAGGAGCCAATGCTGCGGTTCAGTTAGATTCATCGCCAGGCAGAGAATTGGAGGAGATGGCATACGCTCCCAGCCCATAGAGAAGGACATCAACCTGGCTGGCCATGAGCAACAAGTGATTGAAAATAAACTGAATTAGAGACTGGACTGACTGACAGGCAGGTAACAGGAGTAATAGTAGTGATAGTGGTAGTAGAGCCAAGCTTTAACAAATGCGGGGGTGCTTCCCCGCTCGGAACAAGTCCGAACTTGTCGGGAAAATTGGAAAGGCTGTTGAACCCAGTAAGTTGCTGCATAAATAGGGTAAAGTCAAAATTCTCTTTTCAGATCTATGTACATGATGCAAAACTCCGAACCACCCCGGTCTATCCCGTTCGCCAAATTTTTGTGGTATAATAGTACATCCGTAATCATATCGCATCACTCATGATGATCGGGCCCAGGCTCGACTCTCGAATCTCCAATGGGCTGCATCTCGATCACTTCCGACCCTTTCGCCGCGTCAGTTCCTCCATCTGGTGGTTTGTCAATCAGCCCAACCGCCTCTTCGTCGACAGCATACCGCCACCGCCCATCCGCCTGTAGGAACATCCGAAAACCATATCGCTTGTCGAGCCGAGTCAGATGCTCTCGCCGCTGCTCATTGGTCCAAGAATAGGTGTTGCGAAAGTCACCCAGCATGCGGCTGTGCGCAACCCAGGGAATGATCGCTCCAATGGATCGTGGCATCCGGGGCCCGCGAAACCGACCGCGTCTGGTGCCGAAGACGACTAACACGACCAGCGTGTCTAGCGCAATGATCACCAGCGCCATGGCCAGCGAGGGCACCGACGGGACCATGGTCCACGTATTGGAGATCTCCGTGGCATTACCAGCCGACACAACCTCATCCAAGGGCACCAGATACATGTTTCGCCAGATCGTGAAGTAGGTGCTCCACACCCACTGATACACAACCTGCGACTGTGTCATCAATTCCAAGGCGTTGAGCGGAACAATCTTCTCGTGCTGCCGGTAGAGACGGGCCACGAGAAACCCTGCCCAGTCATAAGACGAAACATAAGACCGGTTCCGCCCCGGTTCCTCCCCCACGAAGCTCTGAGGGATGGCGGCAAAGACCTTGTTAAATTGGCCTAGAGCCATCGTCGCATTTTCATACATGGTTCCTGACGTGGTTTCCGTGCCAGGAATCGGGTCTATGTCGGATATCTGACCCCGACGGTCAAAGGTCACGGAGAAATTTTGAAGTTGCACATGTGGTTCACATTGGAGTGCAATGGTGTTGTCATCGGTGAAAGGTGACTCCGAGGTATAATTCCACCGTCCAACCACCAGCACCGTCGACATCTGACACAAATCGGTGTCCGTGTCAGCCACCGGGGACAGAAAGTGAATGGAGAGGGCAATGGCGTCGCTGGGGCGCACTAGCGACGTCATGTTAACCCTACACTGCCGGCTGACATCACGGGAGGGTCGATAGACGAAAAAGGTATCCTGGCCTTCTTCTCTTAAGTTCTGGGATGTCTCTAAGGTTTTGCAGTCCAGATCACTACCGATTCCGAGCGTGGTCGCCCCGTACATCAGGTCAGGGTCCGAGTCGGTATTCTTGATCGGAGCAAATGAATAGTTCGCAGACATCCATGGCAATAATGGTACACCGCTGGTGGCGCTGTTCTGGATCAGATCAAACTCCGTGAAGTCCGGAGCGAAGTCTGTCCGTAGGAAACGGGAGTTGCTGTAATTGACGTAAAGAGATGTTGACGGCAGATAGGACTCCGTCAGTCTCTGCGTGAACAGACCACCGGCAACAACAGTCAGCAGGATGTTAGCGATACAGGCAAGTGAGACGAGGCTTAGAAGGGTATGTCGATTCCGAATGGCTTTTCTTAAGATCGACCAAGGATTCTGTGACGCATAATTCATGGACAGCGACGTTTGGGCGGCCACCATGCCGCGCTGAAGATGGACCCACGGCTCCAGAATGCTGATGTTGCGAAGGATCGAGTTGCATAGAGCCGCCACGGAAGATGCGACAACAGATGGGAGAAAGGAAGTTATGGCCTGCAGAAAACTGGAACTGGACTGGGAGAGATGTTGAAAACTCCCGTCGTGGGCGAGAGTAGCTGCCGTCACTCCCATCACAGCGATGACGGCAGCGAGGAGAAGAAATTCGATGATGAAAATGGGTATTACCAAAAAATGGGGCATTGGATCGACACGTGTCCGTAGTTGCTCACTGAGAGTGACCGGAGAACCTGATTTAGTTAGCTTGAAGTACACAGGGCTTGGAGGATATGGACTAACCGTCTGCAGTTATAATCTCGAGTCGGGGTCCCATGGGTCCCTGTTGCCATCGAAGCCAACAGTTTCGCAGGACTTGACGTAATTGCCGCGTCGAGAATTGGTGAAATTCTGGCTGAGGATTCGCAAGGATGTTGTAAGGCGTGAAGACATCAGTCAACATGCTACACATGGCACCAATAGAGCTCGGGTCACTCTGTAGGATGTTGGGTCGGGTTCCGTAAAAGTAGAGGAGAGATATGGTGAGACAGATGGCGATTGCCAAGATCACCTCAGAAGACAACGAGGCGAACGACACGACTGCGATGGCGACTTGTGTGGACTCCCGTTGGGCCGGTACATTGGTCGGATTCTGGTCAGGGTTGAAGAGCCGACTCATTGTAAGCACGAACGTCTCTGCTACACTTCGTTTGACCTTGCTCTCGAATTCGTCCGTCGTCATGACGGTCGATGCATCCAAGACCAGAAGCGGCTCGAGGTCGCCCAGGTCTTGGCTAATCACAGGCAGCTCTGTGACTGTAGTATCGCCAGTAGTCTCATTTAATTCGATAAACAACATATCGCCCGTATATGGTGCTCGCTGGGCCAGGAGATCCTGGAAAGCGTCGATATTGAGCTGGTCTGTTCCCAACTCCCGTTCGGTATCGGGGTATCCATAGATGTTTGTAATTGAGCTGTTAGCATGCATGGAGACCTTGGCCTCCGCCTGTCGATATTCAACCTTGCAGCCAAAGATACCGGCAGATGAAGTGAACTCGGCGCCCAACTGACTGATGCTATTAGCTCCGGCCACCGTGGCATTGACCGAGATGACAACTCCATATAAATCATAGGGGTCATCGCAGCCATGAGTGGTAAAGGACTTTCGACGGCTGTAGACAGGTTGCGACTGATTGTTCCACACGGGCTCCCAGTACCGAACCTGCAAGTAATCGGTTGTCGGAAAGAAAATATTGCTGTAGTGAAAGTCTAATGTGCATGTCTCGTTCGTCCCGGGGATATCCTGCAGCTGCACACCCGTTACGTCCCACGAGAGAATGGGCGGATCGCTCGATGTGTCATTGATGGAGACAAATAGGTGGTCATGTGCTGCAATGTTGCGGCACTCCAGTTGAGACCAGTAGATGGTTTGATTGAGCGTCCAAACCGTACTTTCCCGCCGGTCTTCCATGCTGATATCGACGGGTGCTACTGCGTAGCTGGAGGACTGAGAGCTATGCAGATTGTCACGAGCAGTGAGGACGGAGTCCAGAGCCAGGGTGTCATTGCTTTTTTGCGCCTTGATCCATACAGCCTGGGTATGTAGGTCCAGCAGTTGGGGCCAGGTCTTGATGTCCTCGTTGCTCACGACGGTAATTTCACGGAGTTCAAGAAGGGTGCTCTGCAGAGCCGGGAGGAGCACGCGGATGAGCAGAGTAGCGACAGACACGAGCAATACGACCCAATGGCCTCGTTTGGCTGAGGTGAGCGGCGTAAGAAAAGACTGGCCGAAGTTGTAGTTGATGAAAAGAACCGATGCCGGCGCTCCCTCCGGGCGAGAAATCTGGAAGTATGGCTCGAGGCGCAGAACATCATAATCGATGAAGGTCCACAGGGTGACAAGAATGAGGGCAGCAATGATAGGAAGATAGTTGTAGGCGAACGACTGGGCGTCAGACACGGTATCGGTGTCTGGAAAAAAGTAAAGACCTCCATATTGATCGCTATAGCGGCGAAGTATCTCGAGCGTGATCAGCATCGCAAACATGATCGCCGCGATCCAACAGAGGTATGCGGGACGCAGGGCAACGGGCCGCCATCCCCCGGAAGCAGCGGGTTTTCCATTATGCAGACTGGCGCGGATGAGGCCAAGATGCTCTAAAGGCATGAAACTGGGTCAGTCCTGCTGGAAGATGTGTAGATAGCCAGTAGAGGAGCATGCGATGGGCGGTATTAGACTTACGGGAGATACACAGCCGGACATCGGACAGACTCTTTTCCAGGCCTCCGAACATGCTTGAGGGGCATGCTCCTTTGGGGGCAAACGGCGGTGTCGGAGGGGGACCGGATGCTGTGTCATCGCCCAAGGGATGGCTCATGGAGGGAAGTCGACGGGGCCACGGAACGGGTTCATCTCTGGAGATGGGTGATGCGACAGGCAAACGGAAAGGACATGGTGGAAGTTGCCGATAACCTTCCTAGCGACGTGACGAACGCGATGTAGGGGATTGAGGAGGGGGGAAAGCGAAAGAAGGAGAGGAAGAAGGGGCGAGGAGGAGGGGAGGAGAAGCAGGCGGCGGAGTGAGGAAAGAGAGGAACGGCGAGAAGAGGCCGCGAGGATGACGATCGACGTTTGAATCTCGCCGGCAATTCTTGATTTGCGTAGTCGGTGGGGGTCACGGGCTGCGGCAGGGGGGGAGGGACTTAGTACTAGGTAATACTAAGTTGGCTGTTCACTGAACGAATGTTTGCCGTTTTGCCCGTTTAGGCTGGTGAGTCCCCACCCATTGGCCCATCACAGACCGTCTCTCCCCCAATCAGCATCTGAAAGGGTCTGAAATGTTGACTCCATTGGTTCGTCAGGGACCTTTGAGTGGGGCCAGAGTCTGGGCAAGGGCTCAGGCACTAAGCCAAATCGGCTAGGCATCGACCACCGTCTGGGCCAATCTGGCGAATAGCGGACCAGACAGGGCACCTCTTCGGGACTAGCGAGCGCAGGGTTCCCGATGTAGGGTCTTGGGGCTTTGTTGAGAGTGGGCAGAAGTGGGCTGACCGCACCACGCTGGAAAACCCACAATGGAAGGGAAGAATTCGGCTTTGACTGTCTAGACTCGGGCCCAAATATCCACTTGAACCCTTCGTGGAAATAGTCACGTGAGCAACAAGGAATTAGTATCGAAAGACACAAAGCATCATGTTTCTTGGTATGACTTTATCATGTTTTTATCAAATTAGTATTGTCAGATACCATTTAATAGTAGACACTAAGACATTAAGAAGCAAAAATCACATTGTAGAAGGTGCCTCCACGATATTCGCCTCCTAACACTGCGGGGTATACATATATATACCCCGTGCTAAGGAGTAATAGTACTTTATATCATCTTTAGGTCCTCAGCATTTCGAAATCTGTAAGTGTACTACTACTAGTAGCAGTACTCCTCAGGGTAACTTAACTTCCAACTTAAATTACGCCAATTCTCATAGTCTATCTCGCCTCTACCTGTGTTATCGCCACTGTAATGCCTCATACTACCATCAGCTGCACTTGATAGGAAACAACATACCCACAAGATACAGACCCCCCCCCCCCCCCCCCATATCAAAGACGAATTCTGCCAATATGGAAATTACCGAGGACTTGAAAGCAACAACAATTGCTAGAAGCTGACTGAAGTATAGTACTAAAATGGTCATACGTAATTTCTTTGTTCTATCCAAGCACTAAGAAGCCATTGTTGGGTGACGAGAGACGAAACCCGTCTTTTATAGAAAACCAACTCATATTATCCCATATAATGGAGAATTCTTGAAACGAACAACATACTACATTGATTGATAGCTCATAGTTATCAAGTGAGACACAATCCCTTGGTGTTATCCCGAACTAAGATAAGTGTAGTCAAGCCTATGTATACACTCCTTAAAGAACAATCCCTGCTCATCATCAGAAGAATTCGCATGCATACTCACTAATCAGTTCATCTACATTTAAATGCTAAGTAACATCTTGCGCAGAATATAGAGACGCGACAACAAAATGTCATCAATCGATTTTCTATCGCTCGCGAAAATCGCCAGATCATCCTCGGTTACCTTGATATCGACTCTCTACTCTCTGCCCTTCGCAGCTGTCGGCCATTCTATCTGGCTTACGAGGGGTATGAGGCATCTGTATTGAAATCATGCCTGTATACTACCATCACATCCGAGATACTACCATATGCCATACATACCCATACCCGAGACACCGCCAAGTGCCCGCACGGGGATGTTATTGAATCCCACAAGCTGATTAAAAAGCAACTGGGGAATCCCACGGAGACGCTTCGCAAATGGAGTTGGGATCTATGTGAAATGAAGGAATTACTCTTCGTCCACAGGCATCTCTCCTTTTTCAGAGACGATTACAGCTAGAAGGCTCTCTAAGAGTTCCACAACTCGTTCGGAGAGACAGAGGTTTGCGTTCCCGTATCACGAAATGAATGCGCCCGCATAGCCCGATCCTTCTACGCTGACCTGGTTATACGGCAAGCATGCCTGAATCGCTTTGTTACACTGAAGCACTATGAGTACATCAGTGGAAGCCGTACTTTCAAAGCCCTAGTGACGTATATGGCTGAAAATATATCGTCAAATTGGGTTGACCTGAAGCAGCTCTACATCGTGAGCACTTATTTTCGTAATATCATAGGTAACTTGTACACTCCCAGCGGTATCAGTGTGATTCTGGCACTATCTGGCTGTTAGTTGGTGAGGATACGCTTCGCAATTTCCGGCGCATTGAATTTCTTCGAAGCCATAACGAATGGTCCAGTCAGTGAGACACGCTACGGTAAGCTTCCTGGTATTGATTTTGCGCTCCTACATAGTCTGATCCATCTTCGGTTTTTCTAGGACTGCTATCAAACTTCCATGCTGTTACTGGTTCGTCGAGCACTCGATCCAAGTTACTCACACGTATATCTGCCAGCCTGGAAGGGTAGACTCCCGATATCATGGACATTCTACAATACATTGATGGATGAAGGAATTGGCGAGCTTTCATGGGCGCGGTCGCTCTCCAGTATCTAACCTCAATCTGGCACAGGCGTGCCTTGCTAGTTTAAGCGATCGGACCTGCCGTGCGGTGTTTGGGAAGGATCTCGGGACATACAAGTATGGGATAGTAATGTGGGATAAGGATAGGATGCTCAACTCGAGGCTCAAGGATATCTATCGGACAGATTGCAGCGTGCCTAGGATGTTCTATGTATATGAGTCCCTGATGGTGTCTCCTGCAGAGAAAACAATGGCGCTTTCTTGAACTGGAGCGCAGGAATTTTGAAGATACTACCGGAAGAGGAAAAGACAGAGAACAAGGCTACCGCGTTCTTCGATGACTCCCCTCAACAACCGGAACGTCAAGCTGTCTCACGGGCAGTATCGCCTGACCTCATGTCATGGTGCTCAGATGAATTGCGCGCAGTGAAAAGGAAAAGACAATGAGGAGTGACTTGTCAATTGATGCTCATCATCCGGGAACAAGCTGGGGTAACCGGCTTGGACTGGTGTCGAGTTGGCAGCCTTATTCTCGGGTTTGCCGGTGGGGAGAAGTGATATCATTTAGACCAGTAATCTGTCCTTGCATTCGTTACTCTTATGTCTGTTACTGTTCACTCAAAGTTTCGTATGCTATAATCTACCCGGCCGTACGTTTTCTTATGCATTGGTAATTTGAAATTATGACTGTGTATTTCGGAATACTTATCACTGTAACCAGTGGAACACCTGCAAAGTTAGGACCACTATGATTCGATATATGAGTAGCGGCTGTTATGAAAACGACGTTCAATTACCATTTTGACACATAGCGTAGTATTTAGACGCTGACATTGGTTTAGTGCAATAGCAATAGTGAAACACTTCAAAGGGTAGCTGTTCAAGGCCAGGATGGGTAGGTAACAAACCTTCTACAAAACATTTTCAGGTTACTATGTCCAGTGAGGACAGGGGCCCGACAGGGGCCCACTTCACATGATCTGAACAGCCAGTGCAGCACCTGAAATGTGGCTTTTGCATGTGGCACAGCCATAATATGGACCCGGTCGGGATGCCATGAGAGAGCACAGACCCCAGGACAAGGCATTGAGTGGCTATGCTCAGCTGAAACGTGTACGCTAAAATCAGCCAAGGTCTTGTCATACACTCTGGAACGACCATTGAACAGTCTTCGGCTACAGCAATGTCTTGTCGTTGGGCACTCGTCCGAACAGACTTGTGCAGTACTCCACAGTGGATGGAGAATGCCCGGAGGCCCCGGAAATTCGGCGAATCTCGGCCACGCTTTGTCAACCCAGCTGCCGCTGATCATGACCGAGTGGAGCCAACGGCGACTAGCCTCTATCTAGGATAGACGTACATATGTCAGGCTACTGTTCCGTGGTAAAGAACTTGCGACAAATGTCACCCCAGACGTCCAATCCATATCTACACACCATGTCCATGAATGTGCTGGTCATGCTACCGAGGAAAGGCGCTATATCAAAACGCCCTTGGCAGGGCTGAGAGCAGCGCGACCGCCGACAAATCACGATGCGCGATAAGCGCTACAAGGCATGACCTATGGCTTGGCTGACGCAACCCCGCATTATGCCTCTGTCCTTGATTTGTTGCTGCTTAACGCCGAGTCGAGCTTTTAGGCAGCACACAAATTATATGCGGGGTCAACAATGTGCCCGGGGTATGATAAGGCTCGTATGAAGTTGAAGTCGCATCCATTGTGACATTACCGGGCTCGGCAGATATGCGTTTCGGCGCTGTAGATTACTACCAACGGTTCCAAGGTTCAGGCACCGGACCATGTTCTGAAAAAGGGGAAAATGAAAGATTAGAGTTTGAACACAAGGCCGAATCTTGGATTCCCAGAAGCCCGTTGTTCCTATTGGTGTTCCGAACAATACGATCTTTTCATCTTCTATTGTTCCAATGGTTGCATTCCAGGGCGGTGCGGTGATTGGGCGTTATGCTGAGTCAGAAGCCAGGGGCTTCCATTCCTCCCATGCAAGATCTGTTTTGCCTCTGGAACTTCCCGAGAGAACCGGAGAGATTTCGAGTACCTGAACTTAGTAATGAGGTGAACGTGGAGATTTGATCCTCAATCGATGCTCAAATTTGGCAAGTGGCAATCCAGTAGCGCCGATGTATCTCCATTCCCGCCAAACGGAGCACTCATGCACCACTAATGTGCCAAGCGGACGTCGGTGGATCACAGTCGTCTCATGTCCTCCTACCTCTGGGCGGCGGCCCATCCATCACAGTCTATAGGGCTGCCATGGCCCTTATGCCTGCATTTGTGGGCCGACGAGCCATGGCGGCGTCCAGAGAATTGCGCTGTTCAAACTTTGGATCGAAATGCTGGCCGGCATACCATACATCTGTCTTCGCCTCCGGCAGTTGGTGGGCCGTGAGCAGGATGAAAATATAAATATTCTTGCTTCCTGTCTTCCCGGCTGTTGCAAATTCTGAAGTTCATCTTGACAATCTGTAGTCCCCATTGACGCCAACATGTATGGGACTCTTGCCTACCTCTCTTTTTTCCTGACTTGCTCTCTTGCAAGAAGCGTCGGTGATGTACACCAACACGCTGCTCGGACGACCACACAGTATGCTCAGAAGCAGCCGCCGTTGGACACTCCTTGGACGGAGGATGTCGGGACAAATCCGTGGCCCGAGTACCCCCGTCCACAGATGGCGAGGAGTCAGTGGCAGAACTTGAACGGTATCTGGCAGTATCAGAGTGCTTCCAGCCTGAATGACAGCCAATACCCGCCTTTCGGTCAAGATCTCGCTCAAGAGGTCCTGATCCCCTCGTGCCTCGAAAGTGGACTATCTGGTTAGTACGCTCTTCCTTTGAGATGTCAAAGCTTTGCTAATTCTAGGCAGGTATTCAGGGAACGAACACGCTTTATTCTTGGTTCAGGACCAACTTCACAGTTCCGAATTCCTGGAGTGGAGAGAGTGTGCTCCTCAATTTCGGAGCTGTAGACTATGAAGCTACCGTTTTTATCAACGGAAAGCAGGCGGGTTTTAACCGCGGTGGTTATTTTGAATTCACCATCGACATCACCCAATATGTCGACATTTTGGCGTCTAACGAAATGTTAGTAATTGAATATCAACCGTACGAAAAATTTAGGCTGACCGCAATAGGCTTGTTTTCGTGCATGACCCGACCGATAGCGATGGCTATGTCATCCCTATCGGCAAGCAGCGACTGATCCCGTCGCATATCTTCTACACTCCCTGCAGTGGTATTTGGCAGAGCGTCTGGATCGAAACTGCCCCGGCAAACTATGTGACGCAACTTGACCTTACCGCTGACATGCACGGCCAAGGTGTGTAAATTCCCCATATTTTGCCTGCTTGACTTTTGCCGTTAACAGAATAATGTAGTCAATGCCACCGTGCACAGTATCACAGGCAACGGCACGACAGTGAATATCTCCGTGTTTGATGGTGACGACGTGGTCGGTTCTGCCAGCGGCTTATCCGATCAGCCTCTTCTGTTCAATGTTTCCGATCCCAAGCTTTGGTCTCCGGACTCGCCCAATCTGTACAACGTGACAGTTACCATGGGACAAGATAAGATTTCGAGTTACACTGGCTTCCGCACCATCTCGAAGGGTACTGTGGATGGTGTTGTCCGACCTCTGTTGAACGGAAACTTCAGCTTCATCTTTGGTACACTTGATCAGGGATACTGGCCAGACGGACTATACACTCCACCAAACCGTGAGGCGATGGTCTATGACCTGAAGTTCCTCAAAGACATGGGCTTCAATATGGTCCGCAAGCATGTAAGTAGAGCACCTCCACGATTCTGAGCAAGGCTAACTATGTTCCAGATCAAAGTTGAGCCGGCGCTCTGGTACCGTGCTTGTGACGAGATGGGTCTTCTGGTTATCCAGGATATGCCATCTCTTCGGCCGCTGGAGACCACAGTTGACGCCAGCGGCGTGTCTGTAACCATATTGCCCGACGCGGACCAGCAAAATGAATTCGGAAGGCAACTGGAGGTGCTGGTTAATCAGCTCAAGAGCTATCCTAGTATCTTTGCCTGGGTAAGTAACACTCGAATGAGTTGCGCCGTTCATGACTGACCTTTATGTCTGCATAGGTGATTTATAACGAAGGATGGGGCCAGATCACCAGCTACTATCCCGAGTTCAACCTGACGTCGATTGTGAAGCAGCTTGACCCCACTAGACTGGTTGATGCGACGTCTGGCTGGCATGACCACGGCGCCGGTGACTTTAGCGTAAGCCACACCCGCAGTGATCTCGAGGCTCTAGACTAACCGATTCAGGATAATCACCACTATGCGAACCCCCAGTGCGGCACTCCATTCTATTCTATCGACTCCAGTCCGTATGATTCCAACCGGATTGGTATCCAAGGAGAGTTTGGAGGACTTGGGAACAACGTTTCGATCGAGCAGTAAGTCGACATGACTCTAGATGCAGGAATGACACTAATCAGCCACAGCCTTTGGAACAACCAAGAAGCGATCAACAGCATCAACGAGACATATGAGATTGACACAGACGTGGATGCTTGGAACTACCGCAGCCACCTTTTGCTGTCCGAGCTGCAGGACCAAATCCGTTTGTATGCCTGTAGTGTTGGTGTGTGGACCCAAACGGTTGATGTTGAGGGTGAGGTGAATGGATTGATGACATACGATCGGCGCGTCAAGCGGGTGAACGAGACCCAGTGGAAGGATGATATCCAGGGTCTGTATGATGCGGCGTCCAAGAGGACCAATTCTTCGTCGACGAATTGATGATATTCTTTTGTTTTAAAAGATAGCATGGTTGAGTATATAGCTTGATATCCATTTGCATAAGAATAGAAGCGCTGTGATAGATCAATCTGATGATTTTTACTTCGATATTAGATGATGGGAAGGTGAGGTGGTGAGTAGGAGTTTGTATTTCTCGTGATCCCGTGATGTCGATCTATGAACGGGGACGGTGTACGGTACCAATGTATGTATGGTAAGGCTAAAAGGTCACAGCTACTCAACATAGCATGTCGCAGACTACGAAGCTAAAAGTACCATCTACTTAATCGCTAGGAAGGGGAGGTAGGAAGGGGAAGACTCAAGTTGAGGACAATACACACAGGTAAATGTGTCCAGTTTCGATACTGCAGTGCTATGCTTTCCAGGCAACATGAAATAACCCCTGAAGCAGTAAAAGACACCTTAAGCCTGCCGGAGACACCAAGCTATAGTTTAGGGGACCACTCGGCCAGCCTTACGATCCTATCACACCGAAAGACGCAGCACTCTCCCAACCAGGCCAGCCCGCAGGCACATAACTGGTCGGATTCCAAGAGCAAGTCAGACATGAACACGGAACATGCCTTCGGAGCGCTTTCCGACCAACGTGGTAAATGTGCCTCTGGCGGACAACACGTGGTAGCGGCAAGATGCGATGACATTGGGAATTTTTCCGAAAAGGGAGTTCGACATCTGGCTGTCAAGTGGTGCAATCACGACTTCAATTCCTGCGCAGACTAGTCAAGCATCGGGCATTTAGCCACAGGAGAACCGAGTGCCATTCGCTGGCAAATCCGATCTTGTGATATGCCAAGAAACTTGAATCCTACCTCATGCGATGAGCTGGGGTCGGATCTCACGGCATGATGAGACACCGAGGGTTCAGCATTGGACGCTTCAGGTCTGTGCCACGGGGTTTTCAGTTTCTAGTCATCGGACAGGTCATGTCCGAGTCATAATTGGTATCATCCTTGCTGATCTTAATTCTTTGGTTGTGTCAGACGGTGCACGCGAGCGAACTAATTTCCGGGGCTTGAGCTATAGCTAGCTGTTGACCGTCCCCAGTCTTACGGATAGATGTAATAGGCTGTATTGTTACCAGAGACTATGTAAGTAACAGGTAAAAGGCATCCACAGCGCTTACCTTCACAACACTGGTCCATTTAATTAGTCAAGTTCCATTTGTTAATAAGACAGAGAATTGAGCGGTGTTGTTTGCAGTTGCTGTTTCCCAACCACCACTGTAGCACTTACTTTCTCAGCTGATGGGGTGGGTTTTTGAGGTCTCTCTCTATCCTGACCATACATAGACTTACTGAGATGTTGCACCATGAGGCCTATACTGTGTTGTTGAACAGCGTGTACTTCAGCCTGAAATGTGTGAGTTGCACGACTTTACAAGTAGGAACCCAGCGAGAAGCCGCAGTAGGGAACACAGTATCTATCTAGGAAGAGGGAGTAGTGAACCGCTGTATCAACTCCTGCAGGAACTCCTAAATCAACGGAGCCGGGAGGGGCGTCGAGGTGGCACCAGTCCGGCTTTCATGACCATACCATACAGAAGACTGGGCGACGCCAGTGTAAATTACCGTCATGGGCACTAGTTGGCAGGTAAACTTCTGGGGTTCCCCGAGATGCGGGGAAGAAATACCTAGGAGATTCCCTGCTTCTCTGCCCGCGTTTCCCCTTCATCTCCAGCTTTCATCATCCACTTCTGCTAGGGTTCCAAAAGCGCCCATGCATCGGTCGTAGGGGACAATGAAAGAAAGCTTCACCTTAGCCAGGTTGCCGCTTGGCCTGGCCTCCCTCTGCGCTGCTCGGGTCCTTGCGCCTCCTCCGACATCACCGTCAACAAGCTTCTTCCATGTGGCTGACCCTTGGCGTGTCTTACTGGCGCCCATTCTCCTCCAGTGGGATTTGAGTGGTGATGGTGATCCAAGTGGAGCTACCAGGGAGAGACTGAACCGTGGCTTTCACTCGTCCCGTTCAGGTTCTCATACTTTCTCCGCGAATCCTTCCATTGATCCCTGCTGACACCCCATCAACTCCCCTCCAGGGTTGGTCCTTGCAAATTAGCCCAACCTGCCGCTAAACCTTTCTGTCTTCCCATAGAGGGTTTCAAGCCGTGCGTGGACGGGGATCTTGATCCCTTTCATGCCTTAAGCTAGGTTCGTCGGATCGTCACTGGATTTCGCCCTCCAATCATCGATTCTTTACTTCCGCCACGAGACACGCCGATGGACTGGCTGGGGTGATGGGTGGCCCGACCACATACAACGGTACCTTCCTGACCGGTGGCACGATGATTGGTCCAATTCCCAACTCTAGACGCAGCTCTGACCAGACAATTTTCCGCCCATGATGCGGGGTTCGCTCTTTACCCCCGGAGATGACTCGCGGCTGACGCATGGATGAGTCGGTTGTATATATTAAGCTACCACCACTCTTCCCAGCGGTGCGATTCTCTCTTTTCCCTTCTTTTCCCGGAGCAGCCAAGTCTCGTTGTTGATCAACAGCCGCAATCATGTTGATCGGCAACATCTACGTGATTGCGAGCGTCGCCGTCGTCGGCGGCGGCTTGTTTGGCTTTGATATCTCCTCCATGTCCGCTCAGCTGAGCGAAAATTCCTATCTATGCTATTTCAACCAGGGCCCTAAGGGACCCCCTTTTACTGACGATGAGGACTGTTCCGGTCCCACATCCCTCAACCAGGGTGGCATCACGGCAGCCATGGCAGCGGGATCTTGGCTGGGTGCCTTGATTTCAGGTCCGCTTTCCGACCGCATTGGACGCAAGACGTCCATCATGGTCGGCTGTATCGTTTGGTAGGTCAAGGCCCGAGGCTCGTGATGATGGTTGCTAACGCTGCCGCAACAACCAGGCTGATTGGTTCCACTATTATGTGCGCGTCCCAGAACATTGGCATGCTCGTTGTTGGGCGGGTCATCAACGGTCTCGCCGTGGGCATAGAATCTGCTCAGGTCCCCGTCTACATTAGTGAGCTTTCGCCACCCTCCAAGCGTGGTCGGTTTGTAGGCTTGCAGCAATGGGCCATTACATGGGGTATCCTCATCATGTTCTAGTGAGTGAATTCGTTTGGATCTATCGTGGGCCGAACTGATAGTGACAGTATCTCCTACGGCTGCTCCTTCATCGGGGGCCAGAAGTCCTACAACTACAGCACTGCTTCTTGGCGGATCCCCTGGGGTCTGCAGATGCTGCCGGCTGTTTTCCTTTTCCTTGGCATGCTGGTTCTGCCCGAGTCTCCTCGCTGGTTGGCGCGCAAAGATCGTTGGGAGGACTGCCACCGGGTCTTGGCTCTTGTCCACGCCAAGGGGGATCTCAGTCATCCTTTCGTTGC